TGAGAGTATGCTTAAAGCTTTCTAATTCAAATAAAATGCTGGGAAACCAAAATAAAGAAGTGTTCGTTGTTTTTTATTATTTTTTAGACTTACTAAAATACTATTGGGGAGAAATACCTCTTAAGTATACTAAATTATTAGTGCAAACTTTTTACAAGTAAAAAATCATACAAATAGTTACAAAATCGTTAAGTACACTTATTTTCTTACAGTCCAAACCCTTATGTGCCAATGAGCGACCTAGAAAATGGCTATTTTTTATGCTGCTGCTGACATGACAGTGCAAGACATTTCATAAGGCTCAGCAAACCGAAATTGGCAATAAAATTGGCCCGCTTAGAGTCGCAATCGTGAAGCAAATAACCGTTTCTGGCATCGGGCCAGGAAATTGACTTTTGGCCTATTAAAATACAATTTGAAAACGGGCAACAGAGATCTCTGCTGCTGCTGAATTGACTTTCATTGCTGACGACGACTTTGAAGAGATTTTTTTTATAAACTGACAGATTTCCTTATTGCAGCAGCCGCTCACTTCAATAGCTGATCGATCAATCGATCGATCGGTTAGTCAGTTGGTTTTTCAGTTAGCCAGAGCTAATGCCTCCACTTAACGGCAAGTAGATTGGAAAATTAATCCCAACGGAGGCCGAACGGAACCCATCTGTCTCCGGAAAACTTAAAGTGCAATCAGGCCGCTCAAGTGGCACAAGCCAAAAATACACACGGAGATGGCCAACAAAGATGAAAATAAAACATTAAATACAAATACAAAATATTCATTAAAAAAGAAGTTAAAAAGTAAAACGAAAATGAAAGTAAAATTAATTTTTTTGGTTTCAAGAGGCACCCGCAGTGGGCTTCAACGGCTTCGTTCGCTTCTTGGTGAAGTTTTTTTGGCAATTTTTTTTTTTTTTTTTGGCGATGATGTCAACATAATTTCTCCACCTACACAGCGGGCCATCCGGAGGCAGGGAGTCACCTCGCCACGGCTCTTTCTTTCGCTCCGAAAGTCTGACCCGCTGCGTGATTGCGATTGTGGAGTTTAATTTAAGGCGAGCACGCGCTTATGTAAGATGCGACCCCGCATCTGTTCGGGGTTCGTGCCTTGAGTCTTTTGTTTTTCGCGTCATTCGCCACGCCAGGAAGCCGCCGCGAACTGCAAACTAAGAGGTGCCCCTCATTTCCATGATAAATACTCTCTTGCATTCTGAACAATATTCGGCGTGCGATGCGGATAATGATCCCAAAGAGAGATGCAGCCAAATGGTGATTATCATGGTATTATCATGGCAGTCGCTCCGAAGAAGGGTTAAGCCGCCAGCAGGGCGTCCGTCGTCCATCGGTGCGTATACATAATGCTCACTGGCACAGCATTCGCATTTGTTGCTGTAACATTTTATTGCTTTTTATTCGACGGAGCTGCCATCATCACAGTGCGCGTCATAATATACATAATTTCTTAATTGCTCGGGGTCAGCTCGCAGATGGATGGAGTGATGCTCGCAATGGTTGGTTATGGCTGATTGCTTCTGCTGTTTTTTATACTTTTCATTTTTTCCCTCTTCTCTTACTTATCTTGAGTGTTTCTTTTTTGGGGCGCCACGCTGCGGCAGCTGGCTTAAGAGTCGGCATGAGGTTTCGTCAAATAATCATAATCAAACAAAAACATCTCTTAAAGGTGGTAGGAAAGCAGTAACGATTGCAACTTGAGAAGGCAGAAATTTTAATTAGAGAATTTAGTGACGAAATATTTTTAAATTTAGGAAGATTATAATTTTATTCAGAAGCTTGTGAAGAAATTATTTCCGAACCTATAAATCGTATATATTATTGATCAGCATCAACAGGCGAATCGATCTGGCAATGTCGGATGAAAAAATAAATTTTCAAAATTTTTTCAAAATTTCAAATTTTTATAATTTTCATAATTTGACAAAAAATTAAATGTTTTAAATTAAAAACGAAGTATACATCTTTATTAACCACATTAAAACTAGCACAGAAAAGCTGTCCGAATTGAAATTAACAAATTTTTGGCTAAGTAACCATATTTGAAAAACTGTGATTTGAACAATAAATAAGCATACCTTAATATAGATTTAATATACCTAAGATACACATATTTTAGGGTTTCTTGTAGCTTTACAAACTTATTATATTGTATGTGATACTTATATTTCCTTTTTTATAAAGAAGAAGATTTCAGAACGTTTTGAAGCCTACAAATTATTATATAAAACTCTTTCTGGGCACTCTTATTGAGTTTCGTTACTACTTTGTTGTCAAGGAAATTCCCTCAACTTTTGGTCATATGTATATTGAAAATTGATTTAAAATCCCTGAGACTTTCGTCTTATTGTTAACAAATAGAATTTATATTTATATTTAATAAATAATCTGAGAAATCTTAGATCCATCTTCTTATTTTCCTGGATCCTCGTAGCAATGTTTCCCTAGGGAAGAGAAAGGTCTTCTCCTTTATCCTGCAGTTATTAAAAGAAAGCCCTATATAGTCGTATATGGTTTTATCTTAGTTTATAAACATTCCTAGACTCCCATTAAGCTCTTAACCCAATTAGTCTATCAAGAGCCCAATAATTATGCCATTTTCTTTGACCCCCGTCGATTTCACCAATTCTTCTGCAACAGATCCTCCTTATAAGCTCACCATAAACGATCTATTGTCTTTCCCCTCTTTGTATATATCTGAACTTGACAATGGTCGCACGTAACAAAACCATTTCGGGAAGATTATTTCTGCCCTGCTATTCCCAGGCCCCGCAATATGCTAAACCTCTCTGATTCCGCCTTATTGTGCTGGGACTTAAGCTGAATTTCGTTTGTATTTACTCGTTCGCTAAACGTTAAAATATTTTTGCCTCGAACGTGCCTGATGAATATGTAAACAAGGCGAAAAAAAAGCCAACAAATATTCGCATATAACACTCGTAGTGCTCGTATATGGGCTTTACTTTTTGGGTTAATGTTAATGCGAATGCATCTGCGGATGGGCAATTTAAAAAAGTTCACCAAATTGTCTGACATCGACATGCAAATTTCATTTAACTTGTTTTCCCTTTGCGGTTTCCGTTTATTTTCTCCATCCGCCATCGCCATGCCCATATCTGCATATATAGTATACATATATGTATGTATGTTTGTAGTTTACTATATATATGTCCATATATCTATGCATAATTTGAACACTTTCATACTCTCGCGGAAAGGGTGGTGCTAATTTTGGCAAGAGACTTGCAAAATTATAGTGGGAAGATGCTTTCATTTGGCAGTTTTTCTATTAATACAAGTTAGTTTTTTTGGTATGAACATTTATTAAATTGATGTCCTCATAACAGACAGGCTTTTAAATTTAAACTGAGACTCTAGTTTAGGGATTAGTTATTATTCCTTAATATTAAAAGAAATACTTTTTATAAGAACCTAAACCAATTTAAACTTTTTTAATCAAAGCCTTAGCTTTGACTTAAAAACCATTGTATGTTAAATTGGTTATGCATTTATAAAACATATTGCTTTATAAACCAAGATAAATATTTGTTCAACTTCTTTATTTACAAAACAATACAAAAACACCCTATATAAAACTGAAAATTGGACTTTAAATAGATTAAAAATTCAACTAAATGTATTATTTCTTATACTTAAAGATTTCTACGTTTACTTACAACTTTTCCTTGAATTTCTTAGGGCATTGTAGGTGTCGACTGTCCGTTCTTTTGGTTGGCTTTTGGTAACTGCTTGCATAAAAGCCAAAAAAAAAAACCTGGCTGAAAGCGTGGGTGCCTTTCACTCAGCCTGAGCTCAGCGCGAACTCTGGACGGTCGGCGTGCCATGTCAAAGTTGGACTCGAGACGAATGTGCAGTGAGTTTTGTGGCTTTTGCTTCTGCTGCAGCTTGGGCATCAGCTTCAGCTGCAGCTTCAACTTCAGCTGGAAATGATTCAATTTCACGGCCATTCATTCCGCTGCGAGTGCTCGGCCACCGCAATTTGGCGCAATTAGCAGCACGCAGACTTGCAGCTTGCAACCGAGAGTCCGTCTGGCGGGCTGCACACGCCCCCACTGGAAAGCGAAAAAAAAGGAAATCCCAAATGGGGGAAATGCACTCGTCCGGCTAAATGAGCAACGCCCGCTGACCAGAAGTGGGAGTGGGAATGGGAGTGGAAAGAGGAGGCGTTCCGTCGACCTTGCCGCCAAGATTGCTCCACAAATCGTTCGGTGGGCCTTGTCTTGCCTTGGCTGATCATTAGCCAAGCCACATGGACATGAGCACGGCCAGAATCGGTGACCTTTCATCGAGAGCCATCGAGCAACTGAAGCGTGGCGCCTGTGACGTGGACACAACTGCAAAATAGATCGGCATCTTGTCTGGCGAGTGGCACTAAGTCGGATGTGGATGTGGCCACCGGCCTGTGGATGCAATCAAGCGGTGAAGGCGGTGCGCTTCGATGGACCTCAAACCGGAGGACAGTTTCATGTTGCGACACTTCCACCTGCTGCTGTTGTTGTTGTTGTTGTCAACTTGGAGTCTTTGCAACGCGGTCATTTGTGGTCAAGCGAAAAGAAAAACCAAAGGGAAAAGGCAAAAAGTCACAGCTGCCCACAGCCGGAACATATATTTTCCAGTTGGCTGACAGCCCAAGTTGCAAAATTCTCAGAACCAATTAGCAAGCAAGGAAATTATAAGCAAATTTCTATTGCTTAATAATTACCTTAATACTTAGACTTTCATTGAAATTCAAATTTAAATTAAGTTTTCTCTCGCGCCTAAAAGTGACCACCTGTTATCTCTCTCTAATGCAAGCTTTTTATTACACTAACAAAAGCTTACAAACTGATGTGAGTGCAAGCGGGATGGCTTAAGTATATAGACAACTGGTTCGAACTAAGGAACCAGTTGGAGAAAGTGTTGTAAAACGTGTTTTAATCAATCCGTTACAATTTTCAAATTTCTAAAAATAATGAAATGTATATATTTCTTTTTGTATTTATCTTGAATAGAATGATTTATTAGTATATAATTGTGAAACCTTTAATTTAAAGCTGCCTTTTATGCCGGCTTCCTGGCTTTGAAGAAGTTGTTAAACAATCTCTGTAAATAAACATAAATTTAAAACATTAATTAAAGAGAAAACAATATTCCTTAAACATTATGAATAGATAAATTAGGGTTCAACTTGTGTCATTTTAAAATTACTTTACCTCCATTATATAAAACCATTTTAATATGCCTTTAATTTCTTAAAAATACATAAAATAACTACAATTAAAACTCACTTTTCTTGGTATTCGTCCAGCCAATTTTGGAATTAGCATCCTTATTATACTTCTTAAGCCAATCCAGCACAGGTTGATAGTACTCCAGCAGGTCCAGACTACTGAGACCCGTATTATTGGGCAGTATCTTGCCCACAACCTCTTTCCAGGGCTTCTTAGAGCCCAAAGACATCATGGATCTTGTTGGAAACAATATGTTAATGGTATAAGTAATATTATAGAGAGAAAAACTCACTTGAGGTCGTTGCCTACAGCAAAGCTGCCATAGAAATCGCAATTGTGCAGCGGCCCCCGGCTAAGACTCTTCTTGCAGAACTGCCGATAGAACTGATAGCCCAGAATTTCGGAAATAAATTTCCTAAAAATATCAAATAAAATTTGAATTAATCATTTTATATATAATATACTTTTACTCACTGTGTCTGGAAACTCTGATCAATGTTCACGTAGAACTTGTAGGGGAAATCAATGGCACCTTCTGCTCGATCTGAAGGGGGCTCAATGCCTGCATGTTGCTCCAACAGCCTCCAATAGTGTCTGTTTACAGTGTCCATGTCCACCGTGTCATTGAGTAAATCATGCATTACCTTGGTGTGCACATAGTATTGCGGTATGCTGAGTATAGTATGGATTGCCTGCAGAAGGAACTCTTTAATAATAAAGTCTTTACAAGGATCAAGTAAATATTTTTACCATACGGAAGAGACGATTCATCAGAGCCTGATCGCTGAGCACACCCTTGGCCGAGAGACGACCCGTGAGATGGGATGGAGCAGAGGCGGACAGGACCACGGCCTCACCCACGGCAAACTCCAGGTTGTAGGCCTTAAAGTAATAAGAAGGCAAATGTTTTTTCTGAAGGGCATAGTAGACACGGGCCATGTGGCTGTGGTACTGCATCAGCTTCCGGAAGCTGACCTTCTCGCAATACATGAGATAAACGTGAGGGGTGAGATCAAAAATCGAGGGCCTGCAGTCATCATTGGGCCTGTCCTCGTTCGGTTCCTTCAGTTGATTCCGATGAAAGTCCACGGACAACGGCTCAAAGCCCAGTGAGGTGTAGAAACTCTCCGATTCGTTGACCATTGCCTTGGCACTTAAATGATTCACAAACTGATCAAACTCCGGCAACTGGGCCCTCGGATAGTACTGCTCCAGAATGCTGCCACCCGCCCATGCCTGCTCCAGGACCTGTTGGAACAAATGATCCGGAATGGGTCCATTTGGATCCACCACATCACCACCGTACTTCTGATGCAACTCGCGACGGACAAAGGCATGCAGCTCCTGGTAGGCGGGTCTAAGCTCCGCCATGGCCTGCTCCATCTGCTGGAGCATCTCTTGGCTATCAGAACGATACCACAGCCGGTGAACTGGCACCTCCAGGATCTTGGCTGCCCGCTGGTAGGACTGGACAATGGTATAGAAATTGACCGAGGCCCACAACTGATTCTTCTCACGCCACGCCTCCCAGTAGTACTTCAGCTCGTCGGCATCCCGGCTGCTCTGGACGATCTTCTGGATGTCGGGATAATAGGCCAATGGACTATCATCCTGATCGGGCATATTGACTCCACCCAAATACGGCTCAATGTCCTTGTCCGTGGCCAGGGTCTGCAGGGCAGCCAAATTCACTTGCACCGACGAGAAGTAGTCATCGCCCAGGACAAACAAGTCGCCCACACTGCGCAACTCCTGCAGGGCATGCTTCGTCTCCGGATCCCGTATCCTGTCCAGATCGAATCCTCCAGCCTGCCTGGATATGCTTACCAGCTCCTCGGCAATGCGCTTGACATTATTCAGCTTGGAGAAGAGAGCATCGAAGTCATCTTCGTTGTTTGCCGAATACGTTTCGGCGACAATCTCATTGTAGAATCTATAGTAACGATCGCTCGACTGATTCACAAATGTCTTGGCCTCCAGGTCAAGATTGGCAGCCGCAGTGGTGCACTGAGATAAGGAGGGAAGAATATATATTTAAAATAGAATTTGGGTTGAAAAAGAGGTTAATTTTAAGAGAAATATTTAAGTGAGAGGTTAGCGAAGAATATAATGCATTTAGAGCTTAATGAAGCAGTTTTTCCTCTACATTTCTATTAAGATACAGGTTTTAAACTCTTCAAATATTTAAGTAAATTTAACTAAATATATAGTTCTTGTAGAGTAAACTTTATCTGAGATATTAAATCATTAATATTAGTTGATTTTAAGGTAAATAACTGTGATTTTGGAAGACATATCAAAACAAAACATTTGAAAAGAAATATAGCATCTCAAACAGTAATCAAAGTTTAATATTAAATAATCTCAATTATAATTAAGTAATCTCTATTATTATTAAATAATCTGTATAATATAATCTCTAGAATGCTTACGCCAATGCCTGCTATCAGCAACAGCGGCAGCAGCAGGCTCATCTTTTCAGGAATCGAATTTGGATTTAGATTTTGATTCGGATTCGGATTTACTTTCGCTCTCGACACCGGATCTTCGCAGACTGATCTGGGCTTTGCCCAGGGAGCTGGCATTTAAAGCTTCCCCGGGTGATAAGCCATGTGCGTAATCTCTATGGGAGATTCATGCCCGGAGGTCGAGCGAACCGCCACAATTGAGCACAGAAAGTAACTGCGTGGAATGCCATGATGTCTTGTTTATTAAGCGGCTCAATAAAAATGCAATATATTGCTAAGTGTTATATGGTCGTATATCTAGAAGAAGGTCATCGATTGGGGTCAGGGTGGGGATGCAGTCATAGTCAGGTGGATCTTCTGGGTGCATCGGTAGCGATCTAGCTCTGGCGCTGCACAGTGCGGTTCTCATGGCGAATGGTCACGTCCACAATGCTCATGTTGGGGGTGAGGAAGTTCACCAGACGATCGGCACCAGTGCGGGGCAGGCGGTCGAAGGGGAAGCCCATGGCCTGACGATCGGGATAGAGGCGATCACGGACACCGCAATAGGAGGCGGCATCACTGCACTGACCCTGCAGTTGCTGGTCGATCTGGAGGAGGCAAAAGGTCACTCAAGTTTCCATGAAATTATTGAGAATACTTACCCTATCGTTCTCGTAGTTGGAGACCATGATGAAGAGGTCGCAGCGCAGACCCTCGGGCAGACCCTTCGGCACCAGCATGTGATTGGGCCAGCCGCAGCCGCAGAAGTTGAACTCCAGCTCACCCGCGGAGCCAGCAGCCGGACGATTGGCATCCAAATTGCGGAAAGTGCGCTCAAACGGAATGGTTACACTGGATTCCGTGGACCGACGGCGAATGGTGTTGGGACCCGGATTCAGAGCAGCCACAAACTTGTCCAGCTCGATCATCATGAGGCGCTGCTCCCTGAGCAACATGGGTTGACCACGCTCATCATTCTTGGGCGCCATGAAGATGCGGACATAGCCAAAGCGCTGGGCACCGCTGGCATTGTTCACATTGATGGTGTAGGTGAAGGGCAGATGCTGCAGATGACTGAACCGAGCAAAGACATTGCCACGTGGCAGGAAGTCAAAACCACGGGATAGATCCACATCGGATTCCTGCCAGAAGGTGCTCAGCGTGTTGGCCTGACCCCCATTGGTGGCCACCTCAATTCCCGTAATAGAGATGCCCGAGTAGTTGAGCTGCGGCTCCGTGTAGGCCGGCAGACGAGACTTGTGCTCCTGGAAGATGCGATCGATGTACGAATGCCACTTGTAGAAGACCGGATCACGCATGGCGGTGGACACATCACCCATCACGGCAAAGGATTCCAAATGCTTGTTGGCAGGATCATGGGCATACGAGATGAAGGTGTGACCATTGTTGTGCAAGTCACCGTACTGAAAGAAACAAAAGATTATAAATATCTATTATTAGATAAAACTCTTGAAAATATCTAACTTACCAGCGTGCGATTCGGCGACAGAATAGAAGCCTCAATCATATTGCCCAAGTGATCAATACCCTTGGTCTCATCCAGAGGAATCCGGTTGCCGCGCTCCTGTAAGGTAAAACTAAATTAAAACAACTTTCAGAAGAAACTCTAAGCCAAAACCCACATCCATAACGAAGCCCTGATGGATAGCCTCGTAGATGCGATCACGCCAGCGCTCCAGATCACCGATTTCCACATTCAGTTGATCCGCCTCTCGATTGAGATCACTCAGTTTGGTGTTCTCGAAGCGCGGCGGCCAGGCCCGACTGGCCACCAGAGAGTCCATCTTGGGGAAATAACCCTCGGCAATGGGCTCCCGGAGATTGTTGAAGGGCTGAACCCTGGCCAAGTTGTTGCTGAAACGCTCTGCATTGTAGCGAGCGATCACCTGCTGGTGCATGTAGTAGAAGAGCTCGCCACGACGATCCTTGTCCACAATGCTGCGGTCACTGGCCTCGAAGGGGTACACCAGATGCCAATGCCAGTGATGAAGGTTGATGCCCAGATCCTCACGGAAGTACCACAGACGATGCTCCTGATCCAGATCGGAGGCGGTGTAGTCCCGGGGAATGGTGATTGGGATACGAGAGCCGGGATTAACCACAAAGGACTCCTCACGCAGCTTCCGCATCACCTGCGAGTCAATGAAGCGATCGGGGAAGGACTGCATGAAGGAGGGCAGATCCAATCCTTGGGTATCCGGACGATGGAGCAGAGCCACCGACAGGGCATAGTTGAAGAGAACCGGATTGAGGCGATCACGGGCATAGACAGCCACACTCTGCAGATCATCCACGGAGCGCATGTTCATGAAGATGTCAATCAGGCGACCGGCAACCCTGCGGTGCTTGGGCAGGAACAGCGAGAACTTCTCGTCACGGCCCAGGGACATGGGGATCCTCAGATCCGGAATGGAGATCTCACGCACTGGGATGCGTTGCTCCACCTTGTCGCCAACACGACTCTGAACCTCATTGCTGATTGGCTTATAACGATCCGTGAGGAAAGAGTCGGGAACATCGAACACGGTCACCCGCTTGCCCTTGTCCATGAACACAGGCTCGGTGGGATGATCGAACAGCAGCAGAAGGTTCTTTTTGTCGGCCATGGTGATAGGTGGGTCTTCTATTTCTGCGGATCTCTCAAAGAAAAACTCTTGAACTGTCACTGGAAGCACTGAGACTTCACAACTGTGACTATCCAAGGGACAGACTGGGTTTTATATATCCCCAAAGTTCCATGGGTTTATCATTATCACCCCGAAGAACCGCATGAGAAAAGTAATTGATAAGGTTGCAAGAGAAATTTTGTATTACTTTAAACAGGAAAACCGCAATGTTTGCTTTTTGCATACTTCTAAAATACATTCTTTATTATTATTTCAAGTACTGTTTTTCTTTGGTATATTGCATAGGCTTATCTATACACATGTACTATTTGGGAATGAAATTTTTTGGTTTGGGTTATCTCTTGTGGTTTGTGTATGAAAAATCAAAAAACCTTCGCGCTAAGATCTCTTTTCTAAACAATTAGTTATATATGTATTTATTTATATATAATATGTTTGCTTCACTACATGCACAATATAGTAATAATAATAATAATTCCAATTCGGCTATAATCGTTCAACAGTTTTGTCCCTAACTCGATATCTTCGATATATAATTATCATTTTTAGCGCTAGAGAAATAGAGATACAACGAGAGTTATTTTTTTGGCGAGTGAGAATATGAGCAGAATATCGGAGCGATAAGCAGAGCTCTCTATATAGAGTGTATATACAAGGGTCTGTAGAAATTGTTCCTTTCCGGTCTCTTTTGTGTAAAAGCGATAGTTGTTCAGTTGGTTAGATCTTGTAAAAAGTATCTTAGAAAAGCCCTTGGTTTTTATGTCCCGTGTCCCGTGTCCCTTGTGACGTGGCCATGATATGTTGTGTTTAAGCTCTTAGAGTATAGGGTATATAATAGAGTATAGAGAGTTTGATGGGGTCTTCAGCAGCAGCTCTGGTTCCCTCGATCCGAATCGATTGATTCTCGTCCAGATGAGGCAGTAAGAAAAAGGTATGGCAGATGATAATTTCAATATATCGAGTATGTATCATAAATCGAAGTTTGCGTTACATGTTGATATATCGGATCAAATTCTGTAACTTGTTTGGTTTTGAGCTTCGAGAATATCAAGTATTTAAAGTTTAATGGGATACTTTTCAATATTCCGATATATCAAACATTTACGATATTTTCGATAGTTTCCTCTCGATATACATTCCTAGTAAGAAGTGATAGAGAGAGAGAGAGATAGGGCTTTGTGTGTAAAATGTATAGACTTTAATCACATCCAAAAATGCATACACATGTATTTACATAATATAGTGCAGTATATATATAAATCAAGGGTTTTACAAAAATATATCTTTGTGTATAATATACAAAATCCATAAAAAGAATTCAGTGCCGTTTTAACAACTCAAAACTGTTGTTTTCAAATCGATGTGTTCTCAAGTGGGGGAAAGTATTTGATGTTTCGCTCGACATTTGCTTTGATTTTCTGGTAGTTTTTGTTGGTTTTGATTTTAAGCGACGACATCTTCTCTTTGGGGGAGCTAAGCAATTGTCTACTCTTGTGTATATATGTATATATATATATATACTTATATAAAACTTTGAAATATGATCCGGTAACGACGTCATGGCATAGATATACATATTACATACATACATAGTTACAAATAGTTGTTGTTTTTGTCGGTATAATACTTGTTTTTTGATTTTGCCTCACAACTGGAGGGGGTCAGGGGGCCTTCGTTAAGGATTGCATGTGTATATTGGTGCCCAAATAGTTTCCAGACTACGCTAAAGCTACGGATAACATCTAGGTTCTAGTTTTGGTTTCATTTCAATTCTTGATCTTGATTTTTTCATATGCGATGGAATGGCATCAAAAAGTACACATTTATTGAGGAACTTTCACTACTGCAAAACTCTGTACGGGGAAAATAAACATCTATATATCCGGTGCATATATATATGTATGTGTATATAGTATGTATGATCTAACACTGATCCGATCCGATGCCCGGCCTTTGTACTGAGGTTCGCCCGTATCACCTTCCTGGCACTCGAGCACACAGGCACTAGTACCTTGTACTAGCTCCCAGTACCACCTACTACTTACTTACGCAGACACTTTGAACGTCTGGGACTCAGGTACACACGTTTCCTTCGATGCGATGCGGTGCAGAAATCAAAAATTTAATGTCGAAATGGAAAAAAACCCAAAAACAAAAAACAAAAGAGAAAGAAAACGAGGGAATTCCCAGCCCTGCAACCCAAGGACTTTCTTGGGTTCTACTTCCGTTCCTTGGCCGTTGTTCCCTTCCGGACTTCGATTCCTTAGTTGGCGGCGGTGGCTGTGGCATTCTGGAACTCCTGCCGGCAGTAGCCCATCACGATATCCGCTCGGCAATCGCCGCCCATTAGTCCTGGCAGGAGCACTGCCGCCCCCAGGATGGTCACCAGGGCACCAAAGACCACCAGACCCAAAGCGGGCAGCTTCTCGCGGCTCAGCAGGGCGTGCGGTTCCATTTGGATGTAGGCCAGACCGGGCAGGATGTACGCCAGAGGGATGGCAGCCAGGAGACCCTGAAATGGGTGAAACAGGGCATAAATTTGCATGGCAAATATACAAAAAAAAAAAAAAAAGGGAAACAGAGGTAGAGATGGGAACCCAAACCGAACCGATGTGGGCAATACCCGTGACCAGAATGCAAGGGCCAAACGACTTGGTGATGATAATAAAGTTGCCCATTCTCAGTCCCAGGTCCAACCCAAAGGTTCCCTCACTTGGGCCATGTGAATTAGTCTCAGATGTATTTGATGAAGTATTTTAAAAATTCAGAATCCGATTCCCAGTTAGCATTAAGGGAAAATACGTTGAAAGGCAGTCAATTTGCCTACTTTATGGGTGGCTCTCAAAGAATCGAATGGGAAAATGTTGAATTTATGCACAAGAATGAAGTAAGAAACTTGAAACTTTAGTTATTGTTATTACAGGCTTCCCAAACTGCCCGTAAATGAGGAATATGAAGCAGTTTTAGATAGATTATTAAAGACTTTAAGTTAGTTTTTAAGCTAAGTAACTCACATTCAGTTCCAGCACTGAGCCCAGGCAGTCGGTCATGGGAGAGATGACAAAGGCGCTGAACACGATGGCCATGGTAATGGCTTTCGAGTACTCATCGATCTCGGCGCCCTTCTCCAGGCTGGGGTCCTTGTCCTGGGTAAACTCACTGATGGGCTCCTTTAGCACAAATCGATGGACAAGGGCGCGCACAATCTGCAAAGTAATATTTATACATATATATTATAGAGTATATTAGGGTCCCAGTTCCCAACTTACCTCCCGGGAAACGAAACACTCGATGGGGAAGGTCAGCAGTATGGATACGGAGAAGAGAACACGCGAGAAGTTCATCAGGTCGTCATCCCAGCAGTAGTTCTCCAGCAGGTCACCTGCGACAAACAAATCCCATCAGCAAATAAAACCCAGTTGAGCCAAAAACACACAACAGGAAGACAGTAAGACAGTAAGACAGTAAGACAGGCAGCAGGAAATTCCCGCAAATTGCTTGTCACTGCAATTAAATGCAATTTGTGTCAATCCGTTTCCCTCCTGGCTCACCTTGGGATAAGGCGCGGAAGGTTGAGTAGCCGGCGATGCCGAATAGGGCCGCCACCGTCCAGGCGAATCCAATCGAGATGTGGGTGACCTTCTCCCAGCGTTCCATGGTCGCCTCGCGCATCGATTGATAAACGAGGAAGGTATTGTGATGACACATGAAAGCTGCCCAGGACAGGCGTCCCAGAGATAGACAGAAAGACAGATTGATATATCGATATAGGAGCACTTTGGAAAATACATATATATGAGGGATTACTTAATGTGTATAATCAATAAATTTGAGTTACTATTAATCTTGAAACTAATCAATCTATCTTGGGTTAATAATAAATCAAGAGAATGAAACATAATGAAAGCTAAGGGAGTTATTATCAATTTAACCAATTCTATAACTTCTAAAACTTTTTAAAGAAAATAATAAAAACAAAGAAATAAGGTTAATAAAAGCAAAAGCAATTATTAACCATTATAAAATGGAATTTAATCTTTGATGATGTCAAACAAATGCCAAAAACTATTTACCAACTAAAGAAAATAATAGCAAATATACTCTGTAGAATATTCTCTAACTCCAAGTGTATTCCCATGAATTTCTTGTACCAATTTCTCACCCAAGTGTAGCCAAGATGACTAGGAAAAAACCTCCTTGCAACTCACCAAAGACCATGATGCCCGTGGCTGGGATAAGATCCGAGTTAGCAAAGCGCCAGGACTCCGCCGTGTCCGTTCTGCAAATAAATCAACACGGAAAAGGGAGACAACAGATAGCAAGTGGAAAGTTATTTCCATTTTTTTATTCTGGTAAAACATTACACACAAAAGTTAACACCAAATTAACATTTTGTGGCCGACCGCGAGATGTGAATTATTCGCATAAAAAAATGAGTAAAAACAAAAGGTGCGGTCCGCCGCAGATAAGATGTACGGAATGCAAAGAAGGCCAGCTGCAAATTGGAAATTTATTTAAATTTTATACCAAGTCGCCTTCAAGGGTATAAAACCTTGGAAATCCTCCCCTAAACGCAACAATTCCAGATCCCCCCGTTGACCCTGAGACTGCAAGTGAAAGTGTTGCCTTGCTGTCCCCTCCAGCACCACCCAGGCTCATGTGTACATAGATATATGAATATATATATGCATACAACTAAGTTGCCACTGCAACGGACTCGACAAAAAACTCAACTCGACTCGCCTAATGAAAAGCCATAAAAGGCAAACAAGTGGCACACTAAATTTTATGAGCTCTGCGCTCCCCCAGCAGCTTTTGCAACAGCACCAGAAGTGGGAGTAGGAGCTGCTGCAGGAACGGAGGAGGCGCACCGACCAGGAGCTGCTACATACTATCGCCCAGGGCAGTTGCCACAGATTTGAAAGCACTAAAGCGGCACTTAGCACTAAAACCCAGCAACCACCCCCAGAAAACAGCCCCACCGCAGGACTCGAGCAGGAGCAGGAGCAAGAGCAGGAGCAGGAGCAGGAGCAGGAGTCCTATTCCCAAGCCCAGGTCCAACTGGTTGCAACTTTGTTCGCGGTTAGTTCGAGGGAAGGCGAAAAGTACACAATTTGTAATTAAAATGCAAATAAATCTTTACGCGTTTACCCAGCAATATTTATGCTTTTTTTCGGTAATTTTTATAAATTGCTTTTTTGCGGCTACAAAGTTTTCCGCTAAATTGAAGAAGGTTGCGTGGAAATTTGTCCGGTGTTCTCTTTACAAAAAAAGTACAAAGTTAGAGTTTTGTATTGTGAAAATAACTCTGTTAACTGCTACTCACTAGATTATATATAAATTAAGATATTCCGCAAAAACCCTCTTAACAGTCACTAAAACTGTGAAAAAAACTATTCAAGGTTTTCCTAAAGATACTATAAATAAGCGATATAAGGTTCTTAAAATTTAATTACAAATTAAACATCGAAATCAATAAATTATTTAGCTATAAAGCAATATGTTTACATTATTCTTTTAGCAAAAGCAGTTTTCCACTCTGAATTCATAATTAAAACAAAATAAATAAAATAAGAAAAAGCCTCTTCAGTTACTTAACAAAAATCTCCGCTCTGCCTTATTCCACACAACAAACTTTTCAGTTTGTTAGTTAACAAGTTTTATTTTTGCCCACAATTTCTAATTAAAATGCAAATAAATCCTTAAGCCATAGCACAGCAATTATTATACTTTTGTTTTTATAGTTTCTATAAACAAGAGTAGATTTTAAAACTATATCCTAAAGCTCTACACAATAAATCTCCATAACTAATTGAATAAAAACAAACTACGAATTAAAAACATGAAATAGAGAAATCAGAACTGGCAATTAATTAAAATCGCGTTTCGCTGAATGCACATTATATAGTTTTCTAAATCCGATTTGCTAAGCTTTCCCATCCGCGGAAATCACTTAATGAATTATCTATGTGGGTCAGGCATCACAAATGAAATTAATTAGCTGAATTAAAGTCTAAATTGACTAAATCGATAGCGCTTTTCACTTAGTTTTGCACTTGTGAGTCTCGAAAGCAATTGGAATTTTACACCTTCTATGCTTTAATTAAGTAAGGGTATACAAAATACTTTGTGGAAGGGAAAGCAAGCAACTTAAAATAATATACCTTAAAGTAAAGAAAAGTATATATATATACTCACACTTTGTAATCGCCCGACATGAGCTTGATGATGACCGCAAACAGGATAAAGACCACACAGGCCAGGCTAACGAAGCTGGCTCTGGCCAGCCGGGAGACATTCTTGTAGAGACACAGGGGCATCACCACGCCCACATTCACAAAGAAGACCACGCCCAGCCGGACGGCGCCCATGGAACCGCCCCAGGATGGAAAGAAGCGGACCAGCACCTTGGACAAAGTATCGCCCACGACAACGTTGTAGGAAATCATGGCTGCAAAAGGGGGAATAAAGAATGTGTCATCAAAGCTGGGTTATCAAATCGAAGTGCGTCTTAAAAATGCTATATTTCTATGGCCCTTTTAAATTAAGAAAATATTAAAGATAAAGATCTAAGATCAAAGACTTAATGCCTCATTCCCTTCATCCTTTGAATGCTTAAACAACTCTTATAAATTCCTTTAAAGTACTAGGATAATACTCACCCAGGAAGGGATACATGAACTGCAGGAGCGAGAGCAGGTAGTAACCATATTTTCCGTAGGCCGCCTCCATGATGCCCGGATAGCTGAACCGTCCGCAGATGTGACCGCATCTGACCTGCAAATGAAATGGGGCTTGAAAAGTCAAATCAGGCAATCTGCTAAATGCAGGACACCCACACCGCGTGTGTGTGTGTGCTTCTTAATTATGCAAATAATGCTAGACGCGAAATCAAACGGGAAATGCGTTTTCCCGGCGACTTTCGGACATCGTGTGTACCGTGTCTGCGGGAAAATTGCCACTTTAAACCAATTTTCGGGGCAAGCATCGATGCAGAGGCCTCATTTTGGGTTTGAGATTACACCGAGATACATTTTTGAAGCTTAAAATGCATTAACATCTTACTATTTTTACAATTTATAAAATTTTCTTTAGATTTTAAATCATTTACAAATATTTATTGCTGATTGAAAACCAAATCTTTCTTAAATTTTCATCAATTTTATATTTTAAATTAAAACAAAATTATGTAGTTTCATGTATTTTCCTTTCAATATACAATAATTGAAATGAAACCTCATTTAATGTCAATTGAATTTTCTTTACAGAATTCAGGACTCTCTGCTGCAGCCACTTACCATGAGGATGAGCGAATAGTCGGTGATGTAGGCCACCAGGATGAGCAGGGCCAGGCCGAGGCCAAAGCCGGCGCGGTGGAGGGCGTAGGGTATGCCGATGACGCCGCTGCCCACAATGGAGTTGATGTAGTTGAACGAGGCCTGTGGCAGCGAGGACAACGTGTCACCCAGCCCGGCATCCTGCTGTGGCTGCTGCGAAGGATGATGATGATGCTGTTGCTGCTGTAGCTGCTGCGAAGGATGTTGCTGCTGCTGCTGCTGCTGCTGCTGCTGTTGGCCCTGTTGCTGATGTGTCTGATGGTTGTTCTAGGACGAGGCAAGGCAACAACGAAACGTTAGCAACTGGTCTTCTCCCTTGTGCTCTCCATTACTGCACGTTGATTGGGATAAGAGCGCAAAATTGCCTCGAGTGCCTCTTTACATCAAAAGCAAAAACCAACAGGACCCCCCGCCACTCACCAACCCATCACATCTCCATCCTCATCCTCATCCCATGCCAAGCACCCCCAGCTAGCCAATGTGGCGTATACGCAATATTCAGGTAAAGGTAAAAGACAAAGGCAGCTCATATCGTATCCGTATCGTAAATTGCGGTTGTGCCAAAAACCCTTCTCTTTCACCTCTCCCCTGGAAGTATGTGTGTGTGGTGTGTGTGCACTGAACAAAAGCATATTTCCGGGAATAATTATTGACAGAAGAGTGAATACTGCTTAACAATATGTTAAAATATTCAATTTCCTAGAAGTAAGGCATAATTATTTGATTGGGTTTAACAGGAACTGTATATTAGGAGCAGATTTTCATATTGGTATGTATTATTTATCTTGGAATACAATATAAAATATTTTAAAAACAAGTGTAGCTTAATTTTAATGCTTCATAAATCATCAAAGAATTGTTTTTAAAAGAAAAAACCAACCAGAAATACCAAATGTTCTTAAGAACAATTTAAATTTAGCTTAGCTTTAATAAGTTCCGGAAATTCTGATGTGAAAACTCAATGAAAAGTACGAAATTATTCCTCGCTGTGCCGGTATTATGAGGTACCCCGCCCCAAGATGCCTGCCATAAAAGACAATTTTATATCAAGAGCTCTCACATAAACATAAATAAAATTCCTCAGCCACGTCATAAAGTCACGAAAAGCGGGCCAATGTTTCAGCCCGCATTTACAGCATGGCAACTAAAAAAAAACAAGAAAAACAAAAAACCAACGAGTAAAAATAATAAAAGCCAAAGGGATAAGGCCAAATTGGAGAGAAACTTTCGCCAGCTGGCTGGCAATTAAAGAAGTTTTCTCGCAACTAAACTTTGGTGCAAACAAACAGCAGCAGAAGCAGCAAACAAACAAACAAAAACACTGTAAAAGTTTGCTTTTCGACTCTCTCTCTCTGTTCTTGGCTTAACCCCGAACGCCCTTTAAAATGTCAACATTATCCAGAACTACTTTAAAATGATTTCCGGAGGTGTCCGGGTCATACCGAAGGCATAATGAACATTTCCAAAGGCAAATTACGCGCGAGTTGAGTTCAGTTTTCAATTCAATTAAGTGGCGCCAAAGGTCGCAGTAAGGTGTTTTTCATTTTCCTCCCTTTTTTTTTTTGGGCTGCTGAGTGTATCAAAGAAAATGGCTAATTATGGGGCACACAAAAACCCGGCCAAAGTCAAAGTGAAAGTTTCAGTGTCAGGGACAAGGTTACGGCATCTGCGTCCCAATGAAATTACAGAGTGTCCGTTGTCTCCAGTTCGCCATTCCGCCAGTCCTTGGTCCTTGGTCCTTTTTTCCATTCGAGCAAGAGGACGACACAACAAAAAAAAAGAGGAAGAAACAAATTGCGCCGTTGAAGGCAAATGGAGGAACGTTAATCTCTAGCAAAACCCTTGAAGGCTGCTCAAAATGCCTCACTCTTAACTGGATAATTTATAGCCAGCGGCTTTGATTAGTTTATCGTGTTAAACATTGCCCCGACATTAAAGTGAGTGTGTGTCCTTGGGGTCGAGTTAAAGTTTCATCGCCGTCAAGCCAATCCGAGCGCATCAGGAATCATAAATAAATGCCTGAATAAATAATTGCAATGAATGATTGAACTCAGCTTCCGCTGTTCAATCGAGCGATGTTTTGGGTCTACATGTGTAAACAGCACGAAATAAATTGAATATTCGTGGGTTAAGTGCTTCCTTTTCTGGTAATATGATGAACATTTTTCAATTGGTTTCATATTTACTTTAGAATAAGTTTAATTGCAACGGGAATATCAAATTATTTTACTTGGAAAATTAAAGAATTAAAAAGGTAGTTCATGAATTCACAGAAATATCATATTTAATTTCTCATTTTTACTGTGTACATATTTGGAATTAAATTCCAACCGGATGTTTCATATATTGATGAGTCCTTTTCAAGTAACACACTTTACGGAACGCTTGAATTTCCAACTCAAACTCCATAAATAATTTCCACGAAATTCCCGTGTCGGCAATTAAATGTTACAAACCCAATTAATGTACAAAGGGAAAAATGAAAGAGAAGCACAAAAAAATGGGAAGAGAAGAAAATGGAATCCCAGATGAAACTCAATTGAGCCAAAAGGCGTGTGAAACGGGAAAAGAAGCGAGAAAAAATCGAAGGAAAAGCAAGTACCAAAATCGTGCGGAGGGAAAAACAAGAGATGAAAATTGTTCGGTGGCTTTCCCAGGTGCTTACCCATACACGCACGTGCTCACACAAATACCTGTGAACCCCAAATCCCCCACACACTGAAGTCCACAAGTCCACCTGTCCAACAGAAGGCTTCTCTAATAAAAGACAAACATTGTCGAAGGCAAATACAAACTCAAACACAAATACGAGCAGCAAGCAACGCCAAACACGAAAGGCAATCTGCATTGGTAGAGAAGGGTCCTTGGCCTCCACATCCACAACCACATCCACATCCACATGCTCCTCCTAATGGCAAACAAAGCATTTTATGCACTGCACGATTTTAATTAATAACACTCATGTCTCGAGGTCCCATTCATACTCCCATGTCCCACACAACCCATGAACCCATGTACCACAATAATGGTATTAAAAATACCCTTTTTCCTATATATTAATATATAGAAAAAGCTTATGGGGCTTCTTGCTAATAAAAAAGAAAGAAGGGGATATTTACAGGCCTCATTTTATTGTATCGTAAAATACCCATAAATATCTAACTTACAAAAGTAAGGAAACGCATACAACTCGTTAGCTGAAATATCCACTGAAATATTACTCAAATATTAAGCTAACTTAACTCTGAGTTTCAGAGAAGTTGAAATGGTAAGAGTAAACATTATTTATATTAAAAATATTATTTGAGATACCAAGTTTAAATTAGTATTTTCTTTACATCTTATTTAATATGAATTTCAAACTTTGCCCATAAAATTCCCCCATTAATCTAACATTATTATTTTTAGTTTGAAATACCCAAGAGGAAAGGATAATAATTACAAACTTCCATTACAACTCCCATTATACATATGTGATATTTCAAATATTCCGTGTGGATAAATGTAACCTGCACTTCGGTCCAAACAATTTGTTTTTGCCAAATGCCAGGACTCTTGTTTGAGTTGGCCTAATGAAATTAGAGAACAGTTGGCAGGAACAATGGTAGCAACAATTTGCACTTTAATGGAAGCATTTTGGTTAACACAATGTGGTCCTAGGGTAGAGTGAAAAAAAAAAAACAATTAACTAGGGAAACAGGTAAATTTATGTAAAAATGCTTGCAAAATGCTGGCAAAATGCTAACCTCTGCCATCTGTTGTCGCTGAAATTGCCGAGTTTTTGCATTCGTGCATTTTGTGCCCCGCTGAACTATTGACACAGCCGTGTCGGCATTGTTGTCATTTTCAGTTTCAGGCATTTCCCACTCCCTTCTGTCCCTCCGCGAAAGACAAACAGGGGGCCTACCCTCTGACCCCTAACCTATGGAGGATATGGTGCAGGGGCAAACACAAACATGCAAGGCAGCCAAATGGTCCTAGGGCCACATCCTGCCAGAGGTCTCGGCTCACACAGCAAAGAAAAAAGGGTTTGACCTTCTGTACACCTTTACATAAATTTTAATGTGAAAGTAACAGGTTTAAAATATTTAACAAGTCTTTTAAACTCTGATATTTATATAGTTAGCTTTCCCAACTCGCTAATTTTTAAATTAAATTTCATATTTCATTAGTTAGTTTTTTTTCGAGTGATTTTGTGCGCTGACACTGTGCCCTGCGAATTTCGTGTTTAATTTAATTTTTGCAGTTCCCTTTCATTGCAATTAATGAGTATGCTTCGTCGCCGTCTCCGCCAAGTGCTGTTCCACTTTCCGCTGGAACTAACCTAATTGAGGAACAGCGCGGCAAGTGTCTCAACTATTGGCAATTTGCCTTTGAGCCCTCTCACTCTCTTTTTGGTTTGTGGCCATTAGTTGTGCAAACAATCAGGACCGGCTTCTTCTATGCGCACCCCTCGTTAATGCTGGCATTTTTTGGCCATTTCAGCCTTGGCCGTCTAATGGCTTTGCCAACAACGAAACTTTCGGTGCGAGGCCTAAGAAAACAACAAAGGGCCAGAAAAAACACTCACTAATACACACTCTCATACATGTGGCACACAAAGGGATGTGAATGAAATTCCTTACTTATGCATGGTAATGCATCAAATATTACACAATGTGTTCCCTTCAAGTTCTAGGCCAACACTTTGCCGCCCATCCATTTCCGCCGCACCGAAGCCCTTCATCCTGGCAGTCATATTCGAGTGTATATGTTTGGGGAAATCCTTTCTGGCCTTTACCGACAGACTTTCTCTGGTATTAGTTGCCAGGATTAGCTTCGGCTTAAAGCCAAGTCAGCTGGCAGTGTAATCTTTTGTACTCTTCTTTGAGCCCTATGTAGGTGGGTAGCGTTTAATAATGTGTAAGCCAGATGGATGGCCAAATTCCCTGTGAGCTGAGTTAAATTCCATAACTCAACTTTTGGGGATTGATTGCGTTTCTTTTAATGAAAATTCATTACTGCAATATAGTTTTAGGGCACGAGTTTATAATTTGCTTAATTTGTAAGATATATTTACAATAGCTAAAGTCCAAACATAGCTTTAAGTAAAAGATATAGGAATATATTATAGGACCTCGTTTTATTTATCTCTGAAAATCTTATTTACTGTCCCTAAGAATTTAAACTAAACCTAACTTAATTTAATAGTTTTCTTCATCTCCCAAAACTGCAATTTAAAGATATAATCACATTACTTCAAAGAGAATGACAAAAGATAGTATAATTTTACTCTACTCTTGTTCTCGAAAATAAGTTAAATATTAAATTTCAAGACTACTTTTCCCATTGTGCTACATCTTCATTATGAACCCATACATGCTTTTCGCCTAATGTAATATTTAATAATGCGCTTTCAGCTTCTTTAGGAAAGTCTGGGAAATATTTCTTAATAAGAAAATTCTTTTGATGTCCAGAGACCAAAAGCAATTTGCACTTGTACCAACCGAAAGACCTCGCAAAGGTCGCGGCCAGAATGCCAGAGATTCCCCGTCTCAGCTTGAGCCTCAGCCTGTGTCTCTGTCTCTGTCTCGAGCTCATTCTCCATCTCTCATGCCATCTCTATCTAGGCTCTTGCTATCCATCTCTGTCTCTTTGGACGTAGGCGTGTTACCCGGAATTCAATGAATGTGAAGGGGACTAGAGTGTGAATACGACTACGTTTCGCAATTCGCAATTCGCAGTCCTCGGATTCGGAATGCAAGTGCTGCTGCAGGCAAGTGGAAAGTGAAAAGCGGAAAGTGGAAAGCGGGGAGCGGAAATCGGGAATGTGGGTCAAAGTTCGTACCTTCATTAAATTGTTGAAGTCATCGAATGCATACGCCTCGGCAACGGAGACATCGCTGCCCTGATGGATGAACCAAAAGAATCACATTGTTAACCATTAAATCGAGTTCACTCCGCACAACTGAGTGATTCGCTTAAAACATAAAATAAACATAAAATCCATATCAAATCAAGCCAACAACAACAATACAACATGCATATTGTGGATGTACGTATTTTGTGCACTGCATACCGAAATGGAAGAGGAATCATATCACAAAAACAAAATCAACAACAAAAATAAATTCCAATTTATTCGCATCCCAAAATATATGTAGATATATATATATTCCTTCTGTATTTGTGGGTATATAGATATATATATATATTGTGTGCACATATCTTTATGGAACACGTGTTTTATATATCGCTTGGGGGAAATGCGCGCGAAAGTTCAGCGGTTCGCTGAGTTTTTCCAAGTCTGTTTATTATACCCTAACATAGAGTTATATCTTTCAATTGGATTTTATGGAAAAATACAAAGAATTTACTAGGATTTATATTGATATTAAGTAGGAATATGACAAATCACCAATCACTTTGTTATTAGGGAAAACCTTATAGATTTGTAACATATCATTACAAATATGTTGCTAAATGTATCATTTAGTGTACTTACAGAATTCCTCTTTACTCTTCTTTTTTCATGATATTTTATGAATTTCATTTAATTAAAACACAGCTTAAGAAGAGTATAAACCCTTCGGCTTGTCAGAACTCTCACTCTTTTATCGTTTTGCCCGTCAATTTCGGAGATACGAACGCGTTTGCTTTTATTGTTTTGCCCACAATGGGTGTGTGGTGTGTGGTGTGGTGGCCCCTGAATCCGTCAGGGTGGAAATCGAAGCCATTTAAGACACCCTCTACTTGCGAGCCAAGAGATGGACTTAGAGCACCTTTACGGCGCCAGATCTCGTAGGGGATTTGCCGCTATTCACCTTGATTGCCTGTGAGCTGGCGAGTGTGCAACAGTTGTTGCATAACTGCGGTGGTGCGGTGGCGTATACGTGATGCATGTTACTCATACGCCATGTGTGCGGCACAGCCTAACACAAACACTCCTCAACACACTCAATGCTGAATGCTCCTCTCAACCACTTAGTCCCCAGAGCGCCTGTCACCGCCAACGGACATTGTTAACGACCATCAATGGCCATTGCCTTTCAAATTTATTTAAATTGGGTTTTCCGCTTTACGACTTTCTCCCTCCCACTCAGGAATACCGAAAAATGTTTGATTTAATTGGGTCAATTGGCATCGAGATTGAGTTAAGCGTTTGAGCTGACTGTCTGTCTGTCTGTCTGACGATTTGGAATTTAGATTCCAATGCGAACTTAATTGTCGGAGCTTGCAAGTGCATCAGGCTGGTTCTGACATTGATTTCTGTCACCGCACAGGAGGGTGCTGTTGCTGCAACTGGCATTCTTATTTGATGCCTCAGCTGGCACAGACTCCTCCTCATCCTCCTCCTCATCCTCCCCCCCAAGGAGCATAGAGAGAGCTAGGAGGAGGCTGGCCAAGGCCAGACATGGGGGAGGCAAGGCAATGCCACCGCATGACCTGCATACTAAGCGACGATTAAGTGGATGTGGCCATAGATATAGAGCTGGAGCAGGACTCATAAATCCGGAAATCCTTCGCGGGCCCACGTATATTATGTATAGATGGTGTGTGTGCCTGCCTTTTGGGGGTTGTGTAATTAAAGGTCGTGCTTGCCGCTTATTGATTTTCTTATCAAGGGGCGGGCTTAATTAAGTCTTGAAGGATCTTGGACAAATTTTCACGCCCGTCAAAGGTCAGTGATGAGACAATAAATACCAGCCCCAATCCCCAGCACCCCAACCCCTAACGAATCGTCGTTAATCATAGCCTGTTGTGAATTGTGATTTGGATAATCGCTCAATCAAGACACGATTCGATGATTCTAATGTGTCATTGTCTGGCACTGAGGGGCGGAGTCCTGTGAATCCCATTGGGGGCTGTGCCAGGGCCAGTGCCAGTACCAGTCCCATAGCCAATGCCAGGGGGTGCTGAAAACAAATTGATTTAACAGTCTTTTTCACAGGACGAGTTGCGAACTGCGAGTTACGAGTTACGACCTGAAGCTCGAGTATGTGTGCCATGTGTTTGCACGAGCACGCAAGCCAATTCCATCAGTTGAGCGGAATGGAATGGGAATCATAACGAGCTTAAGGGATTATCGAGCATAACCCGGGCATCCTGCCGCCGGGCATCCGTCAGCGGTTAAAATTCCCTCGGCCAGATTCATATGCAAATGTCTGCGGGCGGGGGCCAGGGCATTTATTAAGCCATGATTGATTGACGGGGCATTTTGTTTATTAACAATTCATCGGGCCAAAGGCTCCAAAATGCGTTCCATGAATGTGTGTCATTAAATCTATTGCGGCTTTTTGGCCTGGCAAAAATTTAATTTTCTCTTTCCAACAAAAAATGAAGAAAATGAAAACGTTGACAATGCCTAAAATTGATTGCTTCTTAGCTGACTTTTGACAGCCACATTTGCTATATATAAGGAAATTTAAATTTGTAGAATATATATCAAAGAAAATATCAACATTTGCTCTGAGAAAGAAAATCTAAATTCGGAAAAACGGTTATTACGTTTAAATAAAGATGTATTAAAAGACCAACTTTAAGGATTGCATACTCAATTTAGTTTTTAAATCATGGGAGAAATAATATTGAATATTATCTAGGTTGGTTGCATAAATTATTTACTATTTTATTGTAATATAAACTATATTAACCCAAAGTATATGTTAAAGTGGAAATTGGAATATTATTTTAGTTTATGAAAGCGAACGAAATAATTTACAAAACGTATCCAAAATAAAGTTTATTAATTAACATTTCAATAAACAAACCCATAACCTCAGATAACGAATGTAAAAATATTTTATAGCATACTTTTCAGCAATGTTTTGTGTCTTGAGAAAGATAATGCTTTTAAAATCACCAATAGCTAAAGAAAACATTCCAGATTAATGACTTTGTTCACCTGACTAATGATGCAAGTGAAATCATCAAACAAAATGAAATATTGATTCATAAATTGTCAAAATGCGGGAACTCTAATTAGCTTGAGAGCCTCTGGCTCTATTGTGGTCTAACTTCGAGTGAAAAACAATTAGGTAAAGACGCAAAAGGTGGCCATATGGAAGTGAAAAGGAGTGGAGAAGTGCCCAGAGGACCCGACAATATGGTCGGTGGTCGAGCATTATGCACTCAGCATTTGAACAATCGGTCGGTTCGTGTGGGTGCAATTAGTCGGAGTTCCTGCGACCGGGAATTGTGTAGTGAGTGTATGCAATTAGGTGCTGCCAAAGGAAGTGCTTTGCAAGGATTTCGGTGGTGGCGAGGACTCAAAAAAAATATATATATGTAATAAACTGGCACTGCTCAAGCCAAGTGCATATAATTACAAGGATACAAGGACTCACCTGGCGCTGCAGTATATAACTGAATTCCGTGGCCGTGTTCCGTCGACTGTCGTTCATTTTGGTGTCCTAATGTCCTTATCCTTGGCGTTTCGTGTGCTTTATTTCTCTCGCTCTCTCTTTCTCTCTAAATGTTTTGGTCTAACTTTTGGTAATAGTAAAAGTTGTAACAGCTTCTGGCTTCAATTTTAGTTTTAGTTCGTTTACTTAGTTGAGTTTAGGTCTAGATTATATTTTGGTTGTTGCAGTTCAGTTTTAGGTGGGTTTCGTTGAATGTGTGTAGGTATGGAACGCACATTCGTGGAAGCAGCAGCCGCCTGCAAGCAGATAAGCAAATTTTTGCAAACTGAAATAAGATATAAGAGCAACTTTGAGCGAAAGTTGAGCAGTTTGGCCGCAGGCTTCTTTCGCCTTTTATATATTTTTCTCACTTTTAAAGTCTAGTTAATTATAAAGTTCTCAGGGGAGAAAAAAGAGGGGAAAGTGCGAAAGTTATACAAGAACTGGCAGCAGGCGCACTTTCACTTTTCCGCCAGCTAAAACTAGGCTTTGTTTTTATTATCTCTCCTTTATTTTGCAGGATACAATCATATTTTTTTGTTAGAGATTTATTTTATGGGTTTTCTTTGTTGGGTTTTTATTGGTGTGTGTTGTTGCATGGCTAACCGATTTATCGGGTGTTCGATGCGATTTGCTGCGAGTTGCTTCGACGCTTTCGATGAGACTGCTGCAATAAAAATATATTGCGAAACTCTCAACAAGGATAACGTTCACGTTTTCCCGTCGACGTCGGCGTCGCTGCCTTGCGCTCCTCGTCGTCCTGTCGTGTCCTGTCCCGTTAGACGCTGAAGTTCTGCCTCCGCTGCTACTGCTGCTGCTGCTGTCGCTCTCTCCGCATTTGCTGTTTTCTCTCTTTAAACGCTTGTTGTTGTTGCTGTTTGACTTTGAAATCGCCAACAATAATGCACACACACACACACTAACTCAAACTCTCGCACTCGCGCGCGCTCACACAATAACAAAGCAGAAGAAGCCGGAAACGAAAGCGAAAGTTGCCAGACCGTTGGCTCAGCTGTTTGGTCCCAGAAGCTCGCTCTCAGACCAAGCTTTCTCTCACACCATCTGGCAGCCCTGCGCTCATTCATTCATCCTTTTGGCGAGAGAGCGGGAGAGTCCGAGCACGTGGTGGCAAAGCTTAAGCCGCTGCAACAGGACTGTCAATCTATCTTTTTTTCAATAACAGATAATAAATGTATTTTAATTCTTTTACAATTTATGAGGAAGTCCAATATTTATTTACTTCTGTATCACCGGCAAAACAAACAAGCTAACTACCGCCAGGGTATCACACGATACTCCCCCAGATCCTCATCATAAAGAAAAGTGATATCCAGCTCGGTTTGCAGCATCACCTGGGCGTCCAGGAGGCGGCGCAAAATTCTCCCGGTGGCGTCATCAAACTCGTTACCATAGAGGGTTAAGCGATCAAGATGGCAGCGTTTCCGGCGTGTTGTCAGTATGCGATTGATGGCCTCTGCTCCAATATCGTTATTGGTAAGATACAGTTCCTTCAACATGAGGCACGAAACGAGATACTTGGCCACCCACTCGCCACCATGGGTACCAATTGAGTTGCTGCTGATGTCCAGCACTTCCAGGAATCCGCCACCAGCGATTATGCCGCGCAGCAGGAAGAGGACACCGTCCGGACCGATCTTGTTGCTGGACAGTCGTAGGTGTTGCAACTTCAATTTCTTGCACGCCAAATGCTCGGCAATGGGTATCATGTCCTGGGCAGTAAGTTCGCACAGCTCGAGGCACAAACTCTGAAGGCGTTTCTGCATTAAGACGGAGCTAATTATCGACATTATCTTCTCCGTGTCCAGAGTAAGATGTCCGCCCAACAGTCGATTGGCCGAAAAACGTTTAACCTTTTCCGACTTGTGCAACCCGTCTGCGATCAGGGCGAAGTTGTATTGAGTCAGGCTGCAATGGTTTACGGAGAGTGCGCGCAGCGTCTTGCTGACCAGCAGGAACTTCCGCAAAAGACGCACATCCTCGTCACTGAGGGGAGTACCTTGGGAAAGAGTCTAACGTATAGAGCGCGGAAACCCTTAAACTTCTTACCATCCAAACATAGCTCCATAACGTCCATATTTTTCGCATTGAGGCACAGCATCGCAAAGAATTCGCTGGGCAACTGCATCAGATTCAGATGGATGGACGACAAGGGATTAAGTGAGCGAACAAAGTCCTTCAGCAGGATTGCATCCCAGTTACTGACCACCACTCCCGTTATGGTCGCTGAGCGCATCCGTTGGCTCAGCAGATAGTTCACAATGACCCGGAAGTCCCGGATGCAGTGGTACTTCCGGCGCATTCGATCCTCGAACTCCAAACGCTTGAACTGGAAATGTTTGTAAGGTCTCTGGTCGTACTCCCGCTGCCAGGACCTCAGTAGGAGCAAGGTGAACAGCGGGCTTTTTCTGTCATCCAAAGACTCTTTGGGTTGGTAATTGCATGGCAACAGGATTTCGCACATCTTGATGCAATTGCTCTAAATCTGTCTAGTGTTCAGAAATTCTATAGAAACTTGGAAAGTATAAGTTTTGAACGAACTTGTGACAATTTAGACAGAGATAAATGTGGAATTAATTCAAGGGAATTTTCATATATTTGTTGCATACTTTTTGGCTGAAGTAGACTGTAGAATCTCAAGTAAATTTTGTTTAATGTGTGGTTAAGGAAAAATTATGTTTAAATATTTATATAAGTAAATTAAATTAAAATAAATCACTACCGTTCAAGTAATCCTTTTTTTCTTGTACCTTAAAGTAAGCATTAACCATTAGTTCAAAGATTTAAGCTTGAACATGATTTAGGATATGAAAGAACTTAAAAATGATGAGTTGTTTCCCTGACTAAGTTCCATATTTTTAATAAAATCATAACAGCAATCTACGAATTTGCCTTGCCTATCCAACTAAACCGAAATTTCTTCTATAAAAATCTTTAAAAATGCCTTGGACAAACCTCGATACATATTTTTTATAAATAGCTCTTGAAGTCAGTTACTCTACTAGTTTATAAATAAGTAAAAATCCGTTTTAAGGCTTTCGCTTCTGGGAAGCAACTGAAGTGTCACAACCTTATAGAGACCGGAATGCTTCCTCATTTTCGTCATAGTCCTGCCAAAGGCATCCACAAGTTACACTCATTAGCATAGTTAGCAAACTGGCAGTACCAACTTGGCTGGTCTGAATTACCATAAACGCCATTTCATTCATTTATATGTCCTTCCCCGCAATGGGAACTCATTGTCGACCACGTGGTCTCCATTCTACAGTCTGCCCAAGTTCTGCCATCCTGGCGTGCCGGCACGCGTCGTCCCATTCCTATAAATAAGTTCGACCCAAAACCGATACTGTTCAGCTATATATATATATGTATATATATATGTTTATAAAGTGTACACTCTTGAATCAGCCAGGAGCTGCACGTAGTCATTGGGGAATCCATTGGGGTATGAGTGGCATTTATGCCATTTATGGCCAGGTTGCATCTTCATTTATTTGATTGCTTTTGACAGTGCTTGAATCGGCTTGAACACACTCAAGTGTGTTGGTCAGCTAGACCTGATTATTTGGAAAGATATTTTGAGTCTTTTAAAGCTAAATTTATACATTTAAAATATATATTTAAGCATATAGCTTAAGTAAAGAAACAATGTAATGACTTCGACTAAATAAGAGCCTTAAAAAATATCTGTAATATTAAAATACTAACCTAAGGCCTCTATATTCCTTAGCATCACTGTTCGTAGGGAAGTCCATTCTCCATTGACTTTGAATGGACACGCTCCCTAGCTCCGATGACAGGTGCCCAATCTATGGACCAAATGATGACTGACAGCCATCGGCTGGAAATCATTTTTCACTTTTACTACCAATACTGCTTTGGTGATTGGACATGGACATGAACATGGACATCACCATGGTGCTTGAGTACTTTTGTCGAAATCTACATCAATTTACGGTCATCGCTGGCCAGACAAACAGACAGCAGGGAGACAGCCGGGAGCCAGGACAAGAGGTTAGTCATCATGGTCAAGATGGCTGCTGTTGCTGCTCCTGCTCCGGCTACTGACCAAAGGCAATTAACAGCGGCGACAATTCGGAGGCTGCCTTCGGGGCCTCAAAATTGAAATTCGAAAAGTGGCAGCTCCAGCTTCGCGACGATGCTTATCTGTGCTTAGAAAAAAAAAGCGCGATAATTAAAAATATTGTAAAATGCCAGACGGCCAGACGCTCATAATTGCTGGCAAAGGCAGAGGCAAAGGCAGAGGCAGAGGTAGAGTCTGAGGCACTGGCAAAATAGCAGACGACAGAGAATCAGTCGAAGTCTCAGTTTACAGCTACCAGACAAGGCGACGCGACGCGATGGGACGGAGGAGCATTGCATGTGCATATCATTTAAATAACTTTCCGCAGCACAGCACAAAAGTGTGAAACTGCAGCAACTATCCGCCGTTGCGGCTCCACTGGGCTCTGCTCTTCTCGTCTCACCTGCTCCACGATGCCAGCCAGAACCGACCATGGTCCATATTTGGTTGCAACAACGACAGCGCATCTGCATCACTTAAGGACAGTGGCAGTGGCAACATCATGGAGTGCCTGCGATGGCCTCCAGACAAACTGCAGACGAGAGACATGCACTTGTCTCCGGCTGGCTGGGTCCGTCTGCATCCCCAAGTTCCAAGTTCCCAGTTCCCGGTTTCCCGCATCCCGCATCCCGCATCCTGATTCCCCATGCCCATTCCCCATCCTCAGGCGAACGCATTCATTGTCAATTTTGACAATCAACAAGATGCGGCTACACACACGGCTGCTTAAATGCCCCAGCATCAATACACTTGAAGAAATATCTATAGATACATGTCTCCCTATAATTTCATGGTCTACATGATCTTTCTGAGAATCACATTTCTTGTTTTGCAATTTTCGCTCTGTGCATCATCTTCTTCCACGGCCTCTGCGACGGTCTGTCTGGCTCTCGAGGTCTCGGTCGTGGTCTCCGCCTCCATCTCCTCCTGCCTCTCCAGCTTGGTCTCGGTCTGCTCCATCATCGTCTGCTGGGATCTGGATCTGGCTGAAAGAGGCTGGGCCCAAAACAAAACGCCAAACAGAAGCCAAACGATGGCACGCGAAAGTCCTAAAAACCGAAAATGAAAATGAGAAAAAATTAATAACAATCAGGCCTTAGGCTAAAGCAGGTAACACGACGGGTAAATACTCTATACTGCTTCTATTGGTATCTATAATTTTATAGACTCTTTGGATTAATTGTTAATATATAAAATATTAAATGAACACAACAATATTTAAACAAGAAAGGAAACTATGTATGTTTAAAAGTCAAAGTTTATATACCTTGTGATCAAATCAGAAATCGATCAAAAATATAAATTTGTACACTTGAAAATTACTCCTTCACTAAGTAAGCTTCTCACCGATATTATAATATTTAATAATACTATGTCGTATATTCTTTTATGTATTTATGAAATCATATACATATATACTTTTAAAACCAAATCTTTCTCATGTCCCACTTGGCGTATGAGTAATACCCATACCCAAAAGAAAGGGTATACCCAAATTAACAGCAGCAGCATGAGGAGGAGGGGCGTCTGCAAGTGAATAGTAGCACCAGTAGCACCAGTAGCCGGCAGAAGGCAGACAACGGCGCAATAACAAATTGGCTTCTGGTCTTTGCATTCCACATGCAATCTGAGACAACAATCACGACAACTGCATTCGGCACCCGGCACCAGTAGCCCAGTAGCCAGGAGCCATTAGCTGACAAGGTAACACCCTTGGTGCCTGTGTGGACAGCAAGAAGACCTGGGTCCCGTCTGGGCTGCGTCTGGTTGTGGGTCTGGGAAGAGCTCCGACTCCGCCTGGGACTGGGACTGGGCCTAAGACGAGATGGTGCTGACTTGACACGTCTGGTTCGCAGGCTGAATGACGAGCGTCTCGCGTACTTTTAATAGTCTTGTACCAACACCAGACCACCGGACCTAACCGCAGGCAATCTCTCCCCTGTCTACTCAGTGTTATTTTCCAATGAATATGTCTTAAACTGAGCCAAAAAATGAACGAAAACCAATCGATAAACTGATGAAATAATCAAAATAAATATCTACTGATTAAAACTATATTTAAGTTAAAACTATCAAAGTTAATCAAGCAATATTCAAAGTGGATGACTTATTCTTTATTACTTTTCAAATAATAAGATTCATCCTCAGTGTACTCTTCGATTTCGTTGCTTCTAAAAATGGTGGCATCGTGGCTCTCCCAAGGATCAATCTTGCATCGATCTGCATTTTGGGTGTGAGGGATAATTAAGTTAACTACGTGTTTATGGTTAAATAATTTACCCCGGGTACTTGCATATTTAATGACCGTCAAAATAATCATTATACTAAACTGTCCAAGATTTTGAGTTATTCCATCGCTTCACAAAATCTTTGCCATGTTTGAAGGTCAAATCACGGACCACTCTCTATATTTATAGTTTCTATAGTTGTGCGTGATTATGACTGCTCAATAAACTTTATGTTGTCGCCTTACTGCCCCCCAAAAACACTTACTAGATAAGAGTTTCATACTATAATTTCCACACACTATAAATTCACAAAAATGTCATAATAATAAGCAATCAATAAGCAATTAGTTTGGGTTTCCCTTAATAATTTCGAAAGGTATTTATTATTTGGGTTTTTATTTATCTAAGAAAGGAAAATGCGTGGATAATACATTTTTTTGCTCATGTCAAGTTATAGTAGATGATTTAGTTTAAATATATACCAATAATATGCTTAAAATCTATATATTTAAAAGGAATTTGCTTAGAATGGGATACCTTAATTTTAAAATATCAATACCGTATATTATCGAAAAATGTATAAACAAATTATTGTTATTATTTTGTTTATGAAATGAACCTAAAAGTATTGAAGAAAAGGTAGGCAACTCTCCCCAAATAATTATTGTTTTGGGTGTATTTGTTGTCTTTAAGAAACTCTCAACATCTACCGATCAGAGTATTCCATAGTCATTATATTTTCAACTGATAATCAATTTATTTCGACAGTTTCAATCAGGCTAAGCCGATAAAGCACAGGTAGCCCTAAAACCTGGCCTTATCAGATTTACTGCTTTCCCAATATTTGGGTTTGATGCTATGGCTAAATATAGAAACGGCAGTTAACACTTGTAACTAGCCAGGAAATCACTCCTAATGGCTAAATGGCAAACAAACTATTTGCGAACAATTGGCTCCGGCAATCTGCTGAGGAAACAGCCAGATGTTTTCCAGCCAGGTGGCTATGGCAATGATTATGGCTTCGGTGATATTGCGGTGCCGGTGTGCTACCGGTCTTTGGTGGGTCCCTCACGTGCCGCCACCCAGTTGGACGGAATTGTTGCTCATTGGCGGCAATTGTCGGCTACCGTTTAAAATTAAGCCGCACAAATTGGCACGAGCGTGAGGCATACCAGTACGTACGGATTTGTCAGAAAATTGCTTTCAAAAATAAACCAGGAGATATGCCGGACAAGGAGACGATGTCGAAGACGAACATCTCTCAAGATCAAAGGAGGAAAACCAAAACTATTTACATTTTGTATTTAGGATCTGGCCAATTATGGGTCTGATGGGGTGGGGCGGCCCCACGCGAGAAAACAGCCTTGAGAAGTTAATGAAAAATCAAACAAAAAGCGAGAAAACTGAGACCAAGTGCTGTCTTCATTTTGACTTGACTCATTTCGCATTCCAATTGTCTAGATACATTTACACGGTGAAAAAGAGTCTATCTAAATGGGAAAATTTTGATTTAGAATAAAATAAAGATACTTGAGTAAATAAAAATAAATAAAGTTGTGGAAACAATAACATATTTTGTAAAAGTTTAATGAATTAAAGTAATTTAATTTTATGATGTTTTGTCGGCTTTAGATTATATATATCTTTATGGCACTCATGGAAGTCAATAAGGATCATACAGATGATAATTTAACTATATTATATTATTGTAATTTATTAGAAAATGTTCTATACTTCCCAAAAGTCCTTTAACTATTGTCCTTTTTGCGCTTTATTAAAAAATGTTTAATTCTTCAATATGATTTTTCAACTACTGGCTGTTTTATTTTAATCTGTAATAAATAAGAATTTAACTTTAGTTTTTAGTACTTCAAAATGATAATTACCAACCTAATGATAATTTTAATGTACTCATCATATTTCTGCATAAGTGTTTTACATTATTTATAAGAATACCAACACCTTGCATACCTATCTAACAGTTTTTATTATATTTTACGAAAAAACTGATCAAAATGAATGAATTTTCTCTCAGTGTTCCTGTCTGCATTCACTGCCTGACTGTTTATTTTCGTTTTTGACTCTCTTTCTGTTGTTGCTGACGTCTACATTGTCCACAAAGTGGGACAAATTCTATGCGAGTGCTCAAATAAACAAACATTATTATATAAACTTCTTGACAAGAGGCGCTGATTGCGTCCTACATATTTATATGTATATATGTGCATATATATATGTTGTTTTCATTTTAGACTCCTGTGCACGAGTCCCGGGCATTTGATGCGATTGCAATTTTACATAACAGCCGCCGTCTGGAAGTCTCTATTCAGAGCTTAAACGGTGTGTAGACATATCAGATGAATGGACAGCCGGATAGCTGGACAGCCGGACGACTGGATAGACGGGAGAGGGATCCGGAACAGACGTGGGAAGTGAGAAATCCAGACTTTATAAAGTGCTCCGAATTATACAATCATTTTGAAATTCAATTTTCGGGTCCCAGACGAAACATGGATGGATGATGGGAAAGATGCTGCTAGCGATGATGATAATGATAATGATGATGTTTAGATGTTTTGATGGTGCTGCGACAAGAGAGTAAATAAATAAATAAATCAAGAACGTCCTTGAAGTCTGGCTCTTTTGGATTTCCGTATGTGAATTGAATGAATAATAAATATGGGGATAGCGCCATAACTGTTTGGGTATGCCAATGGCGTAGATCGAAGACCCATAAGGATGGGCTTTCTGGGGTTAAAACCGTGCCAGGCACCGTATTATAAATCTCATCTCTAATAGGATATATCCGCCCCATTCTCCTTTCAATTGATGAACTGCGTACGCACTTTCAGGCCTATTCACTTTGATTAATCCACACGCACTAAATCCCACGGTGGAGGCAATTGAAAGTCAAAAGCTAAGACACACCACACACACACACACACACACACCCATGGGCCAGAATATTTTGTGCCCCCAAAAAAAAAACAGCACTGATAACACGCGTAGCATGTCGTGTATCAAAACAATTTGATTAACTCACTCTAATTGCAATGGAATCGCTTCAAGTTAATCTAATCACCCACGCACATAATAATAATAATAGGAATGGCATAAACTATGACTACTTGATACTATTTTTGCGGACATTTCTGCTATTTTGGTGAGTGCAAAATCCTTAACTCAGGTGGGGCTTGAAATAATGATTGAAGATACGGACAAGTTTGTATCAGATAATAGTTAGTAAGGGTCAGTAATACAAGAAGTGACCATTGGTTGTGCAGGTGCATCTGCCCGATAAGCCCACCTATTCCTTGGATTGCCTTGATAAAGATACATCCGTGCTAGCCGCTGGCCACAGATACAGATACAGTATCTCACGCACATTCACTATGCCTACCTACGCCAACTTCAGCTGCGCGCCGGCAGATCCTCAAGCGCCGTTGATTGGTCGGCGACCACCGAGCCGAGCAAACCCGAAAGCCACACGAACGCCCAGCCGAAGCTCGCAAGCGATGCACTGGAATGAATCTGGAATGATTTTAAAGGAGCGATTGAGGGAAATTGGAATAAATAATTAATAAAACAAAGGGAAGTATTAATTCAATTAATAAATGAAAAAAACATAAATGTATACATGTAAATAACAATGAATTTCATGACCATTCTTGGTGTATAAGGAAATATAATTATAATAAATAAATATTATAATATAATTTATAGTAAACATTTTTAGTTATCAGCGAAGAAATCTAAGAAATTATAAACGAAGTTTTTGAAAGATTTACTCGAGGATTTTGTTACATTTTTATGCTAGTTCCCCTAAATATAATTAAATTGCAGGATACATAAAAAGAATATATTTTAACTTAAAGAAAATGGTAAACCAAGCTAGAAGTCCCAACAAGCTTTCAAAGATAAATATTTTCCCTAAAATTTCCATAATAAAGAAAATATTTACCTAGTTAAATATACTAAAATAAACTAAACAAAATCCCTGCATTGGTCACTCATCTTTTCTTGCAGTGCCGGCAGCAACGCAGCGTTTACGACCATAACAAAGTAGATATGCCCAGGCACAACCAAATTTTTTCTTATTTAAGACTAAAAAACCGACTGGTGCAAATCACTTCATACTTGGTTCTTAGACTGAACACATCAAGAAGCTGAACCAACAGTGAAAACTCTAAATAACCAAAAATTCAAATCAACATAGACATTGAAATTCTTCAACTCGTGAAAAAACAGCACAATTAAATTTTGTGGCAGCAATGCAGTTCCAGTGAAAAAAATGTGCATCAAATACGCGATCTAATTGTTGCAAATCACAAGAGAACACTTAAAAAGTAACCAGGGAAAATAATTAGATCAGAAAACTATAAAGAACAAAAACAGAAAGATGTATACCAAGTGTTGTGAGAAGTGTGCAGGAAGATGGATCCTGGTCCTGATGTTGGTCCTGGCATCGCTATCCGGCGACTCAGAGGCCTCGCCCTTCGATCCCTCCTTCTTTCCCGAGGGCGTGCAGTCCGTGGTGGTGAATCCCTTCAATCGCACCATCCTGAATCGCTTCAACCTGACCGAGGAGCAGATCCTGAGCATTCAGAACCGAAGCAATCCTAACATGAGAAATGATACCAGCGCGGCGTCCAACCAGCAGCACCTGCAGCGTGCCACCGAGCGGTAAGTGAAATCGAGTGCCAATCACTGTCAATCACCGGTCTGTCCCCCAGAAATAGATGTCTATTCACCAAAAATAGTACTCTTTAAAAAGACACCCCCCATGACCAGCAAAAAAAACAAAAAAAAACAAAATGTGTGGGTTTAACAAAATAGAACAAATTGTTGCTGACTACAATTTGTATACAAAAAAAAGGGAATGCACTTTGCTTTAATTTGTAAACAGAAGCTGTCGGAAAAATTCGAAAATATTTCGCAACATTTATTTAAGTGCGAGATTTGTCCAAAAACCGCTGGCCAATTTCTCCCCAAGGCTAAGAACATTTGTGCAACTGGCAATTTGTGGTCAAGCACCTCGAAAAAGTATACGAGAGAGAGTGTGTATAATTATAAAAGTACATTGTACATGCTGTGCTTCACTTCACTTTCAACACGATCCAGGCGAATGCAAATCTATTCGGCGAATTAATTCAATTAAAACGTAAAAATCTATATTTTTCATGAATTGTTTTCGGTACTCGTGCACTCTCGATTTTCATTTAAGTTTTGTTTATTGACTGAATGCTTCGGCAAATGCATGATGTTCTTACAAAAGGGTCATAAATGTAATGGCCTCGCTTAGCAGACTAGAACGTGCAGCCCATAAATATATAGTTTATCTATAGATGAAAAGTGTGCCTCCTAATTGCGTCTTTTGTTTTGAAATAATCGGAAAATTTCGATGATTTTATAGCTCTCTGCGGGGTTTCCTTTTATATTATGTCTTTAAAGACTTTGTACAATTTTTGGAAAAATATTTTTACTTAAGGGTAACAAATATAAATGAAATAAATGCTTTGTGGATACATAGGATAAAGCCCTTTTAAGAATATTAAAGTGAAGCTAAAGGAATAAGGTTTTAAATAGATTTGTATTACGATTTAGTTTTGAATATTTGAGGGAAATTTATTTACTTATTAAAGTAGCACTTTTATTTTCAATTTTTGATGAATTAGTAACTAGTTAAATCTTCTTTATGAACTTAAAATGCCTAAACAAATATACTTCCTCATTATATCCTAGAACTCATAAGAAATCAAAAGAGACCTAATTAAACCATCTAATCATTATTGAACCTGAAGAATTGCTACAATTACTAGATCCTAGATATGAAAGGACTTATTATGATGTCCCTAATCAGAGCATAAAGTCCTCGAATATATATCTCAGCGACACAGATAGGCCCAGATTCATCAATGGGGTGTCTGTTGTATCCATCAGATACTGTAGTGCAACTGTAGCGACGACGACGACGACGACGCCGCTGCATAATGCACTGGCGACCTCTGTATTTGTATCTGTATCTTTGTATCTTTGTGTGCCCGCGGATGTCTGGCAAGTGTCTGGGAGCAGTCTGGGCCATGTCTAGCTATCCGTCACCGTCTCTGCCTCCTGGTCTCCGGTAATGAACTTTTTGTAGGTCGTTGCTATGCGAGACAGCAAAACGGGCTTGCATTGCAGTGGGGCCAACAGCTGATACACGGACTCGTATCTAAATCGTTTCATCTTATTTGATTGCTTTGGCAGAGTTCCGCACAGACGGCACACAAAAAACAAAAAACAAAACAAAAAGAGGAAGAAAATAAAAAACAGCGACAGGCAGCAACCTATGACGTATGAGTAATATTGCAGTGCAAACAGTTGTAGGCGTCCACAGTTTGACTTACTGCAGCTTGGCTGCTTGTTGGCTGTTGCATGATAATGAAGTGCAGCCGGCGAGACACTGTCTAGCCGCTCTTGCTCTGGTGTTGCCACTGCCTCTGTGTTGCTACTGTTGCAATTGTTGCTGCGGCCAAAGGCAATGTCTGCAACTGCGACGGCCAGACCGCAGACGCAGACACACAGGCGATGCATTCAGGCAATGTCGTCTGCCCCATAGGGTCTGAATGGAGGCCAGCGAGGAATTTCCATCATCCATCCCCTAGAGCACCCGGCACCTGTCGCCCCCCCGAGTCATCGGCGTTGATCCCAGCCTCTGCGCATGCGTGACTCATGGCTGCTTGGCCTGCTAAAGAGGTGTCTATGTGGCAGCAGCATTCACAGGGCACTGAAAGAAAAGACTTATTTGGTATTATTTATTATAGGAGTATCAGAGAATTCAGGTTTCATACATGAATTAATATGCCTTAGTTCTTGTTGATGATACAAATTAAAACTTATATGAGAAACATTGCCTCTTCCATAAAATATACCCTCCCATTATTATTATATGTACATCAAATTAAATTAGATAAAATAGCAAGGATTCCCTTTAGTTTTTGTCGCTGTGCAGCAGCATCCACAGCTCTAGGCAAACCCAGACAGCCAGTCAGAGGGACTAGCAAACAACGAGCGGACAGAGGAGACCAGAGTTGGACGGACTGACAATATGTCTAGACGGTGGCCAGACAGACGGCACCGCCACTCGACGGGTTTTCAAGTTCATGCCACACAGCCGAGCTCCAGACGCCAGACTCCGCACTCTGGCATTCCTTGGCCAGCTAGCCAGTTGGCCAGACTGCCTGTTAGCCTGTTAGCCTTTTGGCCAGACAGACTCGATACGATTCAGTGCGATCGCAACGTAAACATAAACATAAACAAGAACCGATAATAAGCCAGAGGCAACTCAACTCGATTCGCCTCGACTTGGTTCAGTTTCGGTTGAAGTGCAGACAGACAGAGACCGTGTTTTAAAATAATTATTTTGTTTTTTTGTAGTATTTTTTGGGCTAGACAAACTGCGCCGCAGGCCGCACCAAAAAAGCCAAAACACTTAATAAGTTTTTTTCTTGATCTTTTTGTGCATCTCGTGGGTAAAAAAGATGAAATGAAAGCGAAACGTCAAGCGTGTCTCAATTGCCGATCCAGACATCCAGCACACAATTGTCCAATTTTGTGGCGAGCTTCGAGTGAGTGTGGTCAGATTAGATCATAGCTAACTAACTATTGTTGTCTGGTCTACTCCTGCAATGATAGTGCACTGGAAAAAAAAGAGTCTAGAATAAGTGGAAAGGTGAAAAAATAATATTTCAGGATGCCAAAGAAAATCTAAAGATTTTAAATCCCTTGAAAGTCAATCAGTCTTTGAATAAAGATAGAAAACTATTGCAGATCTGATCCTCTGATGATTGTAAATGTACAATGTAATATGATGACAATGATTTAATAAATTAATAATATATTACTTTCGTATCAAAGGCTTTGACTATCAATTTCCATTTTGATTTTAACTAAAATCTTTAACGAATTTCTAAAATATATATTAAAATGCTTATACTCTAAAGAATTCGACTTTTTTCCTACCGTGCACTATCTCACACTTACAGAGGCACAGATCCGTGTCTCAATCTTAAATGGATTTTTAAGTGACATGTGGCAAGTTTAGGAAATATTCGCAACGACCGAATCATGTGAAGGCATTTAATCAGTGCAAATATAGTAAATAGTTAGGTAGTAGTTATGTCAGATTATTGGTCTTAAGATAGACTTTTCTAACCAATCTAGGCCCACGATTAGATGCCATGACAAACTGCGGTAAGCGAATTTAATTTCCCAACCACTTGGCATAGTTTGTTTTGGCAAACTCGAAGCTCGCAGAGATTTCGCACTATTTCAAGAACTCTCGCAATCTCGAGTCCAAAGTTGTAAGATTATCGATAAATCCAAAACGTGGCCCATTCAACTGATATTGACTCAAAAAATAAATCAAAATCGAATCGGGAATTAGTTTTATGGTCAAGCAGAACACTGAACCCTGGCTACGTCACAAATCATAGGGTATTAATAGGCAATCATCAGATTGGCTTCCATGGGAAATAGTTGGCTCATTGCGGGCGGTGGTGGTGGAGGTGGTTCCCCAACACTAGGTTTCACTAGTCGGCGATAAGAACTTCATACATAGTTTAGTCGCGTCTAGTGTCTAGTGTGTGTCCGCCTAAATTGAATAAAATTTGTATAAATTCTCGCCAAATGGCAGCTGGCACGTTTCGGAGCTCTTCTATTGTGGATGTCTGTAACTCTGACCGCGCTCAAATGTCAATTAAGTGAGCCTTACATAAACACTTGAACTAAATTTGCAAAGTACTCAGTGCTTGGGGCATACAAATGGCTGTGAGATGAGCCACAAAATGATGCCAGTTTGCTGTCTTTCCCAGTATTTCTTTGATTCTAAGGGTATATAGAATTATATTCTCTGTAGTTGCTTAACCAAATCTGTTTAATTTTCGCATTAATTTTTAACTATTAAATATTTGTTTGCATACTTTCAGACAATTTTGTTTCTTCCCATCTTAACAATAATAAACCTATTTCACTTCAATATTCCATTGCAGCCTCAACGACATCATCAAGCGCGTCCACAAGGCCATCTCGAACGAAGCCCTGCCCAAGGAGAAGGCCGGATTTCCCATTTGTAATGCGGAGACCACCAATCCAACGGAGTGGCAAAATGGCAATAATTTGACCCTTCAGTTCGCCAGCAGCGTCTTCACACCCACGAACGACTATGACCGCCTAAACAGTGCCCTGCTCCGCCTGTACAAGACCAATCCCGGCCAGAATCGTGACCAGTTTCCAAGCCAGGGTCCCATGCAGCCGGTCAGCACAGAGCAGCCGGCCAGCCCAACGCCTCAGTGCGCAGAGCCAGTGGGTCCCCAGATTCGGGTTACCGTCTCCATTGTTCACCAGCAAAAGAAGAAATGTAGGTTAATCCTTAAACTTCAAGAATATAAATAGGATTATACATTGTTTTCTTTTTTCTACAGTGCGTAAGAAGCGCACCTGCAACACCGTCATGATGAGCAGCACCTCCACCGGCTGGGTGGAGATCGACGTCAAGTGTGCCCTCGCCTACTGGGAGCAACAGCATCGACAGGATGATCATCGCCAGGAGCAGCTGCGTCACAGACAGCAGCAGAACGCCCTTGTTGGAGTTTTAGTGATTGAGGTGCACGACGACGAGGAGAATCCGCTGAGGCCAGGCCTTTACTTTGCGCCTCCCACCTGCGATCAGGCAGGTAAGCGTGTTGTTTGCCATGTCTAACTAACTGCCCCAAGGAAAGGAGAACGGAGTCTCCTCCAGAGTCATCGCCCGTCATTTTATCTCTCTCTATCCCTCCCCCACACACACACACAACTATCAATTCATCTCGGTGACAGGTGACAGGCGACGAGCCCCTTTCGACGGGCCAAGATCGCGGCAATTTCGAATTTATTTACATTATAGCAAGAAAGGTCATTACTCGGGCGATTTGGGGGGCCGGACTGTAGCCAGTACTTACCGGAACGGACCCGACACCGCCACCGCGTATATTAAGCTGAGCCAGCTCTAGGGGCAGACTCAAAGGCGAAGACGAACTCGAGTCCAGACCGAAACCGAAACGGAAATCGAATTTCATAAAACGTAATCCAAAAAATACCTTGTCGTCTGATCGCGGCGCCCAGTCAGCGAATGCTATGTGGCTCAATTTTCAATTTGAGGCGGGCACGTTTTTGGGAATTGAAAAACAAAACAACAAACCTCTATTGCGTTTGTAATATTTGAAATTCATGAGGCGGCGGCCGCCTAGAAAATGTGGAGCGGAAGTAGCGAAAGTATATAGCTTCATATCTGATTGAAAGTTCAGTAGTTCATTCAGGTTCATTCAGAAGCGGTAAGGTATAAGGCAGCGCGCAGTCGAAGGATTCAAGCCCAAGAGTTGCTTTAACTACTAATCGATATCGCTCATACCCACTGTTGTGCGTAATGTTCGGCTTTCTTTGTTGTTTAGTTTTGTGCGCTTTAAAATGCGTTGATGTCGTTGCTTTTTGTTATTGCTGTGGTTGCCATTTTATAAGCATGTCTTTTTTCATTTGCGCATTTTCCTTGTTGCATTTGCATGATCCCAGGAACAACCATAATTCGATTTTAATTGTGCATTTTTATATGATATCTTGCAGCTGCCGCTGTCCCATGGAACACTTACGGAACAGAATCGCTTAGCGCTTATTTGGAGGGTCGGTCAGTGCCAAGGTAAGAGCTAAATTTTATTTAAATAAATCGGTTGTTTGTTGAAAAATCCAAATTTATATTTAAATTTCAATTTGAATTAGTTTTGTCATAAACTGCTTATCTCAACTACTTGCACGCACTGCTTGTGTAAACTGCTTGTTTGTACTGCTTACTGTTCTATGAACCTTAACGAGCTCTGTTAAGTGGTATAAGTTCTGCTAAAATTCAATTAAAAATAAATTAATTTAATTTAACTAATCTCAAGATAGATTTTAAATTAAAATTAGTAGACTTATTTAAAATAGTTTATGGTAAATTTATTATATTAAACTCATGTGTTTAGAAGGTAATTACCAACAAAAAAAGACATTTTACATATTACATTTATTTTACATCTTTGCTAATTATAATAATTATGCCAGTAGAACAACCCATAAAGAAATTTAATTTTATGGCAAAACGAGCGCAAGTTGTTGAACTTAAACTTAGAATTAAAATAAAAGAAAAACAGAACTTACTTAAAAAGATAAAGCATTTCCTTATTTTAATATCCACTGAAAGTTAAAGTAATTAATTTTTTAAGCTGAGTTATAATATAAAGCAGTGAGCACTTCCTGTATTTCTTACTTTAATTTATATATATGAATTTATTTTTTTTCTCAACAGAAAGCCAAGGCTAGACCTCAAGTTCAATGGCAGCAACTCCCTGAAGAGGCTCTGCAACCCATCGAAGCTGCCACCGAGCAGAGCTGTGTTTACTGGCATCGAATCAACCACATCACCAACCATTGACAACCAGCTGCTGGACGAGACCAGCGAGACGGATAGGAGCCAGCAGCATCCAAGCCACACCAGGCGCCACCATAGCTCCGAGGTTGAAGTCGAGGCGGAGGCAGCTGCAGAGGTCGAGGGCGAGGAGCTGCTGTCCTCGGCAAGCAATAGCGAGCAGGAGATGGAGCCCATATCGAATCACCATCGCCGTCGGACTGGTCACCGTCATCGTCACCATCATCATCCGCACGAGCTGCAGCAGCATCATCACCATCAGCGTCACCACCACAAGCACCACATTATTCCGCACCAGCAGGAGTAGATAATCCTTGACCCCTGATTCCCTGCTGCCCCAAAACTCTCTTTCCCTAAGTCTCATCCCTCCTTTAATAATCTTTCCTTGTTTTATATTGTTTAACTTTAGGGCCAGTCGACTTAATTAGTTTTAAGTTGAGCGGTTCCCTTTCGCCGCAAAAACCTTATTTAAATTATATATATTTTACGATTTAGATTAAGCAATATTTCGGTCGAAATTTGTAATTATTTTTAAAATCTCTCTTATATTAGAAGCCTGTGATTTAGATGTGGTTAAATTCGCACAAACATTATTTTTATATTTTTGTTTTTAGTTTTTTTTTATACCCGGAAAACATTTATATACGATTTTAAATAATACTTAGGTTGCCACGGCCATATGTTTGGGGCCAGGCAATAAACCAAAATTAATCAATGCCTTATCGAAACATTACAATCCCAGACTTCTGCACAATCCACTCAGAAGCCGGCAGCAGTCCAAGGACGAGCGAGGCCGAGTCAAGGCTATTCGATTCTTGGCAGAGTTGCTGAAAGCATTTTAAATAAATACAATTTTGCTATATACATAAGTCACTAGGTTAAATGTGCCTTCCTAAGAGCAGCTCTAAATCTCAAATTCCCCCTCTGTAGTAACCCGAAGAGTTCTGTTTATGTTTTTAAGATCATTCTAAGAACCATAGATCGCACACATTTTCATCGAGTCACAGCTCGATACTCGATACTCATACTCCATATACTCTTTCCATACACAGACACATCCTAACTAAGTGCATTTGTAAATCGATTGCAAGTATGAATAACATATACAGAATAAAACTTATGAAATATATGAATAGAAATGCCCAGAAGTTGACTACCGGTTTTTGGCTTGTGTGATCCCCAATTTGGTTTGACGATAAGATATGTTTCGTTTCCCAAGAACACCGATTAGATATCCTGGTTCAACTTTGCTCCTACGATTTGCCACTACTCGCTTATTTATTGGCCAATCAGTGGTGACATCTCCAAAATCGCCTGCCTAGACCTCTCTATTCATGAGCATTTGAGGGGCCCCTAATCGCAATCAGATTCTGACTCCTCAAACGTCACCGTTATCGCCGGCAATCTACGAAGAGTTATATGGCACCCCCTGGAAGTTATCTCGCACAAATATCGACATGGAACGCATGCCGAGAGCGAGCAGTGCTCTTCGGTTTTAATAACCGGCTGATAAAACACTTACATACCATTCAAATTGCCTTTGCAGCTGTATTCAGGTGAATTTCAGAGATACACTGAGCAAAGTTTCGCACGAATAATACAAGTAATTATATTTGAAAAGGTTGCCTAAAATAAATTTACTATAAGAGACTTTTAAACGGAACTTTAATTCGTTTCAATCAAAAACTTAAAACATAAGTCTGTGTGGAGTCTGCATTAACCTATATTAATTAAAGCCCTCAAGCTTTTATACAAAAAAAAAAGATTTATTAAAATTTAATCAACAAGAATTACTTATACACTACCAAATAGATGAGAGAAGAGAAGTGCAGAAACATTTCCTGGCTCGCGTGTCTAAGGACAGACAACTCAATTGTAACGATTCTTTCTTTTTCGCTTTAAATTGAGTTTTCAATTTTAAATATTTGTTTAATGATTATTTCCCTATGTTGTCCATCTCAATTAGCGACTTTTATAAAAATTTGCCCTTTATTGTAACGCAATTGAGTTGTGACTTGCAAATACTCATTGCAGATAATATATTAGCAAGCATTTGAATCAAAAATCTTTTACATTTTAGGCGCATATCCAGCAAGGCAGTATTCTGTATGCATCATTCCATTTCTCCTTAAATCTAAAAATAAAATAAAACTGGAACATTTTTCCAGAGCAAAGCACTCATTACGATGTAAACATTTGTTTTTGAAAATGCTAATGTATGAAAAAGCTTTGCAAATAGATTTTCCGAGGCAGTGCATCGTTTCATTCATTTGCTGGCCAGACAAAGTAACTAATGCTGAAAAATATACATAGTTATGTGATGGAAAAAGTTAATATGAGGTAAGCAAGTTAGTGCTCGTTCCTGATACCTTATCATGAACAGGGTATTCGGGTTCGTTTTTTATAAAACCCCCTCCGTTGGAGTTGGACGAGCTTAGTCTTACCGCGATCAGAAACGATGGCAGCCGTGCCCAGTTAGCCAGATTTACGGACCGCTGAGCAGATGCACTAATAACTACTTAGTATTCGGATTACGCCGCGAGAGTGACGACGGCTTTGAAAAAAAAACCCGTTTTGTGGCACACACAACAAACCAATATAACACTCATTAAGTCCGAAGCAAAAACAAATAATCGTTAAAGGTGAATTAACTGGCAACGCACGAAATGAAGGCAGTATAACTCTGACTCTCCAAACGAAAAATTGATTTATTGTGATGTTTGCACAACTAAATCAAGCTAAAAAGCTGTAATTTGTACTCCAGTTGAAAGTGAACTAAAAAATCTGGGTGATAAACTACTACAAATATGTATTTAAGTGTTTTTATGCCGGGATATAAGTAAATATATAACCATGTTTTTCCAGAAACTGGAGATTATAATTTATAATCGATTAACGTTCACGAGTTCTGGCCAAATGCCATTCAGATAATGCTATCAACAGTCGATTACCCACCCGTAAAAGACCTCCCAACGGGGAAGTATACTGGCTTGAATTGGATTTACAGCCCAAATATATCATCAAAACCACTTTAACTGCCTTATTTATAACCATATAGTTACCCTAGTTTACAGCCAATTTTCCCAGTTAGTACTCGTTTTAATTGCCGGAAACCTGTGTGTGTCAACTTTCCACGTGTTGATCACAGAATATGTCATTGACAGTACAAAATACGAATGCCAAGTGCAATGGCCAAGTGCCGATACGAAAGATTACAAGACGGCGTTTACAGTGGGTTTATCGCCTTTTTTTAAGTGGGCACAAGTCGTCCAAGTGGTCGGGACTTGATTTAGTTGGCCAAAAAGAGACTTATCTTAGGCCGTTTGGACACTTGTCATATCAGCCCACTCGATGGTTGAAATCATTTGATACAGATTAGTCTAAGATTACGCTTCGATTCCACCTACAGTGGTCAACATCCTAAATATACTGGATTATTTTAAATGTATTCTTACTGAATATTTCCTTAAGTTTTTTCTAGTGTTAGAGTTCAAGTTTGTCGAAAGGATAAAAGATGACAAATTCGCGTTAGATAAAACTTAACTGAATTTATAGTAAATTGAATAAATGGTTCGGCTCAAAACACAATTTTCATTAATCAAAGGAACGCAATTAATATTTATTTTAGATGTCTGACGACGGTTCCAAGGGGATCTTGAACAATGGCTTCGAAATGGAACACGTAAGTTGTCCGTAAAAACTTATGAAATTATCATCCTAAATATAAAATCAATATCCACAGAAGGAGCTACAGATTCTGGGCCCTGATGAGTTCAAGGACCTGCCTTTCGCAGATTCTAAAAATCTAGACAACGAAAAGAGTTACTTGGAAAATAATCCAAAAGTGGCGAGAATTGTGAAGATCTCGATTTATGTACTCTTGCACCTGGTTGTTGTGGGCTACTTTTCCTATGCCACCTACCACTACCATGACATCAGTAAGTGAATCCTGATAATTACACATAAAAATCAATATTAATGTGTCCCTTTCATAGCAAATTACGAATGTGGATGGTCAGGAAGCACTAATCCGTTGTGCGGCATTAATTTTTGCTCCGGATATGGAATGCTCCTACTTCTGCTGGGCTTCATTTACTTGGGTCTGTTCTACTACTATGTATTCAAGCCCATGGTGGGCCTCAAACTGCACAAGAACTTCCTGAAGCCCATGTCCAAAAAGTGGCACGCGTTCAGCAGAACCAGGTGGGTTTAAAATAAACTATTAAATGATGCGTTTATAATTACCAGAGGTTCCCATTTTTGTTTCACAGAGTTATGTCACTGGTCAGCATCGCCATACTCCTAGTCCTTTTGGCCATTTTCGTGTATTTCGAGACCCGCAACGAACCTCAGAAGCTGATATCGCTGGTAGCGCCCTGCAGCTTTATCCTGTGCGGCTACGTCTTCTCCACGAAGCGCAGTGCGATCAAGTGGCGCATCGTGATCACTGGAATTACGTGCCAGTTCCTGCTGGGCATCTTCTGTATCCGCTGGGAGGTAGGCCGCAAGATCTTCGAGTGCTTGGGCAACAAAGTGGCCACCTTCCTTGGCTATGCCACCGAAGGAGCACTCTTTGTCTTCGGTGAATACCTGGTGGGCGCGGAAGTGTTTGCCTTTGCCATCCTGCCAGTGATCTTCTTCTTCAGCTTCTTCATCTCCATACTGTACTACATGGGTGCGATGCAATGGGTCGTGATCAAGCTGGGCTGGATCCTGCAACAGATCCTAGGCACCACCGTCTGCGAGAGCGTGACTGCAGCGGCCAACATATTTCTGGGCATGTCTGAGAGTCCGCTGCTCATCCGGCCGTACATTAACAAATTGACCAAGAGCGAGATCCACAGCATTATGGTGTCTGGCTTCGCCACGGTCTCGGGTACCGTGCTGGCCGCCTATTTGTCATTCGGAGCGTCAGCCGCTCACTTGATTACCTCCTCGGTGATGGCGGCTCCCGCCACGCTGGCCATTTCCAAGCTTTACATGCCGGAGACAGAGGAGAGCCAGACCACGTCGAAGTCTATAGAACTGGAGAAGTCGTAAGTGTTATATATAGGAGACTTAATTGTAATTATAATACTTACAGTTCTATGGTAAATTTCTCCATGTAGGCAGGATTCATCTCTGTTGGATGCCGCATCTAGTGGAGCCAGCAATGCTGTGCCCATTGTCCTGGGCATCATTGCCAACATAGTGGCCTTTGTGGCCTTCATCACCTTCCTCAATGGTGTGGTTAACTGGTTTGGGTATCTGGTGGGTCTCGAGGACATCGACTTTGAATGGATCTTCTCCAAGCTCTTTATACCGCTCGTCTGGGCGATGGGAGTGCCTGCCGAGGACTGTGATATCATCGCCAAGGTAGTGGCCACCAAGACCATAATCAATGAGTTTGTGGCCTACGAGCGTCTGGGTCAATATATTCTGGACAAGCAGATCACTGTAAGTTATCTGAAGCCTGAGATGTGGTTGTGATATATATTTAACGTTCTTAACCTTCAATTTCAGGCTCGCAGTGCGGGAATTGCCACATTTGCCATCTGCGGCTTCGCCAATCCTAGTTCCTTGGGCATCCTCATTGGATCCCTCAGTGCCATGGCTCCACATCGTCGTTCCACCATTACACAAGTGGCATTCAGAGCCTTTATCGTTGGCAGCATTGTCTGCTTCGTGTCGGCCAGCTTTGCTGGCATCCTCCTGCAAGAGGATGAGGAGCAGGCGACTTATGCCAGGATCTTTGAGAAGTTGGGTCGCCGGAATAGCACCCTGTTACTGACAGGCAGTTTAAAAGCGAGATAGAAGAATCAACTAAGAAAAATAATAAACATATTATTTATTAAATATCAATATGTTGATGTTTGTTTATAGACTTTATATTATTTAGATTTGTAACGCTATATGCGGATTCGCAAACCTTGAATCTCTTTCCATCATTGTTGCTGAGCTATACGCGATGAAGTATTAAAGGTAATTACAATTCTAAAGGCTGTCAAGACCTTATTTGCCGAAAGCTCTGTCAGTGTAACTTCGGTTTTTTCAGCTAGTAAGTTGCAATTAATATTTGACATTCATTTCTTTTTGTTTATAACGCAAATATATCACTTGTTTAGGAATTCGCATTCAGGATACTAACCGTGATGAGGATAAATTTCAAGGTATGAAATAGATAAAACTCATGGTTAATTCATAACTCAAAATCTTGGTAATATACTGTTCAGATTGGCAATAACTTTTTTGTGTAGTTCTATGTCGGCGTCATTGAAGGTGTCCTTGCTGCATTGTCCTAATTGAAGAGAGCCCTCGTACAGGGCTTGTAGAATTTGTCTAGGCGTACTTTCTTCTCTTTTACGCTTTAGGTTGGCTTCCGGCTGACACTTGTGTTCGACTTCGCGAAAATAACTCGCTTTACTTAGCTCTTGGCAGGTGGCATCTAGAGAGAAGTCTAGATCTTTAGGTTTTCCCAGCAAGGCTTCAAACAGGAGCTGCACATCGCCTTTAATGGTGTGACGTGCACTGAATGCTCTTAGTTGCGCATCAGTGCTGGACTGGCAAAAGGAGAGGAACTTTTGTCGCTGCCAGTTGGAGCAGCCAATGACTGGATCAAGGCCCCGCAACACCACCAATTGAGTAGCTTTATCCGAAGCTAATAGCAGCCTGAAGTAGGCACTGACAAACGTCGAGCTCTTATCAACGGTCATCAGCTGTTTGGCCATTTCCGACGTTCGCGTAAACCACTGTGAGCAGTTGGTTTGACCCAGTTGCGCCAGAATTTCCAGAACACCAATCTGGTGATAAATTAGAGGTTAAAGAAGAGTTCAGAGAAGGCAGAGCAAATACTTACGATATCGTAGTAATTGCCTATTTCCGTTGGAACATCAGATGTGATATTATCCAAGTGCTTTAAAAGCTTTTGCCTTATTTGATCACTGGAACCGATCACCGCCGATAAGTGTCGATAATTTCGCAGGCTAAGGGTAGGAAGTTTCTGGCGTCCCATGATGTGAAAATATTTTACAAAACGCTGCACATGCCATTGGCTTGGATTGTGCGAGAACAAGGCATATGAGTTGTTGCACTCATTCCAGAATCTAGCAGCCTGCTCTATGGCCCTACTGTCCCATCCCTTATTCACTTCTATCAGTCTGAAAAGATACATTAAGTATGACATAATTAACCAAATCTGAAAAACAATTTACTAACCGAAAGCAGAGCATGAGGACATCGGCACACGCTTGAGATTTGACTATATCCTTTTGAAATAAGCCAGCACAGAAGTAGTTATGCATGATTTCGTTGTCCAGCAAGTACAAGAGGCTACCAAAACCCTCAATTATTCGCTCGTAATTTTCCTCGTGCACGAAGTTAGTGGCATCTGTTGGAGTAGTTTTATAATACTATTAATTACATACAAAAATCTCTAAAATATATCTCACCTATGAACATGTACTCGAATATTTTTTGTAGTATTTGGCAAGTATTTGGAGAGACAGCCGTATTGTCCGTGCATACCACAGTGACAAAATCCAGGCAAACATTGAAGGAATCCTCATTGGAATCCAGATTTTGTATTAAATACTTTAAAATAAATACTTGTTTAAATATATAGCAAAAAATTAATGTATATTTTACCTCTTGAAAGTCGGGCAATAAATAAACAAGCTCAAAGAGTTGCATGACATACGGTTTAACGTAAGTAGATACAAGTTTAGGAATATCTTTCCCCAAATCATGTGAGTGTTCTCTTTAGGGGATAATTAGGTAAGATTAAATGATTACTTATTGGTACCAACTTACGGTTCACTGATTATTTCTAAAAGGCCAGAAGAAACGTCTTCATGCAGATGCATCGTACCACCAACTCGAAAAATCTCTTGTATCATTAGCAGGTAAGTTTGTGTAACCTTAACATAGTCTTCTATCTTCTCCAATGGGACAGCGAGTGTTTCCTGAAAATAACCAATATTTATCAGCATCAAGAGTAACTAGCTTTTGGTATAACAAACTTTTTTATGAACAGTCTCCAATTGACTGCAAACTGAGTCACAAAGGTGCACCAATGTGTCTTTTAGCCACTCGGACATAGGCTCCTGCTCCTTTTTGGGCTGCTGTTTTATTAACTTCAAGTAATGAACGCACATGAAAGTCACCGTCTCACTGGTCCTTATTGATACCTGCAGATGGGTAATTCTTTCTCCTAAATATTCGGCAATGGCAGTCATTTCCTTAATCACTGAAGACAGAGGTTAATGTTTGGTAGCAAAATATATTTCAGAAAACAAACTCACGGGGAATATTGCGAAAGTTCACAGTTTCGGATCTAGCTGTGCTATCTCTCAGAAGGGACAGAACAAGCAAGTGTAGATCGATGCAGATCTTTAAGATACCTCTACAAAGGTAAACAAGTTTAACCAAATAGATTTGGTTTATTGATTTTATATATGGATCTTACCGATTGCTGGAAAACCTATTGATCACGGTTAACAAGAAAAAGGCCGAGCTATGCACCAGACGTTCACCGCCCTTCAGAAGCTGTTCCCTAAAAACTGTTGTAAAGTTCAGAGCCTCGGTGACAATGGCAAGGCGAGCGTCTTGCGCATCTGCTGTAACCTGAGAATGTTAGATACATTAATTGAATTAACTAAAGGTAATTATGCAATACTAACCCTTCCGAGCCAGGACCACATTTCCTTGATCGCATTGACACAGCAGACCGCCTCCTCCACATAGGCTCTTAACAATTTACTTAGCCATAGAAGCAAAACATCTGCCGGTTTTGCAGATTCGTTTGACAGAGATTCATTGCAGATCTTTATAGCCGTTTGCACGTCCACCAACATGATAATATCTTCTTGGTCTATGGCCTGCAGCTCGCTGTACGACACGATTAAAGCATCTTCCGACATTTTAAAGGATTTTATAGCACTTATATTTCTATTTTATTTATAGTTCTGCAGGTTTATAAAAATATTGCGCCAGTAAGGATCAGTGCTGCCATCTCAAGTACTTTTGCACGGGTATCAAAAATCTCTTATCGATTTTTTAAAATGGTACTGCCAACCTGATACAACAGTATCGATAGGTCCGAGAATTATCGATAGGTGTTTAATGTGCACGTTGTTTTCATTTCTTGTATTTCGTTGTATTTTTATTTTTAAAAAATGCAGCGAAAAGAGGTGAATCCCTTCCAGACACTAGGTCTACGGCCCTGGCTAGTGAAGCAGCTAACCAAGCTGGGTAATGTCAAGTGATAAATCCTTAAACTTAAGTTTAATGGCAATTAACTTATCTGCAGGCCTGAAAGGAGCAACTCCTATCCAACAAAACTGCATTCCAGCGATCTTGTCAGGCCAGGATTGCATTGGAGCAGCCAAGACTGGATCGGGAAAGACATTTGCCTTTGCACTACCCATTCTGGAGCGTCTTAGCGAGGAACCCGTAAGCCACTTTGCCCTGGTGCTGACGCCCACACATGAGCTGGCCTACCAGATATCCGAGCAGTTCCTGGTGGCCGGCCAGGCTATGGGGGTGCGCGTGTGTGTGGTTTCCGGCGGCACCGACCAGATGATCGAGAGCCAGAAGCTTATGCAGCGACCGCATATCGTTGTGGCCATGCCGGGTCGCCTGGCAGATCACCTTACTGGCTGCGACACCTTCTCATTCGACAATCTTAAGTACTTGGTGGTGGATGAGGCCGATCGAATGCTTAACGGCGATTTCGACGAGAGCCTAGCCATCATCGAGCGGTGTCTGCCCAAGACCAGGCAGAACTTGTTCTTCTCCGCCACCATGAAGGACTTTATGAAAGAGTCCAGCATATTTCCCATTGCCAAAGATGTGAGTTATTTATCAAGGATGTTTTAAACTTTTGGTGACTGACCTTCTCAATGTAGTGTATGGAGTGGTCCCAGGACTCGGATGTGGCCACTGTAGAAACGCTGGATCAGCGCTATCTGCTGTGTGCTGACTACGATCGCGACATGGTGCTGATTGAATCGCTTAGGAAATACCGCGAGGAGAACGAAAACGCCAATGTGATGATTTTTACCAATACTAAAAAGTAAGTCACCATCAACGGAAAGGATATATTTTATCATTAATGCATTCTGAATACTTTTAGATACTGCCAGCTACTGTCAATGACACTGAAAAACATGGATATAGACAATGTATGCCTACACGGCTTTATGAGGCAAAAGGAGCGTGTAGCTGCCCTCAGTCGCTTCAAATCGAACCATATTCGCACACTGATCGCCACAGATGTGGCTGCCCGAGGTTTGGACATACCCAGTGTCCAGCTGGTTATCAATCACATGCTGCCACGCACACCCAAGGAGTACATTCATCGCGTGGGACGGACAGCAAGGGCCGGACGCAAGGGCATGTCCATATCCATATTCCGCTTTCCGCGCGACCTAGAGCTATTGGGCGCCATCGAGGAGGAGATCAACACAAAGCTCACCGAGCATCCCATCGACCGTGAGCGCTCTAACTTAACTTTTCACTAGCATTTTTAATTTAAGCATCTTATCCTTTTAGAGCGGATGGTTGAGCGAATTTTCATGCAGGTGAATGTGACACGCCGCGAGTCAGAGATGCAGTTGGACAACAATGACTTCGATGAGCGCGCTCAGAATTACAGACGCAAGACATGGATAATGGAGGGCAAGGATCCGGATGAAATGGAAGCGCTGTAAGCTCTTTAAAGCAGCCTTTTAATGCATTCTCTTAGCTTATTATATATTAATGCAGATATCGTAAAAAGCAAAAGGATAAGCTGAAGGAAATACGACGAAAACGGAAGCTGCAACAGGCAGAGTCCGCAGCTAGCGAGGAGGGAAAGGCCCTTCTTCAAGATGAACGCTTCAAATCGGTGGATAGTGCTCGCTTTGAGAAAAAAGGCAAAGGACATAGTAAAGCCCCAAATTCTGAAACCGAAACAAAGCCACTGAAGCAGCTAATCAAAGGAAATCAAAGTGCCCAAAAGTCCAAAAGAAAACAGAAAACACAAACGCAAGTTCAGAGAAAAATGAAAAAGTGATTTTTAAATATACGTTTATGTTATAGCAAAATTATTTTGAAGCTTACACTGCTTACACCGCATTATGCACATATGACACGGCATTAAATTTGTTGTTAATTCTAGTTTCTAATGAAACCCTGTAGTTAAATAACTTTTTAATGCAGTGTCATACCTGCCGCTTAAGTAGTTGCAAAATGCATACTAAAATAATTTCAAAAATTCAGACATGCTAGCTAAGGCTAGAAAACCAGGCACTTGGGACGCATCACTGTACACGTCGGTCATCAGTCTAGGGCTATAGTCAGCAGGGCATCCTCGGGATGAACCTCCAGCAAGGCCTTAGCGCCGTCGTTGAAGGGATACATAATGCTGCCATCTATGACCAGGTCTAGAAGAAGGCAAATATTAATTAGTCCTCGCTATTGCTATTAACTTTTCTTTCTATGCTTCTCACTGGCATCGAGGCAATGCGACTTGACGAACACACTCTGGACAAAGTCGCGTTCCTTGAAGGTCTTCGGCATGGGCCAAACTCCCACGCAGATTTGCTCCCGCACCGAGTAGCAGAGCCGCGGATCATCGGGTGCGAAGAGCAGGTTGCGGTTATACTGCTGGGCGATCTCCTCCGTGTTCTCCAGCAGTTTCGCCACTTCCGGCAAACTACTATTCGGCAGCGAACGCAAAAGATCCTCCACGTATCGGCTGGTGATCCGATTGATGCTCGTGTGCCAGGACGTTGAGCCCGTGCCCGTGCTGACACAGAGCCCCGAGCACTTTGTCTTGTTTATCAGATCCTGGTGGTCCAGCACCAGCTGCAGATGGGAAACTCGGGCTGAGAGGTGTTCCCCGATAAATACCTAAGAATCCACAAAATTGGAAATAAGGAACCTCTTTCTTCCTTGGAGGATATGATGGATAAATACCTCATTGAGAGCCAAGTAGGGAAGAACACGCTTCATTTTGGCCTTGTACTTTCGTGCCATGTCCTTCTCCAGAAGTTCGGGCTTGGTAGTCACCTGTTCCATCTTCACTTCAGTATGCCGAAAGAGGTCCGTTGATTCGGGGATCTTGCCATTGTTTCCCAGAAACGTTGTGCGCACCCTTGACCGATGCATCCACTTGAAGTCGCCCTGTCAAGGATTCCAAAATGTTCTACACATATTCACATATACTAAGAAAAGAAACTTACGCTTTTAATGCGAGCCACAGCGTCGGCGGGATTGTCGGAGTAATGTTTGGGCAGCATGAGCCGCCCCTCCGAGTGCAGCGGATCCGAATTGAAGCCCACGATTGGCGTCTTCTGTTGGCTGAGTGCGAAAAGCGGACTGGCGCGACCGGCGGATAGAAGGAACGTGCCGTCTCCGCCCACCGGTACGATGAGATCCGCCCATCTCATGACATCCTTGCTCAAGGAGCTTCTAAATTCAAGTCTGCTCGTTTAGTAAAGTCAACACAACGGCGGAGACACGCAAGGGTGTGAGGAATGGTGAAGATCAATTGTAGCGGATAGTAGTCACAGATCGGAGATACATATAAAGTATCATACAACACAAAGTATGGGGAGAGCAGTGATGGGATGAGGATTCTTTAAAGGGTTTTTTTTTTTCTTAGTTTCAAACAGAAAATTTACACAACATAAGAAGTGCCATATGGACTTATTTTCACGCTTTGGATTTAGTTAAAGCCCTGTGTATAGTATCGACAATTTGTATAATTCTTGGCCGGAACAATAATAGTGAGTTTTGCGAATATTTTAAATATAAGCTTATAATTTGTCTTCTGACAAACGAAATGTTGAGTGTCCAATAAAGAAAAACCCCCCTACTCTTCCCATCACTGTTAAGGTGGACGCAGTGGATGTGTCTATGTACGCACCTGCTGGCCAGCTTCACTTCGCAGCCCACGTCCTGGAAGCTCTGCACGACCCGCTTCTCGAAGTCCTTGTGCAGGTTGTGAAGGTACAGAACCATATCGACGTCGGTGCCACGGTCCCGCAGCTTCTGCTCCAGCTGTTCCCGCGAGAGCTCGGGATGACGTAGCTGTTCGAACTCATAGCGCGATAACTTGGTGACCACCAGCGCTCGTTTCAGCTTAAAGTTGGTTGGCGTGAAATTGGCATACTCTGAAAAAGTGAAAAGCAGGCATTTAGTTAGTCCGATCCTAGTCATGCCCCGGTGGCAGGCAATTTACTCAACCCCTTTGATAGAAACCTCCGGGAGCCCATAACCATCTAACACGCCAACAAAAATCAAAAACAAAACAAATCGATTGGAATCTCTCCGAACAGCTGATGAGCCACAGTAAAGGTTCAAAAAGTATTCCGACTTTTTTAATTTAAATTTCGAGTACCTAATAATTTAAAAGATTTTAGTTGGAATATCTGGACAGATAGCTACCTAGTTTTCTAGTGATTAATATTTTTAAGCAACAAATCAAAAATTCTGGAACATGCACCCTCACTGTTCAAGGTCCAATCATATATGAACAGAATATTTTGCCCAGCACTGTATCCAGAGAAAGTTCATCGCGACAAAGAATTTGGCGAATAAAGTATGTATTTACTGATTATCTACGGCTTGGCCGGGCGTCAGCGGCGATTAAGGCCTGTCAAGGCGAGCCTACGAGATGGTGATATAGTATTATGTTTATTCCCGCACATGCCGAATACTGATAACAAAAGCGGCAACGAAAACACAGATAGGTGGCAGGTGATGTGTGTAATGAGTGTACATATGCTTTAAATTGCGCCTTCCCTTCAATGATCCTTACCTTTGGCAAATTGTTGCAGCAACTGCTTCGACTTCAACATACTGGGCACTACTGGTGCAGACGAACAACGAACATTTAGAGAACGTAATTAATTTTATTTCGTTATATTATTTTGGAGAAATCCTTTTAAGTCGGTGGAATAAGTAAGCCCTACAACTAACTAAATGAGATGATTTGCAGCTTTCGGCCCTTAAGCTAATAGCAAAATAACAAATTGAATGCCTTTCGTCAGGCGTTGTTCTAAATTCGAAAAGGCACATACATATGCATACATATGTTTGCTAATAAGTTGAGGTTAATGTTTAGAACGATTCGGAGTTATGATCACTGTTCACTATCCCGCTAGTCGTTCGTTCCCGTCCAGCATTTTTTCGCGTCCACGCTCTGAGTGCTTTGCAGATTAACTGATTAATTATTACTCTATATTCCTATGCGGTGTTCCTCCATCGGCACTTCGCTTATGTATGAAAATTCGCCTTCGCTGTAAATTTATCGCCGTTTGTTTCTATTTTCGTCCGCTTTCGCTTCTCACATCTCGCCTGTCCCTGTGTACTTTTTGTTGTGCATTGCTGATAAGCGGCACAGCCTGTTCTTATCAGCCGAAATATGTATGGAAGAGAAGTGCTCCCTCCGTCGACAACTAAATTCACTCGGTGCCATTCACAGCCCTCCACACAATCTTCTTCTTGCCTATCGGCGGCGGCGCACAATTCACCCACAAGTGGTGTTTTCCGCCAAAACTAATATGAATTTGAACGCGAAATTTAAAATTACTTAAAATAAATATACTTCTGAAGTGAGAATTGGTGTATCCGGCTCTTTAATTAAAGCCCTCCGGTAGCTCGGATAGATAAGACTCCCCAGCAGCTGGATTTACCGATTTCTTACCCTGGAATAAATGAATAATTACTACAGATTAGCTTAAAACAGAGTAGGCAATTTTACCTTAAAATATTCGGGAGTTTCTTGAGTATCGATATTGCGCACTGTACTCATCATCAACATTACATGACGAGCCACCTGTTGAACGGTGTACTCATCCGTAGCGGAACTATTTAATTCCATTGGGTTGCCCGGCTGCGGCAGAGTGTTGACCTTTGCTCTTTCAGCAGCATAGCCATTGGTTAACGGTGGCATAGTGGTTTCGTATCGACCATAGGCGCGGCGATCAGCCAGATTGTTGACCGAATCTATCATAGAGGTAATGGTGCTTGGGTAGCCCATATCCGGGGGATTCTGTGGAATATTATGGAAGTTTTTCTTATGGTTGATTAGTACATTGGGTGACTGATCCACATTATTGTCCCTGAAGGAGTTATATGCGAAGCGCATTCGTTCCTGCAGCATCAAGCGTGACTGCTGCTGCTGCTGGCCGCGATTGTAGTTCTGATTAAGACCCGGATTATGAATGGTGTCCTCATTGTTTTTGGGAGGCCTTTGGTTCTTATTTCGCTTGTTCCAACGGTTTTTAAAATTAAGATCTAGTCGAGACTTCACGTTGTTCCTTTGACCAACATTGGGGCGCGCAGTGTTTGCGTTGTGACGGCGCCACTGAGGAGAGTAGGAGCTCTCATTCTGCCACGGCGATGACTCGTCGCAGTAGGTCTTATTGAAGTCATCCATCTCGTAGTTTATTTGGGTCACGTTTGATTTAAAATCGCTATAGGCGCCGTCCGGCGAGTCCTCCAACGACTCGCCTGTTCCAACAAGCTCATCTTCATCGTCTTCACTGTCTTGTTCGTCTTTGTAGGAACGCACATTACCGGCCTGGCGCCGGCCGACATTCCGGTGGCCTGCCGGCCTGGTTTGACCCATCTGGGTGGAGCCTGCTTGATGGCGTGAGTGGAACATCGATCCAGGGTATTTGGGCGGTATAAGCGGCTTCGGATGAACACAGTTTTCCCAATATTCATCTATAAAGGTAGAAAACACATTAAAACAGGCATTTGCATATATAAGGACCTAAAAACTCACCCAGCGGCAAAAGCGCCCCGACGGCATTAAAGGATGTCATCGTTTTACACACACTTTACCGTTTTCATACAGTTTAACCAGAAATTTGCAAGTTAAGTTTTGCCAAGAAGAGAAACAGTTAGAATTGTCGCGCTGACCAGTGCTGGGTCGACAGCACAAGATAGTATCGATACATCGATAGGTGTCACCTTTCTTTTAACAGGAATGCGGATATGGGCTATCTTTGACATTTTTCATATTTTGAAGAGAACTACTCGTATTTATATAAACAAAAATGTCTTGATTTACAATCTTACTTTATTTATTTTTTACTCTCGATAAACTCGAAAGATAGATAGAATGTGCATTTGTTCCGGTATATCGATACGACACAGAAATCGAATGTTCGATATCGATATTCGGAACATTTTCTCATCTCTCCTACAGCTAACTTTAGTTCTGTCACTTTTTCAAGTTTTGCCAAGAAGAAAAACAGTGCTGGGTCGACAGCTCACAATAGTATCGAGTAGTTCCGATATATCGGTACGATACTTAAATCGAATATTCGATATCGATATGCGGAAAATTTTCTCATCTCTACTACAGCCAACTTCACTTCTGTCACTTTTTCAAAAAACGTGGGGCGAGCGGCGTCTAAAATAATAAATACAAAAATGTAAGTATATGGTATAAAATAAGATAAATAGTCAGCGATTGCAGCGAATATAACTGCGAATAGAGTTCGATTGGCTTATTTGCAGAACTCAATGTTGCAAGATCAAGTTGTGGTGTGCAGGGCAAACTTCTTTGCCGATTGCTATCACGTGGTTTAGGCAAGATGCCCTGCACCTTCGACATATTGCAAAAAAAAAAGGAAAACTAAGCCTAAAAGATTATTTTGTAATGTTACAGGTGAGGCAGATGTCTTGGCGTTCTGTGCCTATGAGCCGGCAACGTTTGAAATGGTATGTTAAATATTCAACTGCCTATTCCTATGGGCGAACACGAGTCGCTGGTGTAAAGAAACTCAACTTTAGCTAGTGCTTTTTTACTTGTTCGCAGATAAAAGTACTTTGCCCAAGCATAACCCAAATTCGAAATACCTGAATTTGCGGTGCATATTTTTTCGTAAAGTCGACATTTGAATTTCGTTTAAATACGCTTTTCCGATTGTTTGTGGAGTTACTTATGTATGAACTCGTTTTTTTTCACAGAAACAAAATGGAGGGTCTTCCCAAAACACGTGTCTCCTGAAAATGTACTTCTCTAAAGGTTTGTATACTAATAAGATATGCTTTAAAGTGATGAATTAAACTTTCACCATCTTTCGACTGATAAAAGTATTGATGCTATATAAGTTTTTACTGATTTAAAATTAAAGAATTTTCTTCTTATTTAAAATGACCATGTTAAGACAAAATCCTAATCCAACTGTTCGATCTATTTCAGAAATTAAATAAGAGATGTCAACTTCTATTGATTCTTGGAACAATATTTAAAAAAGGTATATATTTTAAGCTCAGACTAAAAGTCAGATGGCAGCACTTGTGATGAATGAAACTTACACCATCTTTCGACTGAAAAAATATATTGATGCTATATAAGTTTTCACTGAATGTGACGCCATTATATGCCTTATGTTGGTAATCCCAGAAATAACTATATAAACCTAATTTTCTTTATTGTTTTAGTTCGAGTAAGTTATCTTCCGAGATGGCGATAAATCCTATAAATAGACGAAAAAAGGTAATTAATCGTATAAATGCAAATATAAAGCATAGCTTTGTCACACTATGATGATCTATTATTCTATTTTCTGACATCTCTAATGAACCGTTGTGATTCAAAACAGTTATAATTATTTACTGAAGTTTTCTAATATAATTATAATATTAATTTTGTGATGTCAAAAACTGACCAGTATATTTTTTTTTTCCAGATCTCCTGGAAAACTGGAAGGTGCTATAATGAAGGCTGAACTTATTTAAAAAAAGGTAATTAATTGATTAATTTAAAATTCACATACATTTTCAATGATGCTTATACATTTTCTGACATCTCTAATGAACCGTTGTGATTCAAACTTTTTAAATATATAAATTACTGATGCTTTTTTCATAAGTTTATTAGACTTTTTTTTAATTTTTTTGGCTAATTGGTCGTCTATTCTTTTTTCTAGGGTTTTGGAATATAGAGGAAGCCGATAATCATCCCTTACCTGGTTGGATAACTAAGCCACGGTTAGTAATATTTTTCTCTATTTTCTTTCTTAAGGACTCAATGATGATCACTTAAACCATTCACAGACACCATATAAAAGTCAAGCGCTGACAAGCTTCTTCAATATTCTTTTGGAGATAGGGAGTCTTGCTTGGCCGGTTATGGGCCCTGGTTAAAAACTTGGCACTGAGCTTTACCATATGTTATAGAATTTATCAATAATTTTGGTTAGTTTACTTATCATTACCCTTTCTTCCTTTTGCAGATATGATCTGGAAGTGTCCAGCTCCTGATTAAACACAATTTTTTAAACACGTTAAATAAAAGACTTCTTTAAATGTTAGAAATCGTTTTTTACTAAGTTTGCACGCTCTCGAAGGGCCAGCTCCTGGTTCTGCTTGGCGATCATTCGGTCGCCCTTAGATTTCTTTCCTATGCCCAGCTTGGGCAGGCCACGGTTCAAGCCCTCGAGTAGAACGCATGCCTTGCAAGGCTGCTGTGAGGAGACGAAACTGCACCGAGTGCATATTCCACGCACGGGCTTTTTTACCGTGTCTTTAAAACGCAGCTGCTCGCCTGAATAAATAATATCCATTATGACAGCGGGCCGCACCTTTTCCAGATCCTTAAGGAAGGCTCTGGCATGGCCGCGATAAGCATTTGGGGCGAAGACGCACTCCGTCGAGAAATACACTAGCTTCTTGTAGTGTGCATACATCACGATCTCCTTTTCGTAGCTGTATTTGAGGGGCTTCACCCGAGGTATGGAATCCTCGCCGCCCCCGGTCCGAATGTCGGTGCAACGCCTTAGGCGAGCGGTGTCTCCACGCAGAACGTTCATCAGCACAGTCTCGGCGATATCATCAGCATTGTGGCCGGTGGCTATGCTGTCCACACCCAGCAGTTTAGCCCCGCGATCCAGTGCCTGTCGCCGGAAGACCCCACAGAACGTGCAGTTGTTGGAACGCCCGATCTGCGCCACAATCCGGTCCATTGTCCAACCATACAGCTCCTCGTAGGAGAGGATCTTGAGGGGCATTTGGTAGTCGTCACGGTTTTTTTTGACCGTCTCCAAGCTGTCGTCCCTATAGCCAGTGATGCCTTCGTCTATAGAGAGCAGCACCAGTTCCAGGCCATAGTCATGACGCTCATTGAGCAATTTCAAGCTGGAACAAAAGGGATTACGTCCATTAGATGGGGGATGAATGTGGAATTCCAGCTACTTACACGTGCGCCAATACTGTGGAATCCTTGCCTCCACTGGCAGCCACGGCCACCTTTTCGCCTCGCCGGAATAAATTGCTGGAAGAGATCGTGTGATGGATCTCTGCTTCGAAGGCGGCGAAGAAGCACTCCTTGCACAGCGCATCGCCGGTTTTCGGACGCTATAGATAATATATGCAATTAGCGCGTTATACTTCGAGATATAGTCAATGACATACCTTTAAGGCAGCTCGATTGCCACACTGGGATTTGCAGTTAATGGGCATTTTAAATCACATTTATTTCACAATTTATTTATCGTGGCCAGTTCACATCTGTTTTCAGCCCCTTCCAACACTGATTTTCCGCACACATTTTGCAGCACTTTTATAAAAACAAGAAACGTAAACATAGGACGCAATGAGTGCCGGAAAGGAGTTAAAAGCCCTTCTTAAGGACATCCGGGAGACTATCAAGCTGGGCAAGCATGCCGAAGCCATACCAAAGTGTCAGGTGACTTTCCCTCTGCTGGGTTCTGGTTTTTCCGCCTTACAAAAGTGATTGTTGATTGCAGCGCCTGCTGAAAGAGGATCCGAAGAATGCAATGGGTTACTTGTTGCTAGGAGCTGCCTTTCAGAACCTGGACAAAGCTGAGGCGGCCAAGAACCTACGCAAGTGCATCGAGTACACGGAAGGACCGCCCACTGCGGCCCTCCTGGGATTGGCTAACTGCGCGCCCAGCGGCGAGCTACCGGAGATCTATGATCAGCTGGCGGATCTGCAACCGTAAGAAGTTTAAATACAGAAACCTCAATTTTATCTTTAAATCTTAGGGAGCAATCCTTGGTCTTTCTGGAGAAGCTATTTATCCTGGCCTCCGATGCTAGTGTGGCCCCCACTTGCTTTGCTGCGCTGAAGAAGAGATCTCAGAACAAAGAAGATCAGAATTATGCCAAAATTCAGGAATATCTGGGCCGCATTTGGTTCGCAAATGATTTCGAAATCAAAGCAGAGGATAAGGAACTTGTAAGGCATATACATTATAAAGTAAAATTAAAGTTAAACCAATATTATTCCTATCCCAAGTACAAGGCAACGATGGAAGCTTTGCTGGTTAGTTCTGATCTAAATGGTCAGAGTGTCGTCTACAAGCGCTACTTGAAATGGCTGTATAAGGAAAAAGATTACACGTCATGTGTCCGTCACGCTAGTAACATGACCGCATCGCATCCCAAGGACGTCTATGGCTACGAGTGGATATGCAAGACTTATTGCGAAAACCACGACCAGCCAAACAGGGCCCTTTGGCAGCCGGAACTGAAGTATCCCATTCAGGTGTATGCCGAGCAATTGCTGGAACTGAATCCAAACTCTAATTTGGCTCTTCTCATCCGGGCTATGAATCTATTTGCTGAGGGGCAATTCGTCTCAGCCAGACAATTGGTGCTGCAAGCCCAGCAAAGTCACCCCACTTATAAGGAGACACTAGAGTTGCTGGCACGTATTCACATGGAGCTGGGCGCCTATAAATTGGCCGCGCAGCTTTGGCAGCAACTTGGACGGGAGCACGAAGCTTATGCCGAGTGTTTATCCCATGAAAAAGAGCCCGCCAAACTAAGCGAAGCGGTCAGGATCCTGGAAACACTTGATAAATCCGAAGGAAATGTTAAAACTTTGGCTCGGTAAGATTTAAATATTTATACCCTTGCAGGGTATTATAATTTCAGTCAGAAGTTTGCAACGCAATGAAGGAGGTACCTCCGACTATATAAAGTATATATATTCTTGATCAGGATCAACAGCCGAGTCGATCTAGCCATGTCCGTCTGTCCGTTTCTACGCAAACTAGTCTCTCAGTTTTGAAGCTATCTGAATGAAACTTTGTAGTTAGCCTTCTATATACTCTCACTCGTATATATGTCGGAACGGGCCGGATCGGACGACTATATCATATAGCTGCCATAGGAATGATCGGAAAATTTTTACAAAAAATTTTTTAACTTCTTCAGTTTTCAATAGAATTGGATCAAATTTGAGATATAGCCATTTTACTATACTCTACAATTTTGCATAAAATTTTATGAAAATCGGACTACTATATCATATAGCTCCCATAGAAACGATCGAGAAAACGATCGTTTGATGTAGAGGAAAAATGCAAATCTTTGAATGTAAAACTGCAAAATATAATATGTATAGGTGAATACAATGAAAGCAGGTATTACTTCACTGTCTTTTAACACAAATATATATCATTTATATTGTATGGTTTTTTATTCATAGAAGTTCTATCTGCAAGGGTATATAAACTTCGGCGTGCCGAAGTTAGCTTCCTTTCATGTTTTCTGGTATGTTCAATCAATTCTCTCTTGCAGTTGCTACTTTAAACTTGGTGACCAGCTGTTGCTAAAGGATTTACCCTTGGATGAAGTCTCCAAGGCGGAATTCATTTTGTAAGTAAGTACCATTAAGCGTATAGCCATTTTATAGCTCAATTCCGTAGATCCCCCACCGAGGCTGTTCAGGCAATTGGCAGCCACGAGTCCTTTGACGCCCTTTTACTCTGTGGTAAGCTGCATATGATGTTGAAGAACTACACAGATGCCCTGAACAGCATACTGAAGGCTACTCGACTGCGCCCTCACTTTGCTGAATGCTTCGATTATCTGGGCAGGCTGTATCCGCTGGCCACAGGCGACTTGGCCCGAGCTCGAAAGTGCTACGAGAAGTGCATTAGCCTTAACGCCCTAGCTGAGGAGGCGGTGGATGCTTTGAGCTTTATCTATCAGGAAATGGGCGAGGAGGAGTTGAACGAAACGTTGCTGCTGAACACGCTGCGGCACCTAAGCAACGACGAATCCATCCGTCTGCAGTATAAGCTGGGACTGCACTTCCTACAAGTGAAGAAATGGGATAATGTAAGTAATTTGCCAATGACTTAAAGCCCATTCTTAGAATCTTATATTCCAGGCAATCCAATGCTTTCGCCTTGCCATCAAGCACGACTCTCGGTGCATGGTCTACTGGGAATCACTGGGTGATGCCTATGCAGCGCGTGGTTCTTACAACTCGGCCATTCGGGTGTTTCAAAAGATCCTCGAACTGTCCGCGGACAACAGTTATGCCCTTCTTCAGATAGCCTCCATCAAAACGGTGCGGATGAAACCAATAATTATTGTAAATTATATATCTAACCTTAAACTTCCACTTACAGACCATTCGCATGTATACCGAGGCCATTGAGGACTTCGACACGCTTTTGAATATCAATCCTAACTATCTGCCGGGTCTAAGAGGCGCCGCTGAAGCGCATATGGGTATGGCCAACAGTCTAAAAACCCAGAACCTGTACGGTCGGGCCAAGCAGCATTTTCAGTTGGCAGTGGTACATCTTCAAAGGTTGGTCTTTAAGCTCATCCCCACGCAATTCGTAAGAAAACGTATTTTTACAGCGCCTTCATCCTGCCGGAGGCTCAGGGCATGGTCTGGCTGTGGCGTCTCACGGCCAACGTGTTCGTTCAGACTGCCCAATTACCTTTATCCTTGGCCAACTTGGATGTGGCCGGCACTCTGGCCAAGCGTGAGGAATCTATTGCTTATCTCTCGCGGAAAGACCTCCTACTGCTGGCCCAGCGATTCTATTTGTGCGCCTTGAAGTTAAAGCAGAACACCTATTTGTGGTACGAGTTGGCGCTAGCCTGTTACTACAGTGCCATCTTCATTCCCGAGGAGGCCAAGAGCCATTTGGAGACAGCTGAGAAAGTTTGCAAGATGGCCATCAAGGAGCAAGGTAATAGGTGGCAAAATTGGAATCTCCTTGGTGTTATCAACATGCATGCAGAGCACGAAAATATGCCGCAAGCCCAGCACTGTTTCATCCAGGCGGTAGAGCTGGAAAGGAAATGTTACACTGCTTGGACCAATCTAGGGGTGCTGTACGTAAAGTTGGGCGAAGTAAGATTGGCCAACGAGGCTTTTACCAGGGCTCAACAGTCCAGTCCCATATACGCCAATGCTTGGATAGGCCAGGCCATGGTTGCGGAAACAATTGGCGATCGGGAGGAGGCTTTCGACCTGTTCCGGCATTGCCAGCAATTTGAGTACCACCCTGAGGCGGCGCTCGGATTCGCTCACTGGGTTTGCGAGGTTCTCTCGGATCCAGACTCGCAGACCAAGCCGCACATCAAGCACGCCATCGAGCACATGTACGCGGACGTTTACGCACTGGACGCAATCAACTGGTACGTGCAAAACGAGGAGGCGGATGCTAGCATAGCATCACTTACGTTCCAAGGATTTCTGTGCGCCCGCCAAAAGCTGTACGTTCAAGCAATTGAGGCCTTTACCCGTGCCTGCAAACTGTGCGAGCCTGGAGAGGATCGGGATAAGCTGTATACCAATCTGGGTTACCTGTATCTGAAGCTCGAGCAGCCGGATCAGGCAGTGAACGCCCTAAACACAGTGGCCCACGCTACATTCAAGCCGATAATTGGCCTAGCCCAGGCATACTACCGATCCGGCCAACTGCAGGAGTCTTACTCGATCTACAACACAGTGCTCGGCAACGTGGTTGGTCAAGATGATGAAAAGGCAGCCACCATCCTGGTGGCCATGGCCTCGATGATTTACGCATTCCAGGGCGAGGCGGACACCAAGACCCTGCTCTACCAATGGTGGGTAACTTAGTTTGTGTACATTTTTGCTTGTATATTTTATATTTATCGATGTTTTCTTCAGTGTTCTGCTTAAGGGAGTGCCCATCCAGGCGTTGTACTCATCATACGCCCTGGGCATATTACACCGGGACAATGAATTAAGCCAGACGATCATGTCGGAGCTAAGTGCGTACGCTTTCAAGAAAGAGTATTGTGCGGATGTGTCCTATTTGACCGCTCACTACATCTTAATAAATGTAAGGGTGTGGAATGATGGTTCATGTATGATTCTGACCTAAATGATTATTTTAGGAGGGAGCTCGAAAGGCATTGACTTATCTACAGACCCGTGTCCGCATGTTTCCCCATTCTTCGGGTCTCCGCAAGGTATTCCTCAAGTTTCTCCTTGACCATTTCGTCGAGGATCAGTTCTACCAAGTTGCAACCTCAAATGCTGCTCTAATGGCGCTCAAGCTGCGCCACACAAAACTGCAAAATTGGTAAGTTGGACGAAATTCTCTCAAGTACGGATCTCTAATATAGCACATGTCTTATTCTAGCATTACAGCCAGTGAGGAGGCAGAGACTACCATCTATGCCAGCCAGGCTGTTAGTTCAGTGGACAAGACCTGTTCTATAAAGTTGCTGCAGCGCGCCATCCGATTGAATCCAATAGACAAGAAAGCCAGACAACTACTTTCCTCCATTTCTGTCCATTAAATGTAAAAAGTTCTAAAAATAAAATGAGAAGTTTTATTAACAAATTAAATTAAAAAAGTGAAACAAAAAAATTAAAAAACACGAAAAAATCCTTCGAGCCGGATTTGAACCAGCGACCTATGGATTTCTATTGCATGTTGCGCCAACTACAGTCCACCGCTCTACCAACTGAGCTATCGAAGGTGTGAGAGACGAGCCGCGAAAAGCCGTGGAAATCTTACGCTTCAAACCAGATTCCATTGAGCCCGATGGCTTGATATTAAATACCATTCGTTTTACAAAAGTGTACTTGAAACTATCAAGTGTTTATAGTTCCTGTGGATTATTAGTAAATGTATTAGTTTGTTTTATTTCTGTATAGAATAAAATTGTTTCAGCAATAAAAGGCGGCAGTGCTGAATAGCGTCTAATTTTCGCCGTTGAAAAAGTGCAGTGCTGCGAAATTTTGAAAGCCAGTGTGACCAAATTATTCGGCGAGTCGGGGGGTGAAGCCAAGTCGACGGAAAAGAAAAGCCAACAAAAAGAAAAAATGTGTGTGAAATAGTGAAAATCCGAAATAAATAGCAATGCTAGCGATCAAAAGAGACAATGTGCCGATCCATTAGCCAGAGTTTCTGCCCCAAATCGCTGTGAGAGCAGTGGAGCACCCGATGCGTGTGCACCGCCCTGCATACCTGCATATGAAAACCTGCTGCCGCGGCCGTAATTACAGTTAGACACTAAAATAGCTGCACGGTCAGGTTGGGAGTTGTGGTTGATCGGGGAGTAGGGAGAAGGGGGAACCTAAGCGGGGATTTGCCCACGCACGCTCGCCAATTGCAATGGAAAACGAATCCGTCAAATCGGAACACAGTGGACGCTCGAGACGCTCGCGGAATCACAACAACAACGGCGGAGGGGGAGGAAGCGGAGCTGGTGGTGGTGGAGGCAGCGTAAACAACGGCTACCACAGGGAACGTGATCGATCCCGTCACTCGCACCGCAGCACGCACTCGTCCAAGTCCGGGAAGGGATTCCAGCGCGGCGACATGGCGCCGTACCAGACCAGCGTGAACATGACAGGTTAGTGACATAGTTATGACTCTCTAATGCAGTTTTTTATACCAGAAATTACTTTACCAGATGACAACCGCGATGGCCAGGAGGTCATTGAGGTGCAAATTCTGCCGCAGGATGAGAACTGGGGTGAGAACACCACCGCTGTTACCGGCAACACCTCCGAGCAGAGTATATCAATGGAGGACATCAACAATATGTGGCACCGTGAAAACGATAAGGGCTTTGGCTTCGCTTGCCGCCGCTACGTAGAGTCTAGTTTCTACTTTTTGCTCGGTTGCGCCGCCTTCTTCTCACCGGTGGCCATGGTAGTTATGCCTCACGTGGGCTTCTTCCCATCGGCCTTCGATCACTCGGAACTGACGCAAACCGTGCGCACCCAACTGCTAGCCTGCAGCGAGCAATGCAAAGGACAACTAGTGTCTCTAGCAGCCCGCTTGCTCCTACTGGCCATCGGCCTGTGGGCAGTGTTCATGCGACGCACCTCGGCCAGCATGCCGCGGATTTTTCTGTACCGTGCATTAGTGCTCCTGCTGGTCACCATATGCACTTTTGCCTATTGGCTATTCTACATCGTGCAGGTCACGAACGTTGCCAAGATTGTTGTGGAGACTGGTGGCGATCGCGTAGACTACAAATCGCTGGTGGGCTATGCTACAAACTTTGTGGACACGCTGCTCTTCATTCACTATGTTGCCGTGGTATTGCTGGAGCTGCGTCATCAGCAGCCTTCCTACTACGTAAAGATCATCCGCTCCCCGGATGGAGTGTCGCGCTCGTACATGCTAGGACAGCTGAGCATTCAGCGGGCAGCTGTTTGGGTACTGCAGCACTACTACGTGGACTTTCCCATCTTTAACCCGTACCTGGAGCGCATACCTATATCCGTCTCCAAGTCGCAGCGCAACAAGATATCGAACAGCTTTAAATACTACGAAGTTGACGGGGTAAGCAACTCGCAGCAGCAGAGCCAGAGCCGAGCCGTGCTGGCTGCCAACGCTCGTAGACGGGACTCTTCGCACAACGAGCGGTTCTATGAGGAGCACGAGTATGAGAGGCGCGTGAAGAAACGACGCGCTCGTCTCATTACTGCCGCCGAGGAGGCCTTCACTCACATTAAGCGCATCCACAACGAACCAGCTCCGGCATTGCCGCTCGATCCACAGGAGGCTGCATCGGCCGTATTTCCCTCAATGGCCAGGGCCCTGCAGAAGTACTTGAGAGTGACGCGTCAGCAACCACGGCACACATTTGAGAGCATCCTGAAGCACTTGGCCCACTGCCTGAAGCACGATTTGTCTCCGCGTGCCTTCCTAGAACCATATCTAACCGAATCGCCGGTGATGCAGAGCGAAAAGGAGCGCCGCTGGGTGCAGTCATGGTCACTGATCTGTGACGAGATCGTCTCGCGGCCCATTAGCAACGAGTGCACGTTCCAGTTGATCCAGAACGATGTCTCCCTTATGGTCACCGTCCATAAGCTGCCGCACTTCAACCTGGCCGAAGAGGTGGTGGATCCCAAAAGCAACAAGTTTGTGCTCAAGCTGAACTCGGAGACCTCTGTATGACACCACCACCAGCAGAACCAGCACAATGGTCCGCCGATAATAACGCCCACGCACAGCAACCAGACGCAGTCGTCCTACTTGCATGTGTTTGTCTGATGCCCCAGTGTTCTCTTCTTACCACATTTTCAATCCCTACCATTAATCATTCTACCATTAATTTATACTTTTTTGTTTTCAACAGATTTCCAGCCTTATTCGTGATTTATTTTTGATTTTCAAGGTTCTTATAAACGAAAATCAACCACATTTTACAATCAAAATCTATTTTGTAATTCGAAAAGTTGAGAAAACTATAGTTTTATAAATCAAAAACAATTTAATATAAGCTTGAAATCGAAACAAATAAGTGAAAAAATCATAAGAGGCCCCTTTCCGTGTTTCCGCGCGAAACTAAAGATTATCAGTACTTATCAGCTATAAACTTGAACTTATTGCCAGTATATCAATGCTCAAAAGCCCAGTGTATTATCCTAGGCCTCGACTCGAACACATATCACACGACCCTTTGATAAGCAAACATGACTTACAAGTTCCCAAAGTATTAATTATAAGAATGACGATCACACAGATATCAAACTCTTCAATGCAGCTCTTTTATACAAGTTTTTATTTTAGGAAATATATATATTATATATAGGGTAAAGGTTGAGCTTAATCGTTTCGAAAAATTCCAAATTTTACAGCGAATATTCGTTACGCTTAAGCCCTATCCGCGGTGAGAGAAATATATATTCCAGAAGGAATTTTTAGATAGGACTCGGACTTGCGCCAAAAGTGGGGGAGGCGTCTTCCACTTTTGGCGCGACTCGATAGGATTTTACAGACGCACAGCAGCAGATTTTTGAACCCGAAACTAATTCTCGTCTGCCAGAAAACTACAACTCGAATGCAACTGATGACAAATACATACTTTAAGCAAAGACTGCCTGAATAATATGCATTTTATACACCACAGACACGAATTGCCAACAGCCACTAGCAGGTGTAGATGTACTCACCTGTGCATAGCAACCATAGTATATAATAATACATATATATACAGAAGCTCGTGTATTTTTAGAAACAAAATTCTAGAGATAAGGACCTCCGAATTCGTATTCGAACTTATATGATGTACGTTCCAGTGAACAATCCCTACCTATAGCTATTTACAAAACTACTTACTTAGCGAACTTTTGCTTGAGGTTTGAGTTTATTTTCTTTTCTAGCAAAATGCTTTACGTCAAGGCACACAATCTTTTTATACCTAATACAAAATACAATCCTGTAGCAATTACTTGAAGCAATTGGAGAGAACTCATCATATTTATTGTATTAACTTTCAAACTGTAACTGTTGTAATTGTAATTAATGCTTATGCCGTAAATAAATTGAGCCGACTTTTTTAACAGCTTTATACAACGCGTGTTTTCTTTCGTTCTACGATGGCAGTCCGCACGTAATTAATTCATAAACCCGACGTTAATTAAGACAACGCCCGAAGCTGACCTTATCAGCGCTTGATTAGACAGTTCCTGATAGTGATAACCCGGTATCAGCTGATTTGCTATGTATATAAATATATTGCAAACAAGAACAATAAATGAGGATTTGATTTAATCGCTCATCAATCAATACATCAGCCGAGTGGATTTAGATTCATCAATATCGCTGACACTCAAGTTTCCACGATAGCACCTAACAAGCGCAATTAATTCAAGTGTGGTCGGTCTCCCATTTCATAATAAGATAAGGAACCAACCGATTAAGTAACAAAAAAAGCAACTCGACCGATTCTGGGTTGATGCAGATGGTGGCATTCGATTTTATTTACAGCTTGTAAATATTTGTCTATACTGTAGAATATAATATTAACATTTCAAATTAATTGGTCTATAACTAACATTCAACAGCCTGCGCTTGCAGCTGTTGCCTGTTCTTTTTGGCTTATGCGTCAGTGCTGTTAATATAGAACTAATAAATTAAGCCAGATTTAATGCATCGTCAAATTTTGAGACAGCTTCATCACCGCTCCGCACCCAGTCCAAATTACTCCTTCCTACGCTGGAGCCCGTTCTTTGTAGGCTCGTAGAACTCCTCGACACAGCCATCTGTAATTATTTTGAGGGTATTGGTCAGCTTGGTCCAGTTCTTCTCCTCCGGCTTGCCGCACATCTCGGCATAGTACTTCATCTTGGGCTCGGTGCCACTGGTGCGGAGAGTAACCACAGCGCCGTTCTTGAAGGTAAACGTGATCATCTGGGAGCTGGAGCTAGATGGGAGCACGGCCTTTTTGTCGGAGGTGCTGCTGTCGTAGCCCGTGGTCAGATCGCGAACGCTCTCGATCTCGTAGTCGCGATTCATGATGCTGGTCGGATAGGTATCTGCCTTACCCTCGTCCCAAGTTCGCAGACGCTCGAAAATCTTCTCAATCAAAGGAGGGCAACGGCAGATGACATAGGAAGAGATGGTCGTGTGGAACCCGTAGGTCTCGTAAATGTCACGTAGCTTCTCCTGCAAAGTCATACACTGCCTACAGCGCAAATAGCACGCCAATGTGGCAAATTGAGCGGCAGCGGTGATTCCGTCTTTGTCAGGCACGGCTGCGCCGAACATGTAGCCAATAGCCTCCTCGAAGGCAAACAGCACCGTCTTACCAGCCGCCTGCAGCTCAATAGCCTTGTTTCCCATCCATTTGAAGCCCGTTGGCGTTTCGTAGAACTGGAAGCCTTCTCGGTCCGCCATGGCCCTCAGAATCTTTGAGCTAACCGTACTAGATATCATTACGACGTTGCTCATGTCAGCGCCAGGGTTTTGTATCTTGTAGAGCTCCAATGCCCACCATCCGAGCAGGGCGCCCACTTCGTTGCCAGTGAAGGCCTTGTAGTTGCCATCATCGCCCTTTTCGGCCACTGCCAGACGATCAGCGTCCGGATCGTTGGCAAGAATAATTTCGCTGCCGTTTGATTTGGCCGTCTTCATGGCCAATTCCAAAGTCTTGGGCTCCTCTGGATTAGGGTTAGGCACGGTGGAAAACTCCGGGTCGGGATCCTCTTGCTCGGTCACCGAATGAAACGGCTTGAGATTGACCCTTGCGAAGGCTGCCTTCGCAAATTCATGGCCCACGCCGTGCATGGCTGTGTATGTGAAGTTAAGCGTACACTTGTCGTTGCATTCAAATAGGGTGCAGTTCATGCCCTTCTTCAATGTGTCGAAGTAAGGCTGCACGACAATGTCGTACGGATCGTCCAACATACTGTTCGAACACATTGCAGAGTCGTCCGTAGAAGCGCCCCTTGGATCCAGATTGTTCAGGATCGACTCCTCGATACCCTCGTCGTGAGGCGGTATGATTTGGGCTCCGTTGCTCCAAAATATTTTGTAGCCATTGTCCTCTTTGGGGTTATGGGACGCGGTCACCATGACGCCGGCCAAGCATTGCAGCCGTATAATGGCGTAAGGGACCAAGGGCGTATGTACATATCGTCTGTATTGCCACACCTTGAAGTCATTGTTCAAAAACACAATGGCCGACAACTCGGCGAAGCGGTGACTGTTGTACCGCCCGTCGTACCCGAATACAACGCCCCGCTCAGACCAGTCCTCGCGGTTCGGATACTGCGTCTTTATGTACTCGCACAGTCCTTGAGCCGTCCTGGAAAGAGGTTTGGTTAAGAGCCATGCTACAAAAGCATGCTCACTTAAGATACACTTACTGAATGACTACTAGTTCGTTCATCGAATCGAAGCCCGCCCGCATCGTGGCTCGCAAGCCCGCCGTTCCAAACTTGATCCGGTTGCACAATCTCTTGCGCAGGCTGTTCACGGAATATATTTAGCAAGCTGTAGGCGGATTCTTTAAGATTAGTTAGCTTACGTGTCCCAGTCCTTAACTCGGACGGCGTCCATTATCTGGCAAACGGTGCTGGGGCACTTGTCCCACCGGACCCATTTGCGGATCTGGTCATCCAACTCCCTATCGCCGGAGAGTGGCATGTTCCTGATCTCACACAACAGCTGGCCCATTGGTTGACACATATTGGCTAAGTGTTATTGACCGAAAGATCGCGAACTGCAGAAAATGATTTCTTTTTTCGAATTTAGAGTATATACGAAAGCCGAACAGAAACAAGTAAAAACCGAATGGCAGGCAGCAGCTGCTGATTCTTGACACTGATGTCAGAGTCGGGCGGCAAACGAGAAAAAACTGAACTCGAAACCGAGCTGCTGTTAGAGCAATTGTCAATCGACTGCTGGGGGGGTAATTTACAAATTGATAACGTTCTGTGGTAGCCACATATACACAAGCTAAAGCTACCACGCCCCCTTTTCTCGCTCGAAAAAAATTTAACAAGAACGTCCGGAAGCGGCGTGTTAGAGATGACAAATATTATGGCGGACCGTTGCGATAGTCACTCTCAAGTAAAATAATATAGAGATGGAAGACATCAAAATGATTAATAAGGTGAAAAATTTACAAAAATTATTAAATTAAAATTAGATTAATGATGTTTTATGTTATGTTTTGCTTGTTTTCTATTCCAAATTATTAAATTCACGAAAGTTTATATAATTTTTAATTTTAAATTCAGTGTCCATATTTATGAACCTAATAACATTTAACATAAAAAACCTTTCTGAATTGAATTTAAACGTTTTTTTTTTTAATTTGATTTGCCAACAAATTATCATATATACACATATATCGGTTTAAAATGCGGATGTTTTAGGGCATCTTGAGGCTAATATGCCCAAAAAGATATATAATAGGCCTTGTGAGTGCCCAAAGTGATATATATATTCAGATTAGGTGATTATTAACTAATAATACAATTCGAAACAAACGTTTTTTAAAACAGTCCCAATTTTTTAAGCAGGCTGCATAACAAAAATAGTACAAAGTTTTAAATTCAAATGGAGATTTTAAAGGTTTTAACACAAAATTAAAATATGTATTGTATAAATAAACTATAAAACCCTTATATTTATGTAAATTTATATACTTTCTTACAAAAACTTGCTTATGATTTCTTGTCTTATCAATGTATTTTTTAACATCCAACATGTTCCAGAACAATATAGATATATAAACATTTCTGAAATTACCTCAATATTTTTATATTTATTTAATTTGCACTTTACAAATCTTAAAAACAACTTTAAACTCTTTTATTTATTCAAGATTTCATTCGAGATTTTGTATATTTCCATTGGTATTACCCAACACTGAATTTATCTCATCCCTGGAAGAGTTTTTTCGACGCGGAACTAAAAGAAAAAAACATTCTATTCCGCTGCATATTTTGTGTTAATAAACCAAAAAATGGCCGACGTATTGGACATAGATAATGCCGAGGAGTTCGAGGTCGACGAGGATGGCGACCGTAAGTGAACGTCACCGTAACTTTTGTCTTTCAACCGGTCTCATGCTTTCTTTTCTCTCCCACGCCGAAACCCTGCTATGTGCACCCTACACTCCACACAGAGGGCATAGTACGCCTGAAGGAGAAGGCGAAACATCGCAAGGGACGCGGTTTTGGCAGCGACAGCAACACCCGTGAAGCTATCCACAGCTACGAGCGAGTGCGGAACGAGGACGATGATGAGCTGGAGCCAGGACCACAGCGCTCCGTGGAGGGCTGGATTCTGTTCGTGACCTCCATACACGAGGAGGCGCAGGAGGATGAGATCCAGGAGAAGTTCTGCGACTACGGCGAGATCAAGAATATCCACCTCAACCTGGATCGCCGAACCGGCTTTTCCAAGGGCTATGCCCTCGTAGAGTACGAGACCCACAAACAGGCGCTCGCCGCCAAGGAGGCGTTGCACGGGGCAGAAATAATGGGACAGACCATCCAGGTGGACTGGTGCTTTGTGAAGGGACCCAAGCGGGTGAAGAAATCCGAAAAGCGCCGCCGATAGACGACTCCCAGCCAAACGAATACATTTTTAATTAGTTTAATGCATAGGCAACCGTACAAAGTCTATATGAATTGAAATAAAGGATACTAAGGACTTAAAAATTATCTTTTTTTACAATCAATTTGTTTTAAATTGTATAAAATAATTCTTAGATTAGTTTTTATTTAAACCACATTTACATATTCGCATGTAATGGACATATGCGGCTGCTACTTCATCTTTTTCTGATGCAGGAGATGCTTCCTAAGAGCCTGCTGCTTGTCCTTGAAGCTCTTCTTAACCTTTGAGCGTGCCTTGTGTCGCAGCATGCCAAAGTTCTTGGTTTTGCGCTTTTCGCGATTCGTCTTGGAGCAGTGCTCGTTTACACGCCCGTCTTTCCAGCCGAAGCGTTCGCGGTCCTGCCGACCCGCCTGCACAGTTTCCAGGCGCGACTCCTTGTCGTGCTTACGCTTTTTGTAGATCATCTCGATGCTGTTCAGTTTGACGAATTCGGCACGATCCTGCTCCAGCGGTCGCTTGCGGGCACTGGTCACTGTTTTCTTTAGATTGGCCGCATTAATGCGTTTGAAATCCTCGTCAGTGAAGATCCGGGTAAGGGCCAGCTCTTGGGCAGCCTCCTTTTGGTTGAGGATCTTTACATCCTTCTTCTCCTTCTTTGCTTTAACAGACTCCTCTCCGCTCTCCACGCCCTCGTCTGAGTTTTCTCCATCCTCCTCTTCCTCGTCACTGTTATCCTCGTCCTCGTCTTCATCGTCGTCATCTTCATCGACTTCCTCTTCGTCATCCTCATCTGCACCTCCTCCTTCGCCATCACTGTGCGTGACATTGACCCACTCCCCGTCGTTAGAGTCGGTGTCTTCGTCGCTGTCAATGTCAATGGTCTTGGAATCCTTGAGCAGCGCCTCGGCACCGAGCACTGTGTCATGAACTTCACGATCTCCGTAGGCACGAACTTTACGTTCGGCCTGGGCCTCTGTCTGCCTGCCGCGGTCCTTCTTGTGCAGCAACTTCGGCAGCTGTTCCCGGTAGAGTGTGATCAGCGAACGGGCGGCCATCATTACGGACTTTTCCTTGTACGTTTTGTACATGGCCAGGTCCTGAAGCAGATCCTCGCCCATGGCCAGCGGACAACGCATGCAGATCTCACGGGTGGCATTCAAGCCTATGGCCATCACATCGCTGGAGTTGCGCTCCGTGATAAAGTTATTGGCAATTGTCTTCAGAATCGGCTCAATGATGTCACCGGGCACCAGTTCGTGGGACGCCTGAGCGGCGAACTGCAGCACTCGGGTCACCTGTCTCTGATGGGGCTGCAAAAAGCGAGTAATGTACGGGTAGAAACCAAATAGAAACAGATCGTGGATGCCAATCAGGCGTGAAATAACGTCCAGGTGCATTAACTTGACCTCAAACCGCTCGTTGCTGGCCTGCAGCTGCTTGAATAGACCTTCGGCCATGCCCTGCGGATTGTGGACTAGGTGAATGCCCGAGAAATTAAATGCCGGTGCATTCTTTTTCTTCTTTTGTGCCTTCACAGCCTGTTTTTTGATTTGCGCAAGCTGTTTCTGACGTTTCTTGGTTTTCTTGTTGACCCGATTTGCCATTAGAGCTCCCTTCAGATCAATCTCATTCTCGCTCTCCGAATCAGAGCCCTCATCTTCTTCGTCGTGACCAAGGAAGAACTTCAGGGAGGTGACCAGAACCTTGGTCACCTTGGAGAAGCAGCCAACGGTGGCAATGACGTTCACAGTCTTAGTATCATTCCAGATGTTCTTTTTGTACAGCTCAATCATGATATCTGCTGACATCTTAGCGGCCTTGGGATTGGCGTCCTTGAGCATGGAGTACATAAAGGCTTGAAGACTCTGGAAGGCAATAATAGTATAGTTAATTAATCTTAGTAACAAATCTTGCATTAAGTGTTACCGAATTAAGCTTCATATCCTTGTGCTTGGCGTTCATGTTCTTAATGTCTGTCACGATGTGCGTCTGCAGAAAGGTTCGCAGATTTTGTCTGGACACCGCAGCAGCTGAAAGAAGAGCTCTAGGATGTCCAGTGCCGGAACTAAGTTCTTATTCCTCAACAGGATCAAAGCCTTGACGAAGCAATTCCTCATGGCCGGATCCAGCACCGTGGCGTAGTTCTTCAGCAGATCGGACAGGCGCTTTGGGAATTGCTCACACACAACCGGATAGCACTGGGCCACCTGGGCAATGAACATGACGATGTCGTCCAGGGATTTGTTTTCCTCGCTGGGATTGAGGGCGAAAACCTCCAGCAGACTGAGGAAGTGCTGGTACTGAATGTGGAACTCATCGCTGTACGACTCCGGATCCCGCTTGATCAGGTTCTGCAGCTGCGGCAGGTTCTCCGGCAGCTGGTTGTTGTTGGGCCGCACCATGGTGAGCCGTGATATCCAAATAAAATATAAAATCTAATACGATTCCAACCACGTTCGAGGGAAATAAAGTGCACGTGTGGTGTGTGACCAATAGTGGATGTAGTGGAAATACCCCATTAGACTCAGATTAAAATATGAACACAGGACGTAAATTATTTAAAGCGGTACGGTTTTCACTTCAGTTAAATGAATTATAAGAATTAAAGAAATAAAAACAATTTTTTAATATACAGCAATTTTCGATTTAACAAATCCAGGAGTTTTCAGGAAAGGTAACATTAACCGCGCAGTGTTGCACAAACAGCTGTTGGCGCTGCGCTTTGGGCGTTTTCCAGCACCTACAGCAACTATCAACGAAGAGTTAATTTTTTCTGGCCTGGCGATAAAATGATGGAACTGCACTCTAATGACGTTGATCTGGAGGATGGAGAGGTAACAAATCGGCACCTATTGAACTAATGGTAATCCCCCTTCGATGCCAATTTCAGCTGTCAAATAGCGACGATGATGGCGTTTATACGCCGTTGCAGCGTCCCGCAGGTGCCGAAAAAGTTACCAGCCCCCTCACCACCTGCCACCAGATTCAGACTGCGCTAGAGGATGAATCCCAGACCAATAGTGACTCCTCCTCCGCAGAGTCCTCTGAGGATGGATGTATCAAGAAGATACGCACGGACTCCACCGGAGGCGGCAGTCACAAAAAGCGGAAAAAGCGGATCCAGCGGACGGTAATGCGGCGAGTGCCGCCCACGGACGCAGAGATGCAGCCCAATCGTGCTCGCTTTAAAAAGTACAATGTTTGGACGGCAGCGTTGCAGGAAGATGCTCTTAGCGAGAATATGCGTGGGTGCGACGTCACAAGGAGCGGCCGGGATCGGAATGTGGAGAACTACGACTTCTCCCTGCGGTTTCGGCTCAACGGGGAGAACACTCTGAAGCGCCGGCTTTCTAACTCATCGGACGACGGTGGGGAATCATCGCATCCGGCTCACAAGCGGGGACGACGCTCTAGTCGCCCCACGCAGGAGTATCCACAACGCGGGGCGGTAAAAAGCCGCCTAGGCCACAGATCACGGCGCGGCACATCTTCTGCCAGCGGATCTTCGGACTCTTGCGAGCCGAGGCACATCCTAGATCTAAAAGATGTGGCCGGACGTGATCCCTCGGATGTGGCCACTGAGATGGCTAGCAAACTGTACGAGGAAAAAGATGAATTGCTGGGTGAGAAGAATTTGAGTTAAATTTGCTTCAAATATAATGTAATCTTATTCATTTTGTACCCAGTTCGGGTGGTGGAAGTACTGGGCATGGATTTGCCTTTGGAACTATATAAAGAGACTCAACGCATCGAAGCCGATGGCGGCATGATGATCAAAGTGAGTAGCACGGCAGATGGGAAACTCCTTTTTTGTAATTCGATACTCTCTCATTCGCAGAATGGCAACCGGAGACGTACACCAGGCGGTGTATTTCTTTTTCTGCTAAAACACCACAACAGCATCTCACAGGAGCAGCAAAAGTCAATTTTCAACGAAGACCGTCAAAGCCTGAACAAGTCGCGAAAGCAGATTGAAACCCTATTGCGAGACCGGAAAGTGGAGGAGCTGAAGAAGTGCCTGAGCAAACAGAGCACCGAGCTGCCTACGTTAAGCCAACGGAAGGAACACTATATGCAGGGCGACGAGCTGAGCCCCGAGAGCCAGCCCGGCAATTGTAAGATAATGATATTTGAAAATTCTTCTGTAAATTATTGCTCACCTGTTTTAACAGTGTCGAATCCACCGCCTTCGCCTGTCGGAGCTGGACAAGAGCAGGACAGCCCCGAGTATAAGACCCACGAGATTAATATTAACCTCGTGGACAACTCAGATTTACCCTCCACATCGAAGGCTGCGGCAGCGGTTCACGGAGCCGTGGAACAAAAGGAGCTAATAAGCTACGACGATGACTTTCTGGATGTAAATTGCGGGGAGATGGACTTCTTCTAGGCCAACGCCAAGCGCTGGGCCCCCTTTTATACCACAAACACACACATAGTTAGACCCATATTTGTACAATTAAATAAATACCTAGCGAATTAGGATTCTGATAATGTAACGGATGAACTATAAACAAAATCAGGCGTTAGGGTGTCGTGCTGTTAAACGCTTGGCAGCTCTGGCCATCGATTGTTTGTCAACGAAATCGTTTTCCAGCACTACCTTGAGTACACTGTCAGTGCTTGCGGAGACGCCGCGTTAAATTTTTTTTGTTGTGCTCGCGAACGGTTCAAAAAAGCAAAAGTTTATTGTTTTTGAGTGCTCTCGAGTCCGCAAATGCTTTGCTGACTGCGCAACGCCGTGAGGATAGAAAATAACAGTAATGCGAAAGACCCGCTCGCAGACGGCTCGCACGCAGGCGGAAAATGCCGCTACTTCTACGGGGCCCGGACAGCAATCAGCAGCATTGGTGCCGACGGCAGTGAACACCTTTGATGCGGGCAAATACAAGGTGCGCTTTCCCCTCTCCCTTTAATTCAGCAGCATAGCATATAAAACAATTTTCCTGAAATATTGGTTGATTGATAAGCAGAGTGACCGCAGAAATTCAGTGTGACCTGGCGGAAGTGGGGCGAGGGCAGCCCGTGAGAAAAATAAAAGCCCGTGATCGCTTTGCAACACTGCCATCCGCCATATTTCTTCAGACCGTGCGGACAAAACAAAATTTGTGGGACAAAAAAAAGGCATTTGTGCGTTCGTTTGTTCTACGGGTCTGTCGAAAAAAAACTGCCTTTTCGCGCAAACTTGTCGTCCTAAATCACGTTTCCTTGTTGGCCGTTGTAATTCGCCTAAAGAGCGGATCGGTAACCCGAAATGAGGCACTTTCCTTAAACGCCATGTTTGCCCAGCCAGGTAATGATTTGGTGGCATGCGACAGATTCGAACTCGTCCCGGTGGTGCCTGACAGAAGCGTGATTTGCGAAAAGGAAAGTTTTCGCAGGCTGTCTAAGGTCACAGCGATTGTTAAGTGGAAGTTCGTTCCTGCAGGATGGGCATTTAGAACGCCGGACGCCCTTTCGACGAGTGTACAATGTACATACATACACACGGGTCCCGTACATATGTGCGAAAACGCGTACTTGCACGGTGTTTTCGCACACATTTGAGTGAGCGCGCTCGTGCGTCTGTATGAGTGGGCGCTTGGTGTGAAGTCCCGCTATTCTGGCTCTGACAACTAACTTATTTTCGTATGTTTTCTCCGCCATTTTTTGCAGGAATGTGAGCAAATGGTGCAGATGCTACGTGTGGTAGAGCTGCAAAAAATCTTGTCGTTTCTGAACATCTCCTTCGCTGGACGAAAAACCGATCTGCAGAGCCGAATTCTGGCCTTTCTGCGCACCAACTTGGAACTGCTCGCCCCGAAGGTTCAGGAAGTCTACGCCCAGTCCGTGCAAGAGCAATCCGCCACACTGCAGTACATAGATCCAACCAGGATGTACTCACACATCCAGCTGCCGCCCGCCGTGCAGCAGAATCAGATGGGACTGGTAGGAGGGGGCCCGGCGGCCAGGTGCCGGGCGGCCAGATACCCGTGGTCGGCGGCGCGCCTTTCTTACCCACGCACAGCATTAACAACACGCTGCCCATCCATCCCGACGTGCGCCTGAAAAAGCTCGCCTTCTACGATGTTCTCGGCACACTCATTAAGCCATCCACACTGGTACCTCGCAACACGCAACGTGTCCAAGAGGTGCCATTTTATTTCACTCTTACACCACAGCAGGCGACAGAAATAGCCTCAAATCGGGATATTCGCAACAGCTCAAAAGTTGAGCATGCCATCCAAGTGCAACTACGCTTCTGCTTGGTTGAGACCTCGTGCGATCAGGAAGACTGCTTTCCGCCGAATGTAAATGTGAAGGTCAACAATAAGCTGTGCCAGCTGCCTGTGAGTATTCATCTCCACATACACGTACCCAGAGAGTAACATCTATCTCCTGTGTCCCTCAGAATGTCATTCCTACAAACCGACCAAATGTGGAGCCGAAGCGTCCGCCTCGTCCCGTCAATGTCACCTCCAATGTTAAGCTGTCGCCAACCGTCACGAACACCATCATGGTGCAGTGGTGTCCAGACTACACGCGCAGCTACTGCCTAGCGGTCTATCTGGTGAAGAAGCTCACCTCAGCACAGCTCCTTCAGCGCATGAAAACAAAGGGTGTCAAACCGGTAGACTACACGCGGGCCTTAAGTAAGTTTCTTTGTGGTTTTTTCAATGGAATAATTATTAACAATCCTACTGCAACACCTACAGTCAAGGAGAAGCTGACAGAGGATGCAGACTGCGAGATAGCCACAACCATGCTTAAGGTGTCTCTCAATTGCCCATTGGGTAAGATGAAGATGCTACTGCCTTGCCGGGCCTCCACCTGCTCGCATCTGCAGTGCTTCGACGCAAGTTTATACCTGCAAATGAATGAGCGTAAGCCCACCTGGAATTGTCCCGTCTGCGATAAGCCGGCCATTTACGACAACTTGGTCATAGACGGGTAAGAAAGAGGACATAGCTCACGTAGCATCTAAGCAATGCTAATACAATTTCCCTCCTTTGCAGGTATTTTCAGGAGGTGCTGAACTCAACATTGCTCAAGAGCGATGACACAGAGATCCAGCTGCATCAGGATGGATCCTGGAGCACACCAGGGTTGCGTAGCGAGGCGCAGATCCTTGATACTCCATCAAAGCCTGTACAGAAAGTTGAGGTCATATCAGACGATATAGGTGAGAGCATTCAAGTCGCTCATTTATGTATTTAATTATTAATTATATTGCGCTTTCGTTTCAGAACTCATAACGGACGATGCCAAGCCAGTGAAGAGCGACTTGTCCCCAGCACCGGACGAACAGCCAACGTCCACGTCGAACAGTGAAACTGTGAGTTCTTTGCCCACGAGTGCGATTACCTAAATTTACTTATTAAACTTGATTATCAATGCAACAGGTTGATTTGACTTTGAGCGATTCCGACGACGACATGCCGCTGGCCAAGCGTCGTCCACCTGCAAAGCAAGCCGTTGCCAGTTCCACGTCGAACGGCAGCGGAAGCGGCCAACGTGCTTATACGCCGGGACAGCAGCCCCAGCAATCTGGTACGTTGGACCCATTTTTGCAATAAGCTATAAGTAAACAAATCATAAAAATGTATAGCCAAGAATCCTTTATATGTATATATATAAATTTATATATATACATATATATATTTATTACAAAGTGCTGATTGTAGACCTTAGGTTAACGTAGATTAAGAAACCATACACACATCCCACGCACTCTCACAGACTTACACGCGCACACTTCCCATTTTAAGCATAGAGAATTCATCCTTCCAAGGTACGGTTGCAAGGGTTCGATGCTGCTAAACATTTTTATTGCAATTCAAAATGGCTCTATTTTAAAATAATTTTATATTTGAGTGATTCAAACATTTTAAACAAGGTTCTACAAGATAAGATACTCTTGACACGGATAGAGCGTAAGGTAAAGGGACTTGCTACAAATTTGTTTTGATTACCATTTCCTGATCATACATTCGGGGTTGTCGAATATTGACAGCTGCAGATCCCCATTCGGTGTTTTGTGCGATTACTCAGTACAAAAAAGTCTTCTTTTAAGATTATTAGCTCCATTATCGAGTAAGATGTACAAGGTGTAAAGGCTTTTCGTAAGTTTTATTCATCTATTTTTATCCAGCCAAGACTTTTCTAGACTAAGTAGACACAGAGTTTGCTTCCAGGGCCTTGATTTTATTATTGTCTCCGCTTTCTTTGCTTGCATTGTAGATATGAATGTTTTTAAGGCACCAACAAAACAGCAATCTATTTACAAACCTGTTGATAGGCATTATTTGGACAAATGGCTTCGACCACGGTAGGTTTTTGGCATTAAAGGATCAGGAAAGGGCCGGTGCCCGCAGCTCATACTTTAATCCCCGTACATTCTTGCAGAAAACCCAAGGCAGACAGCTGCAGACGCCCTAAAGTGGGATGAGCAGCAGCAGCTGACTCTTTTTGGTTGATTCCAACAATCCCGAATTTTTCTCTATGTTGTGTTCCTCTGATGTTTTTTTTTTTATGATTGTCAACGATTATTTAAAACTGTGCCAAGCCATGTACCCGTATTTATGTGAAAATGTTAATAAATCAACGTAGCTCATTAGTGGAGGCATATTTTTTTCCTTTTGGATTCCTGTTGATGTGTTAATGATCATTATTATTGAACTAACTGAAGTAACTTGTGCATTTCTTTGTCTTTTCTCTTTCTCCCTTCTTCTCTTCTTCCCCTGATCTTTTTGTGTGTCCTGTTTAACTCAATGCTGCCCTGCCGCGGATGAAACTCCTGCTAGAGTCCCCAGACCTGCAGCAGGCCCGACACCAATCGCCGTCAGAGATGCAGCAAGTCTTAGATCAGCAACTGCAACTGCAGCAGCTGCAGCAGCAACAGCTCGAACAGCCGGGAACGGCAGCAGCCGTTCATGCCTCCCTCCTGGAATCCTTGGCTGCTGCGGTGGCGGATCAAAAGCATTTCCAACTGTTGGATCTAGCTGCCGTTGCGGCTGCTGCAGCTGCCACAGCCTCCGCATCCTCCTCCGGCCAGAGTCAGAATGCCGGTCCCTAGGCAGCACCACCACCCACATCCTACTACGCATGTATCGCACATCTCACAGCCCGCACTTCATTCTTATTGTCATCCAGTCTTTGATTTGGTTTATCCTGCTTCTGTTTTCGTTCGCTCCTCTTCTCGCGCGGCGACCCCTGACCAGATCTTACCTCAGAGGCTATTGCTATTCGTTGCCGTTTCCATCCTTCCATCACTTTCACACGCTTTCAATCGTGATTAATCGCAAACAACCAACTGATGCTACATAACTCTTGTATGTTGTTGCAGGACGCAGGCAGAACAGACAGGCTTTATAGGAGTGGGTCCAGGTCCCTCCCAGTGACAACTGTCGTGTCCAGTTTACCCGCGGCAGGTACAGATCGGCCAGATCATTGCTACTGCCGCCCCCTCTCAGTTGCCTTGCCCACTACTATTTTGTTTATGTCTTCTGTTTGTCACTTTTGTGTCGTCTCGAGTATTTATTTTACGATTTCCCCAGGGGTTTCTCCACAAACCACAAGCCACACACACGCAACACAACAAACCCACAAAGAAACAAAATAACTGAAGTAATTTTAGGAATTGTACCAATTAGCAGCAGCATTCATTAGCAATTAACAATAGGAAATGCAATTAATTTATTTCTCTTTCGCAATCGCAGCGGGCAGTTCAAAAAGCTAATCTAGCCGCAAGAATTTTCTCGCTATATTTACTAACATTATTATTAAGCGTACATACCGAAATCGGATGTTAGCCTTAAGTCCTGCCAATGCAAGCTGGGTGTGATTCGTATTCCTAAACACGAAGCGAAGCGAGAGAGGAGTTCACCACACATCGACATTTAATTTAGTTAAGTTATTATAATTCCTATTTTTCACCTACGGACACGAAATACGGAGCTCAGAATGGAGTAGTTTGATGTTAAAATATTCCATTAAAAATTCGTATGTATTGGCAGCAAAAACACGAGTTTCTATTGAATAAAAAATTAAATAGATATCAAACAAGGGAAGCTCTTTTTTTTTAAAGCTCAAACCGTACCACGGATTTAAAATTATATTGTAAGACCGCGTTGAAATAGTGAACTTGATGATTTTCCTGATTTTAATTAATGTCAAAACCAATTCCCCTCGATCGGACGAACAAAAATGAAATCAATGTACAAGGAGGAACGAGATGTGTGTACTCTAACTATATTAATATAATTATTATTATTATTAAACAATTTTCAACCAAGGGTTTGCTGTGTTGTTTTCATTGGGGGTTATTTTCTTCAGTTGTTAAGTTTATTAAATTGTTTTGATTTTTGGCATCTTGTTTTTAATTGAGCCCACCCGAACCCTTTTCTTTACTTGCAGACGAAAAGGACGGTAATGTTGCGGCTAAGAGCAAAGAGGATTCCGTAATTGATCTTCTTGATTCGCCCTAGCCGGCCTCCGCCGACGCCCACGTCGCAGCTGCTCTCCTTAGAGTCTCCTCCACTGTCTATCGCTGTGGGCGATCCCAAAGAATTAGACTTGTAATTTAGTTTGCAACACAATTCGTTGAGTATCTTGTAGCAACCTAAGTCTGTTACATGTTCAAGTAGTATTCGTTAAGCCCTTAACCTAGAAAGAAAACTGATTAAGCACAGCCCTAGACGTAAGCACCTGCACCGAATAAAGTTGCAAAGCTGAATCCGTCACAGCCTTTTTAAAATTTCCCGCCCATCAGCAACTGTCAGTTGGTGCAGACATTGCCCCAAGTTGGCAGCCCCACGCTCTCGTACTTTTACTTGTCGGCCATGGGTGCCTATAAAAAATATTTCTGTGGGTACCTTTCGCAATGGAAAAGTAACGATTTTTGAACTTTAGCTATATTACCTTCGAATTTTTCTATTACTTTGTAACCATTTCATTATGTCCCAATTAGGGGGTATGCATTTTTGATATAGAAGACACATTTATCCAATCTCCCTTTGCTGCGCCCATGCCATTGGCTACTGGTTGACCTTGATCGCCATTCGTTTCTTGAATCTTTCGGAGAATGTCGTCGTCTAAACCAACGTTGTACTACGCCCTTTTCAGCCCTCCGGCCAGAGCCTGTATCCTTATCGCCAAGCTTATTGGCCTGGATCTGGACCTCAAGTAAGTGTGACCAATGAGATGCGCTGGTCCAAAGTGGTGGCCACTTTATCATTATTGATGTTTTTATCGCCAGACCCGTTGACTTTGCCAAGAAGGAGCACTTGAGTGAGGAGTTCATCAAGGTTTGTGGCAAGAACGTTCTTTCACACATGTCGATCTGTATTCTAATCTTGTTAAATTCACAGCTCAATCCCCAGCACCAGATTCCTGTGTTTGTAGACACTGATGGCGAGGTTTATGTGGACAGTCATGCCATTGTGTGCTTCATAGTGGCCAAGTACGCCCAGAACGACAATCTGTATCCGAAGGATCTGAAGAGGAGAGCCCATATCGACCATCGTATGCATTACGAGACCGGCGTGCTCTTCCAGGTGATCAAAGACATCGTAGCCCGAAATATCTACGGCGGCGAGGGTGAGTTTAATCAGCGATCGCTGACCCTCTGCCACAATGCCTACGCTGACCTGGAGCACTTCCTGGAGAACGGTGTCTTTGTGGTGGGCAACGAACTGAGTGTAGCTGATGTCTCCATTCACACGTCGCTCGTTACCTTGGACTTGCTCATACCGGTGGAGCGGGAGAAGTACCCGCAGATCAGGGCCTGGCTGGAGCGGATGGAGAAACTGTTGCCGGAGAACGAGGAGATCAACTTGCAGGGTGCCAGGGCCCTCCAGACCCGCATCCAGAACTGCATGGCCGAGAACAGGAAGTAAGGGAAAATCTAGATGGATTAAGCCTCCTACTAGCTTTTTTCACAGTTTTTGCTTTTGAATCTCCGATAAAGGCATTACAGTTAAATTTAAATAAATGTCATATCAATTCTGTGAGGTTTGAAACTCGAATTTGTTTTCTGCACTTTTTATTTGTAATTTGTTAGGCTAATTGGCTTAAATTCTTGCTACTTTTTAATATATATATTTATGTATTCTCGAGTGTCTTTTTGATTTGGAAGTCCAGTGTACAATATATGTAGTAGGTTAGTGAGAGTTCCGGATTCGAGCAAATTCGTACAACTTGCCCCTAAACTGTTATATACACAAACAAGCGCTTTAATTTAATCCTTTCTTGAACAGGCCACTGAATAAAACTAACTGACTAAAAGGTAGACATATGTATAGTGTTTCGAAGTAATAGAGGCTATATGTTATTTTACTGTCAACGCTCTCTCGTACGTTCTACCTGCATCTGCTGCTTCCTATCTCATAGCTATTTACAACACAATTTCTCAATCACACTTATTTTGGTATCATATTTCCAGCTGGTTGTGTCTTTTCCTCCTGCTGCGCTCTAATCGAATGTTGTCCAGTTGTTCATGCCCTTGCCAGTGGTTAGCTGCTGCTGCGGCTGCTGCTGCGGCTGCTGCTGCTTCTCCGCCGCGGTGCCATTGAGGCTGAACTGGTCCAATCCGTACTTTCGCAGCAGCTCAAAGTCGTCGTCTGGCTTGGCCGCAATGGTATTGCGTTGGATCTGTGGCGGATGCATTACTGGTGGAGATCTGCCTGTCACTGCAGCCACGGTGGCCATGTGCTTGGGTGCAAAGTACGGGTACAATGGATTGTTAATGTTTCCGGCAACCACCGAGCTGTTGACGCCCGCTGGCAATGTGCTGGACTTCTTGCTAAACGTCTTGCTTAGCGGTGGCAGCGGGCGGGCATTCTGGTTCAACGGATCAAAATCCTCCAGGTCGAAGCTGGTGTTATTGCTATCGTCCAGCGATATCAGATCGTTCATGCTGTCTTCCAGTTTGGATTGCTGCTCCAGGTGCTGCTGCTGCTGAGGGTGGGGGAGGCACAGAGGTTTTTGGGTGGTTAGAAAGCATTGGGCGTGATGTTGGATTCTATGGTGGCGCTTAAAGCAACTTCTGTGAAATGTTTATGAACTACGTGTACTGCAACTTATACTAACTTTAAAGCTTTTATAACAAGCATATAAATACGGGTGCGAGCTACTGGTAATGGGTGCAATTTGATCAAGTGATAGTGAGTGAAATGAAATGAAGACAAATGAGTATTTTGTAAGTCTCTGAACTAATAGGTTAGCGGACTTTCCCTGTTAAATATTGTTTAATAGATGTTAGTGGCTAAAACATATACTTCGATAAACCCTTAAAACCCCAAAATGTTTATACTTAGATATTATCCCATCCAGGCTATAAACAACAAAGATTATCTATCTACATATAAAACATGGAAGAAATGTAGCCCTTCTTTGGATAAGTAATACTCATAACAAAAGCTTACTCAAATTTGTCTACTTAAATCAAGGAATCAAGGAATCGGAAAATGTACATGGAATTTTAAGGGGGAGACTACATGAGGACCTTTAATGTGTTAGTTAGTGTACGCGTTCGAGTGAGGGACCACAACCGGGATGGATTTAGTTAAATTACGTCGCTGCTGGTGTACCTCTCTCTTGGCCCGGGGCGTCGGAACGGGCGGATCGGAGATGTTCAAGTGCGAGAATGTCGAGGCAGCCGTCACAAAAGATGCGCCCGATGAGCTGGAGGACGATGTCACTGACGACGAGGATGCGTTGGAGTTGCGTATTGATCCGTTGTTTCCGTTGGCGAGCTCATCTTGCCAGCAGTTGCGCTCCAGCTTGCTAATCTCCGCACAGACGGCAGCTGCCGTGGCGGCCACAAGGGTATTCGAGCTGCCTTGCCTCCGAGGCGGAATCGGTGGTGATTGCACGTCCGGCGGACTGTCAAAGCTGCTGGAGTCGGCGTTGGGCAGTGGCTGTCGCGGCCTGGTCGGTGTGGAGGTGTGTCGCGGCGGCTTGGTCTCGACATGTGGATGCGCCGCATATGGATGGTTGTAGTAGGAGGGGGGCTGCGTGGTCTGCGGAGGCGGCGGCCGAGCCGGCGGTGCTCCTCCTCGCTTGTGCTCTGCATTTGGCTTAAGCTGCTCGGGCCGATGGTAGTGGTTGTGGATGTCGGGAATGAAGGTGGATCGGCGGATGGTAGGTGCAAATGTAATTCGTTTCATTTGGTGTGTATGTGTGTGTGAAGTGGTATGGCGTGAATTGGTGTGTTCGTGGGCATGACATGAGGCAGACGTTCGATCGATGGCGACACACATGTAGTTGGGGACACAGACACGACACAGACACGGAAACAAAAACAAGAAGAGCATGAAGAGAACAACATAAATTCACAGCACATCGAGATGAGGGGTGGAGTTAGCTTTGCGGCAAGCATGTGAACGGCTGAACTGCGGCTCCTCGAGCTGTTGCAGCCGGAGCTCGTATGCACGCACCAGACTACTTACACTGCGATCCACGGCCGGGGTCTTGAACAGCGGATGGTTCTGCAGCTCCTGCGACAGGTTCATCTCCGACGATGAGCCGACCGAACTCGCCGAGCTAACAGCAGGAGACGCAGCGAGGTGATGACCGTAATGAGCACCACCACCCGAGCCGTACGAATGGCCGTTCGGCTGAATGTGGCTGCTCGAGCTAGACATGGCCAGCGGTACGGGGCCGCGTCGCTGGAACTCCCTTGGCTCCCTGCCACCGGAGCCGCCACTGCTACTGCCCCCGGTGGCGGAGCTGATGCTGGTGCTGATCGCATCGAGCCGCTTGCTGGTCACTGGTGAACTCGGCGCCGAGTGGTGTACCGCTCCAATAGCTTTGCCGTTGCGTGCGTATACGCTGCTGGCGCCGTCAGGGCGATCCGAGTGATTCGGCGATCCCAGGCCGAAGTGAAAATGCGTGCCGCCGAACTGGTTACCGTTCTCTCGGAACTTGGTCTTCAGGTCCTTGTAAGCTGTCTTCATACCCTTCGAGCCCTCCTTCACCTGGTTTGAAGGGATTGAAAATATAAAATATTAGAAATTATTAGGACATTTCTTAACACAGAATCCACAGGAAGCGCAGAGGGAAAACAACACAGTTGGGGTTCGGGTTCGGACCACTCACCGATTTGACGGCAGACTTTACAGCCGGATTAGTCTGCAATGGTTAGACGCATGTTTTTGTATCAGAAAACGATTTTTGGTCACAACCGTCGAGCGAGAGCAGAAAGCACAGAAGAGGAGCAGCGCGTGTGGGTGGGATGAGCGATCCAAGCAGCATATATATATGAAAGAGAGACACACAAAGATACGAGCGAGATACCGTGTGAGAATGAGATGGACAGAACAACCAGAGGGTTATTTAAGCTATGGCTAACTACGCTTAATGGCTACGATGACAATGCTGATATGGATAATACTTATGGGGTATGGGTAATGGGGTAGTACTGGGGAATCACTGAGGCAATGGGGCTTGACATGGCAATGATAACAATCTGCGATCAAAGAGTGCGTGCCTAAGGCCATCGATTCGCACTTGCAAATGTTAGTTGTTAATAGTTAATAGGTTAGTAAAAAAGCCAATGAAGACTAGACGATGTAACCATTTCTATTTGTCTTGAGATGTAAGGATCATTAACACATAGTTTGATTAGACTGCAATGTTTGAGTGTTTACTTGAAAAATATAAAGGGAAGCAAGAGTAGCTTTAGGCTTTTCCCAGAGCTTTCTTATAAAATGGCCTCAAAATATATTTTTTATTGAATGTTCTCTTTTGTTAGTCAATAGTTATTTACAAGCTTTGCTTTTCACCAAATCGTTGGTTATAAAGAAAGTTATTTGAAGATAAATAAAGTATTAAGAAAAACTTCCATAATATTACTATAAAAGCCTCAATCTTTCAGGGTTAACAGTTTGAAGTTGTAAATACCAAACAGGTTGACTTGAGTCTTAATTAAATTTTTTGTATATAAAAAAAAATTTACGACGAAAAAACAATAACAAAAAACGAGGTAAGATAACAACTGAACAACTTAAACATTGAGCAGCTACTACACATTATCAAATAATAATTGATAATGCGTCGAAAAAAAACATTTAGATGGTTTTAATATTTGTTTAGTTTTTGCCAACATGAATCATTTAGTGCAGTTTTTGCTGTTGTTAGGACGTTAAGTATTTTGGTTTTTGCATTAAAAAATAAAGGAAATCATGGTAACTAACATGGCAAATAAGGTGTGTGGGAAGAGTTACATTCTACTCGGTTTTATATTGGCTTTTTTTTTGTTTTTGGTGGATAGATTTGGCTTGGTTGGCAGTCTAAATATAATTCTTGGTAAACAACCGCGACAAACTGTAGTGGTACTGTGGAATAGATCAAATCAAATCAGATAAAGAATATCATAAGGTGGGCACAGGTGGTAAGAGTAACTTAAGAGTATAGGGGGTTAGATGGTCAGCGGAGAGAGAGAGTGTAATGCAAGCTTTTCCCTGCTCCCAGTCGTGCCCTCTCCAAGCCACTAGACAACAGCGATGTGGTGGTGGTATTGTTTCATATGTGGCGGTTGTTGCACCATGAGGTTAGGCAAACAGTGAACGCTGATGATGGCCCGTGGCAGTGACTTTTCAACTCCTCGGCTCACCTTGTCCTTGAAATTCTTGATGATGTTGTTGCGTCGCTTCTTCTTCTCCGCATAGCGTACTGTCTCCAGCTCGAACTCGTCGGAGAAACCGAGCCCGCTGTTGAGCATCTTCAGGCGATCGTCGATGAACTGTGCAAATATCTGCAGCTCCATCATTTTGGCAAGAAAAGGGCGAAGGTGCGCCGGTCGAGATTCGATGAATTTTTCGTTATTAAAGGTTTTGCAATTCTCGTGGTATTCAACCGCGTCGCGATAGCCACCGATTAGCTGGACAAGAGCATTGAGGAAGATCTTCGAAATGCGGTCGCCTATGTGATCCTGCGTGTGATTCAAATGCTTTTTCAGCTGCGAGACAATCTCTGTCGGCAGATTGTGTACATCGTTGAAGGGGCTCTTGAATATTTTCGTATCACAGTCCAAGATCACAACTTCGCCGAGTTCATCATTGGTCACCTGTAATAGGAAGAGTTGAGAGTCCACCAAGCATTACAAAATTGCTGCCACTTACAGTTTCGAGCACAGGTTCTGGAACACCAATTAGATATGGCATGGGGGCACCCAGATAGTCTTTAAACTCCAGCGGCAGCACGGGTATGAATATGTGCTGCCAGACCATGGGGTATAGGAATGCGTTCGCCGCCTGGATGCACGACGATAGCCGGTCCAGGTTGCGCGAGGTAAAGATGATACGACGCTCCGCCAGCATTGCTGCAAATACTGCTATCATCTCCTTGGGCTCCGCGAAACTGTAGTACAAGGCCAAGTTGTGCTGCGAAAAGAAAGGTGTTTTAAATTCTTTCCCATTTCTTGCAGGATCTAGAAGCTTACATTTTGTGGAATACTGGGCAACTGGAACTGTAGCGGACGTTCGAATACAAAGTGCTGTTCGGAGTGGAATAAATTCAATTAACTTTATTTGATAGAGAAATGCAAGAAGAAGAATCTCTACTCACACTCTGTCCGCTGTTGTAGAAAACACTCAGACTGCCGCCAGAATCGGGAATACCCTGGTTGTAGGCCTCGGATAGGAAAGCCCTGAAACCACTGGCATCTGTCCGCTTCAGTTCGGCAAGTATAGGCATCAATTTGAGAAAGGTGTCGTGCCACGGCAGGTAAGTGATCAGCACCATGGCCGTTTTCGCTTTGGGATCTTGCCGGCAGAAGCCGAAGCGCCATTTCGAGTCGCCGGTGGTGTGCACAAAGGAATACGTCTGCACCGAAGTGCTGTGTTTAATGGAAACGACGAGATTAGTATTAAAATTAGGTATATATTGGGAAAATACAAATATTAAAACAAAGAAAACTTTGTACTGTCCGACATTCATTGGAAGTAGCAATCCGCCTCCACTTGCGCTTTTGAGATGGCCTTGCTCATCATACAAATGTTGCCCAATGTTATGCATGATGGATTGTGGAGGTTTTGGCTTTGGCAAAGCTATATTTACGTGTAACTTTATTGGGCAAACATATAATCAATATATGAAAGCTTATAGAAAATACAAAAGATAAAGGTATAGAGTTCTAAAACCATCGAAGTAGCTAGGCTGTTTTAGAATGGTAATGTAGGTCACTTTTAAGTAAAACCAACTAATTTCCCCCAGTTTCATCCTCCATGAGTAATATTCTCGAGTTTATTCGCCTTAGTTTTTACCTCTTAACCCAAATATATACACGACTTATGAGCTTCCGAGTCATAAAGTGACGAAACAAGCAATACATAATGAATTCAGAGTTAATTATAAACGCATACAAATCACTTGGATTTTGTTATTCTTTCTGCTCAGCTTTCTGCGATCATTTTCAGGTGGTACCGCGTGGAATACTCTACCCTTGCCTATAGCCGCTTTTTCCCAGGCAATAGTAAACAACTTGTTTTGAGATTCCGATTACAAAATATTGTTTTAGTTGAGCCCAATCATTGTTGAGGTGTAGAATCCCATTGATAGTGATTCAACGCTATTTGTTAACAATTTTACTTTAAGGCTGGAAGCATGGAATTTCAAAACAAAATAATGATAGTGTCTCTTATTTAATAAGCCATAGCATATGTCTTTTTTGCTTTCTTTCCGTTTGTTTTTCTTTATTTTTTCCGTACGACTTTCGGCTTTTATGCGAAGCGATGTCCGCATTAATTATATTGTGTTGAAATCGCATTTAACAATTTAAATAAATCGCAATTTTGCAACAACATCATCCACGAACGACAGTGACGGCGCAGTCTCATTACCCGGGCACGTTTCCCTTTGTCCGCCGATTTAGCATATTGCTCGGCTTTAGCCTCGACTTCGCCCGACCTTTTTCTCTTCACGGGCCTGGGCTGGGTTACATAAAGTCGTTAGATCTAAGTGTTTCTTTCGGATCGTGTCCATTACTCAATTTAATATGCAAAGTCAGGCAGTCAATCCATGCGGGTGCTCAAGGAAATGGGGCTATGTTGACTATCTTGGACGTTGCTGGTACGTTGACTTGGACTTGACTTTCTTTATCGCGGGCTCCGCACATGCAGTGGCGGTCAAGATAATAGCCACTGGTCGCTTAAAGTTATTGCTTTATCTACATATTCATTGAGCTCTTGCAAATATTTCCTTTTCTATTATCGGTGAGCATTAACAAATATTTGTTAAGGCATAGATTGGACTTTATTGTTGTCTTAAAGAAACATAAACCATTATGATCTTGAGAGAATTGTTGTAAATAAACAAGTGGTTTGTGATAGGAAAAGGTAAACACGGTCTATATAACTAAGTCTAGAAATATAACTTCATAACTAACCAATAAAACTCTTTTAATTTTAAAATTCATCACCTGATTCTATTATTTTGACCTCAATTATATGATTGCAAAGGAAATCTCCGCTTAAATATGAAAAACGGTACACCACGGCGCAGTTTCCAAGCAAATACCGATAAGCTATATTATATATGGGGTCATCGTTGGCTAAATTAATCGCTTCAGCAGACTTTTGGAATTCCGAAATACTAAAAAATTAATTGCTTTCATGTTTTTTCCCCCCTGGAATGGTTTATCGCGCGATGAGTTAGCGGTGTAACACCAACAGCTGCAGAGATAAGTACAGGAGGATGGGCTCTCCATGAATCTTGTTCTGTGTGCGTATGACTAACCAGGTGGCGTTGGCGGCAGCTGCCAAGAAGCCAATTGATACAGTTCCATGGCACTTCAGGAAATACTAAGCAAGTTGCGTCGAACAATGCCCATTGAATAATACCCAGAGCGGGCAAGAGCAGTTCATTACGCGAACTCGCGCTGTGTAAACAAACACCGAAACAGCACAACAGGTTATTCGTTTCATGGACAAGCTATCTCTGTTGCTGCTTGGTTTGGCTGACTGGCTGGCTGACTCGATGGGTGGAAGTGGTTGGGTCGAGTGTGTGTGTGGTGACTCATCGGCGGAACCCTCCGCTGTCTTTGCCAGTCTATGCCCGTCCCCGATCTCAGGTCTTGCGCAAAGTCGGCCAGCGTCTGCTACTATTGCATATTGTTTTTATAAGGCGCCCCTCTGACTAATAGGCACTGACCGGAAACGAGCAGGATGGACCAGTGGAATACGCACCTCGCTAGTTCGCAGGGAAAGGCAAAGGCTGGAATGCCGGCTAGCACCTCCTTGTCACGGTATCCTTCGGGGAAGCTCTCCACAATCACGCCAGCAGGTGTGGCGGGGCTGCCACTCCTCGGACTGCTGCCCCTTTCCAGCCAAGGGGTAGGTGTGACCTCGCACCAGAACTCGAAGAGCTTTTTCACGTCATTTCTGCGAGTTGGGAGTGAAGAGATGTGTTGACGACTAGTGGGAGCAATGGGGGCACTTCACTGCGCCGGCGGCCAGCGGTGCGGAACGCCCACTGCAGCCGCAATCTCGAACGGATACTTACTTGATACGCGATCCCATTTCGGAGCCTAGCACATGTTTCGGTCAGTATATTTTTGTACGTTTGACTTCTGTTTGTTCAATCCGGGCTCGGGCTGTCCGACGGATAATACTGATTATGCACGGGGCTTGGAATGGGGGAGACACGGACACGGATGATACGCAATACGGGGCCGCCACCACTTCCTCCTCTTTCACTTCTTTGTTGTCTCTGATTTGCGACGTCACTGATTCATTTTCGCCGACCGCGGTGTCTGCGCACTTTGCTAGTCCCGGGACTTGGATTGGGGCCACTGATCACTGATTTTCGCACATTTTTTAGCCGCAATTATTAATAATTCACTTGGCACCCGAAATTTTATGCAAGCAAAAAAAACAATAAAAATATTTTGATATTTTTCTATATTTTATTTCGGTCACTCTGAATTCCGAAGCTGTTGTTTAACATTTTACATCTTACACTCCTACAGAGGCATTCTACGCGTTTACTGATTAATGGGGTTCGAATTCTCACTTTAGGGTCCGAATTCTCACGTAGAAAGTAAAATTTACACGTTTAGATAAAATTGTACATGTAGAAAGTAAAATTCATTAACAGTCCTGCTCACATTAACAGAATGACTGTATGAATAGCCCGCCAGAAAATATTTCTATTGACCATTTAAACAATTGTATAAAATGTGCATGCCCTTGAATGGAATTGACATTCCAAGCATTTTGGTAGATGTTTCATCAAAATCCGTTCAGCCATTCAAGATAAAACATCACTTTTTGATTTATTTCCATAATGTTCCTTCGAAGAATAAATATATCTGGCAGCACTGTCTGCCTAAAATTAATTCAGTTTGATTTTAACTTTAATAAAAAAACGTATGCAAAATAAAGATCGTACCATTAACGGGATCGCAATTCTGAACATTTTGATCCATGTTTTATCAAAATCCGTTCAGGCGTTCATAAGAAAACCCGAATTTTTCATTTATTTCCATTAATGTAACGGCGAAATAAAAGTATATCCCGCAGCCCTGCCTGCCTAAAAACAAGAAAACTTGATTTAAACTTTATGGTTAAACTTATGCAAAACGAAGACTGTCCTATAGACGGCATCGCAGTTCTGAACATTTTGATCTATGTTTTATCAAAATCCGTTCAGTCGTTAATGAGAAATTTCGCCTTTTTATTTATTGCAGTTGTGTACCAGGGGTGCATAGTCATGCCTCTTTAGTAAATAAATTAGTAATTCAAATGTTAATTTCTCCAAAACTACTGGACGGATTTCGATGAAACACATACCAAATTGCTTAGAATAACGATATCATTTATTGATCAGACTATTAAGTGTTATTTCGAAAATTTGCTTCTCAAATCTAATGCTTCAATGCCCTTGCTTTGTAATATGATTTCAGGTCAAAAATTTGGAACGCAGAGAATAAATTTTTTCCGACCCTATCAAGTATATATATTCTTGATCAGCATTAACAGCCGAATCTATTTAGCCATTTCCATATGTCTGTCTGTCCAATTATAAGCAAAGTAGACCCTCATATTTAAAGCTATCTAAATAAAACTTTGCAGTTAGTCTTCTATATCCTCTCACTAGTATATAATGAATTAAAATGTTCAGAACTACAGTGCCGTTTATTCCATTTGCATACGAACGTCCTTTAAATCACATTCTTTTATTTAATATTCTTCGTCGAATATATACACATCCATACATTCATACATTTACGGCAATAAATGAAAAAGTCGGGATTTCTCATTAACGACTGAACGGATTTTGATGAAACATAGATCAAAATGTCCAGAACTGCGATCCTGTTAATGGTACGATCTTCAGGTTGAATAAGTTTTCTTAATAAAGTTAAAATAGAATTGACTTATATTAGGCAGGCAGTGCTGCCAGATATATTTATTCTTCGTAGGAACATTTATGAAAATAAATGCAAAAGTGGGATTTTCTCTTGAACAGCTGAACGGATTTTGATGAAACATCTACCAAAATGCTTGGAATGTCAATTCCATTCATGGGGCATGCATATTTTATACAATTGTTTAAATGGTCAGTAGGAATATTTTCTGGCGGGCTATTCATCGATAGATGTGGGAGGCGCCCCTTTCGATATGAAGCAAGTGTTTGTGAAAGAAATCGATAAAAAGAAAACGCAAATTTCTATTAATTTGTGGGTTATAATAGAGATTTAATTCGAAATCATAGAATATTTAATATATTATTTTTCTTAACATGGTTCCATGGTCTGGTTCAGTAAGTGGTTCTCTCTGGTTCCCATCTGGTTCCATTTTCATAATTCGCGCCTTAGGTAACAGCGCAAATACTCCAGCCACTGTTATTTGATTTTCTCAAAATCCTCCTGTTAAAAACAATTGAAATTTTCACCAAATATTCACTAATCCTCACCTAGTAAGCCTATATCGACGTTATAAGCCTTACAATTTTGGATGCCCTATATTGTATGGAGCCGACCCCGAGGTTAGATCACTGTTATGCTATTTGCTCAAAAACGGAAGGTTTGGTGATTTGAAACTTGGTACGGTAAAACTACAATAAATGTCTTTCATTTCGGATTATCGGGTATTGCTGCACTTTATTTTAATACTTTATTTTAAGTATATCATAATGCCAGTACTCTCAAACACAGTAAAAAACAACAGTAAATTAATTTTTTAGCATTTAAAAACTTTATTTTAGTCGAATTAGTGCCTTGCGGACGAAATAAATTAAAAATTAAATTTTCCCATCGTTCCATTTCGACGCTAATTTGAAGGACATCGCAAACTTCGCTTCATTTCCGAAACTATGCGATTGGTCGAAATAAGCGGGATATTTACCTGGTCACACTACAGCTGCACTGTATAATTTTAATTTGGCGTCCCACGGTTTCTTGTGTTTTTATTTGGTAGTGTGCTTCCCCCCAACAGCTGCTTTTGTGTTTATTTGCATTAAAGACGTTTCGACAAGGTTCCCTTCCCCGTGGCCGCCAAAAAATGCATAATATTTTTTATTAGGTTACATAAGTGCGTGTAGCGAAAACAAAAAACTGAAACGGAACAGTTCCTGTGTAGTTGGCCTACGAATTTCAGAAAGTAAGCGATGCATATATAGTAGCTTCGATTCGGTCATAGTTGGCACGATAATTACCTGCATTACCCGCCGAAGCAAATCAATAGCCACCACCACCACCCACCCGCACTCCATTGATTTTGTTGCTGCCTCTGTGCTACACGCGATGACGACGATGAGCAGGAGGAGGAGGAGGAGGAATCCTCGACCCGGGGTCAACTCAAAACCTATATAGATAGCATCTGTATGGGCAGCAGGCTCAGTTTCGATTTGTGTCACACACAAGCCCGGTCAGGTCACAGGCGCTGTGTCAGAATTTCTATTATTTACTCTTTTATTTTCACCCTCTTTTCAAGGTAAGCGGCAAAATTTGTGGAACGTTATGCCAGGCAGCAGAATTGGCAAAGACCCCCGGACGAAACCCATTGATTGTAGCACCATTAGCCCGTACACCACAACCATCTGCCGCACCGCCGCGGTCCCAATCACTTGTGATTAGAGACACAGACTAGACGACTAGTCATCGTTTTAGTTTAGAATTCCCGCCATGCTGTGCGGTGCTCTAGTCCGCGGTTCCGTCCACAAGACGGCCATTTACCGCAGCCTGTCTGACCTCCTCCTCAGCCCGGTCACGGCGTTGGGTCACGATGTTCGCTGCCTCTCCGCCGGAAGAGGCGTCGTATGTAAGCTGCCACAAGCAGCCCACCGTGAAGATCTTCTGTGAGTGAGCGATAAGTGTCGTCCCGTCTAACTGTTATGTACCCGCCAACCGTAACCGATCACGCCTGAACCCACTCGGGCGCTGTCTGCGACGACCACTCGTTCAATCAGAGTCCATGTGTATACATTAGCGCGCCGCGATTAGATAGCCACCTTGTACTCGCACTTATTAACCCGAAATAGCACCGCCCGTCGCCGATTTCATTCATACTGCCAGTTATAACAAACTAACTAACAAGTTGTTGTAAATCATTTCATTTGTTGCCGTCTTGCTGGCTCTTTCAGCTCGCTTACCCGGACCCGGGCGAAGAGCCATTCAAAATTAACAGTGCGATCTCTACACTCAGAGCACGACGCCATGTTCTACTCGATGTACGCTTACCTGTCCAACTTGCCGCGCCTCCATGTCTTGGGCATGGCGGTGGTGGCCTATGTCGTCTATTATCTAATCCAGGTGGTCAAGGTGAGAGTGTAAAGGCGAGCGATTGCATCACCGATGGCGCGTGACTAATGCTATAATTGCGTTCTACATTACAGCGACCGATTATCGCTTGTTCGGACGGGCCATTCAAGCAGTATCTGATCCGCCAGGTGCCGACGCTGGAGAACAAGTACTGGCCCACCTTCTGGTGCGTAGAGAGTCGTGCCCAGACTGTCCTTGCGAGCCTGCTGCGCTCCAAGAGTCTGCCGCGCGTCAACTACCGCCGCGAGATCCTTCCCTTGAAGGATGGTGGCGAGGTGGCGCTTGACTGGATGGAGGAGGGCTGCGATGAGCGTGCGCCCTGCATCCTCATTCTGCCGGGCCTAACCGGTGAATCTCAGGCGGAGTACATAAAGTGCCTGGTCTTTGCCGCCCAGCAGGCGGGCATGCGGGTGGTGGTGTTCAATAACCGCGGTCTCGGAGGCATCGAGCTGAAGACACCACGCCTCTACTGTGCCGCCAACTGCGAGGACCTGTGCGAGGTGATCCAGCATGTGCGTCGCACTCTGCCGGCACATTGCAAACTGGGTGCCACGGGCATATCCATGGGTGGTCTGATTCTCGGAAACTACCTGGCTCGTAAGAGCGAAGAGGCCAGGAACATTCTCTCGGCGGCAAAGATCATCTCGGTGCCGTGGGACGTGCACAAGGGCAGTGCCAGCATCGAGAAGCCGGTGATCAACAGCCTGCTGGGCCGCCATCTGGCCGGGAGTCTGTGCCGCACCTTGCGCAACCACCTGGATATATACCGCGAGATCTACCAGGACTCGGACATCGATATTCAGCGTATATTGCGCTGCAAGACCATTAAGGAATTCGACGAGCTGTTCACTGCCAAGCAGTTCGGCTATGCTCACGTCAATGACTATTACTCGGACGCTACGCTGCACAACAAGCTGGACCACATCTCAGTACCACTGCTGTGCCTGAGCGCTGCGGATGATCCTTTCCAGCCGCTGGATGCCATTCCCATCAAGGCAGCTAATCAGTGCACCCATGTTGCCATAGTGATCACGGCCCGGGGCGGCCACATTGGTTTCCTAGAGGGCTGGTGGCCCTCCACCAAAGACCAGTACATGGGACGACTGTTTACGGAGTACTTCACCAAGGCTTTGTTCGACGAGGATGGTGAGTTTCAGCACACAGCCAACAAAATGCACGAACGCTTCTTGGCCAAGCAGACGGTGGCTCTGGCTGCCTCCTCTTCGTCGTCATCGTCGCCGGCTTTGCTGCTAACCAAAAAGTTGGACGCTGGCACTCTGGACCACAAGGTGAAGCTAATGTAATGAAATTTCGATAAAATTTTCATTTAGTCTATACCAAAAATACATAGTTATCCGCGTCTGTATTCCGATAGAATTCCGCGAAACACATGTGATATAATGAAACGCTGATCAAAATCAAAGTGTTGTACTCTCTAGGGCAGCGAAACAGGGCTTAGAAGCTTAAATTATCTTAGTACGTGACTTTAGTGACATATCAAGTTGAAATAGCGAGACAGCTTTACGATTCGTAGTGGTAAATTCAAATACATATAATAATCTATATATGACACAATGCAATAATCTTATATTTTACAAGTTCCGTATATTTATAACTAATAAAAATACAACGCTTAATAAAGAGAGAATAATAAAACACACTTTCACTTCATTACATATAGTAGATTTGACAAGCGAGACGATTAACGTGGATATTTTCACACCCCTGAATCGATTTGAAGGCTCCAACCCACGATAAAACCATGTTCCTACAGCTAAAATACCAACAGCCAGCGAGCACAGCCTATATGGGCTTGTACAGCAGCGTGGTAACATACTTCTTGCGGTACCGATGTGTGGCACTCAGCACCATGACGCCATCCTTGATGGACAGCGCGTACAGGTGGTTTAGCATCACATGGTTGGGTTCCGGCAGCAATGTGGGTTCGCACTGGAAATAAATCAGAATTAGACTTGATTTTAAGGCGGAATGTTAAAAAAAACCCACCGAAAGCGGTGTGTCCTTGTTGAGGATAACCTGCAGCAGGTGTGGCGGCAACACCGGTGGTCCGGATACCTTCTCCCAGGGCTTAACCTGCGGTACCTCCTGCGAGTACTCCTTCTCCGCGTAATTGGTCACGTTCTCGCTATCCTTGGCCAGGGCCTGAAACACCTCAAAGTCGGAAGCCCGCACAGATACTAGGTTATTCTTTTGTCCCTCGTCGTTATCCACGCTTTTCTGTAATTGCAAAAACAAACAGCAATGAGCGATAATCCATTTTCTGTAATTATAGTACACAGAGCGAGCGACGTCAGGAATAATTCATAAGCTCTATTTTTGCGTGCAATTATTGAGGGACGGGAAATCGATACGTAATTGTGGGCTATATATGAGAGTCGGGTTCCATAAAAGTCATGAAATTCGATGGCGGCTCTGTTTATAGAAGGGCATTCGGGTTACTAGATGGGTTTGGTTTATTCGCTTATCTATTTTGGTGGTGAAAACAGTCATAAGGGTTTGAATTTACTTTGGATCTTGGGTTAAATTTCTAGAAATCATTTTCCTGAGAATGTTTCCCAACTCGATGAAAGGGATGTAAGAGAGCTTATTTTTAACACGTCCAGTAAATGTACGAATGTATGTACGTATCTGACTTCGGCATGCATAAGGCTTGCGTTTTGCATAATTTCGGACAAAAGAAATGCAATTGAATGGAATTGAAGACGTTCTTTCGCTTTATAACAGTATATAGGCAGACGAGTTAAATATATAAAGGAAGACCTGCATCTTATCAACTGGTTTTTCCCTTTCCTTGCTTGAGTTTATCTATCTTTTGAGCTATTTCTTTTGTTTGCCTAATTTTAATCTCACTTTTCACGTTCGAATGATAACAATATAACCCTTTGCCTCGATTGTAGCCAGCTGAGCATCTCTGAACCAATTGAAATCCACTGCTGATTACTGTGAGACTTCGTTTTTGTTTACGACGATTACACAACGCCAGCGAAAATCGGTAACTGCGTCATTCGGGGCGCCCGAATTAAAAAAGGCTTCATAATGGCCAAGGGAATTGGGGCATATTGATTTTCCACTCAACTGACCAGCTTGGGATCGTGCTTCCACTCGCCGTCCACGCAGAACTTGTACTGATGGTCGCCCTCCGGCAGATCGATGATGGTCACAAAGTTGCCGTGGCTGCGCACCATCGTTATGGGCTTCCAGTTGGAGAACGTGCCCGAAATGGTGACGTTCTTGCCACCGCCATCCCATCGCAGCACTGTGGGCAGTGCCGTCTTACGGTCCTCATCGTCCAGGGATGGAATCCCTATTCCTACTGCTTCCGCTGCCGCCAGTTCGTCGTCGTTGTCCATGCTGGAGTGCTCTCCGCTTCCGCTGCGCAGAACAGCTGTTGAATCGCCACCGCTATCAGCTGTGCGCCTGGTGCCGCCGCTCGTGCCTGTGCCCGCTCCCGTGTAGTACGGGTCGTCGTCTTCTTGCGACGAGCCCTCGTTCAAGACTGCCGTATGTTTTTTGTCGAACGAGAAAGCTTGGCCTCCCGCCCCGGCTCCGCTCAAAGCCGCAGCGCCAGCATTGCTCCCGCCGCCGTGGCCCCCGCCACTGCCTGCGCCCGCACTCGCTCCTCCACCGACGACTGCAACCGAGTCGCGGAAATGTGCGGGAGAGCTCGGCGTGGAGAGGTCGGTTGACTTGTGGCGCTCTCGCTGCATGTGCACGGTGGAGCTGCCCGCATTGCCCATGATGTTTACTTGCAGTTATTGTCGTTCTCGCTGGCTAGCTGGCAGGTCACGGCCCGATGGAAGGGGGAAGGGGACTGGGGTGCTTTTGGGGTTCGTTCTCTCCTCTGTGTTCTTCCTGATGTTTTGTTTCGGTTGCCTTGTTGTCTTGGCACACGTTTTAGTCGCGATTTTTGTTGTCCTACGTCTCGACACTTTCGCGGCGCGCAGTCTGGTTGCAAAATTTGGCATTTAATAAGCAGAATACTGCATTATTTAATCGTTTGTTTCGTAGAAAAATTGCTAATTATAAACAATTTACATATATACAGTTCGCCTGTCGGCGTTGTGGCCTGAATGGCGAACCGTGTGCGATAATTGCCACTCACAGGGAAGGCAGCACGTACACCATATGTCGCACGGTAGCTCTTTTGGAACTGCCACTCGTTTTGAATTTCGATTAGGCAGTTTTTTTAAATAAATTTCTACATTATCTGTATCTGCTTTAAAGAGAAAAAATTAGATTTACAAATTAAAAGTATTCAGGTTTTCATAAACCATAAAAAGTCGATGAAAAGAAGTTAAAAGGAAACAATAATAATAATTTATATTTCACTTTATTAACACGAAAGTTGAAACTAAATTAATATCATCGTGGATTTCAAAATCTAATCTTATAAAATTCTAAGATTGTGGTTTAAAAGAATTCCCAGTCGCCAGGTAAGACAGTTCTTAAAATAAATTTAATTGGGTCAATGAATCATTTTGTTTATTATTTATCTGTTTATATCGGATTAATTTGATATTACCAGTGACTAAGCTCGACCTTTTCGTAAGGTTTATTCACATTTCTACACTAAATGCAAAGAGTATTCACCAAGTTGCATATTTTCTTGTAAATGCGTATAACCAGACGTTACAACTGAGGAAAAACGAGAGTCCAAAGTCCACAGCAATCAACGTGCATCAGAGCACAACAAAAAAACGAAGATTGGGGGCAGTGAAAAACGACACAAAGGGGAGGGCGACAAAGTAAAGTGAAACAGAGCAAATAAAGCAAAACAGAGAGCAAGGGCGGAAGTTTGTTGGCAAGGCCTGCTGCTGTTCGGTGATGAAACAGGTAGAGGCAGGGATTTGATGGCCAAAACAAATGCAGCCAAAAATAATGTGTAAAAGAAGGGAGGATCAAAACAAACTAGAAAAACCGCCTGGGAAAACCAGATACCAACACCAGCGAACCAGACGCTTTCCAGACGACGACAACGCCAAACAAACAAAAAACAACTCGTGGAAAATACGAATGTGTGCGAGTACACTTCAAAAAATTGTGAAAGTTATGATTTAAACATTAACATGGTGATTTAAAGAATTGATTACATTTAACAAGCTACTTGAAAAGTTTGTAAAATTTGTAACAAAATATTTCAACTTAATTTGCAAGTCTTATTTTTTTTCAATGTATGCGTGCTGATTGTATGGGTGCCTGCGTGGTAGACACGCACACCATTGCAGCTCACGACGCCTTCGCATTTAAAATTGATTAAAACTAAAATCACTCGAAGCCGATGCCGTTGTGGGCTGCCGTGCCTTGTTTCGTTTTCAGTGCGATCGCAGACATTGTGCAAAACGAACGGTTCTCCGCTCTCCGTGAAGTGATCGTGTTGCTGTTGCTGTTTCTGAGGGAGTGCACTGAAAGAAGCCGGGGAAATTGTGTCAAATCAATTGGAAGCGGAGCCCAGAGTCGCGTCACAAGTCTCCACCGAGTGGCAAGCATTTGAGGCAGGTCAGTGTTTGCTGGTTTGCTGGCGAGGTCAAGTCGTCTATATCAGACTTGTTTTTTTTTAACTCCCTTATCAAAACCGAGTACTCCAAGGCCTCCCTCCGCCCGACTAACTTAGTAAACCAAACCGAAAACGCAAAAAACGCTTAGTTCCCATGGCTCCCGTGGGCGAAGCGTGTTCCTTCGATTTTGTGACTTGATTATCAGCTCAGCCAGTGAACTATAATGAACTGCTAATTGATAATATGTATGCGGCAACACCTATATATTTAGCTGGAAACTACGACGCACTTGCCACCTACTTGCAATAATTATATCGAAGACTGTTTGATCAGCCTAAGTACATATACATTATCTAAAATTCCATACCCTCTACCCTGGAACGAAACAAAGACCACACTCCCAATCGGTTAAGGCAAACAGAAATCCCCAAGATGGCCACCCCACCTGGAGCGCAGAGATACCATAATAATAATAATAAATGTATACCTTATCAATACACTCGACTTGTTTTCAAAAACTGCACCTTAAATTAATTCAATTTAGATCGTACGACAACAGCCGAAAAAAGAAAGAAACCCAGCCCCCACTTGGAAACAACAACGGGCCCACCAAAAAACAAGATTTCAGTCAAAATAAATAAATTATATGTATATTATATGTATTTTTAGCTTTATCAATTTCGGGCGTTTCTTCGGAGGCTCGACACATATACACACACACACGCATCATCAATCGCCAATCGGAACGAGATCCACAGCGAGGGTCGCTTCAACCATGGATAGCGTCAAGTCTTTCTTCGCCAGCTCCACCAAAGATGGAAACCTGACCAACAGCAGCCGTCAGTCTAGTGTGGCTGGGAATGCCGCCAGCAGCCGCTGGGGACGCAGCTGGAGCACCAGCTCCCAGCAAACAGACCCGGAACCCGGTTCCGGATCCAACCCTGGGGCCAGCAAGAGCGGAAATCCCTGCGATGTGAAGCGCAAGGACAGTGATAACTACTTTTACATCATGTAAGTTTCAGTTTCTTCTAGAAATAATAGTTCTTTTTGGAGAGGAAACAATGTACATATGTATCCTAAGGGTAGAGAAGATAAGATAGGGTCCATTTTGTTTGCCTTCTAGACCTTGTATGTATCTTCCATTTTCCAATGGGAAGCATATGTATGTATATACAAATACACCTACGGCATAGTTTTCATTATCTTCAGTTTCTTTTTTTTTACATTTTCCTGGGTTTCTATGTGCCGGTATTCCATTTTAAAGTTAATAATAGCATGATCACTTGGAAAACTTCTCTTAGGTTCTGAAAGACTATTACTTCCGTTAAAACTTTCTCTAAGTATAAGTGAGTACCAGATAAGATAGTTAAACAGATAGATCAACGAACCTTCCTTCAATTACAAACAGTCAAAAACAAGATAGTTTTATTAAAGCATAAATATATTGATAAGTATCTTTGTTTTTCCCATTCCCCTTCTTTATCATACTTTGAATATAACCCGAGGCATTTCTTTTAATGGCCTTTTTTATTTCCTGAACTTGTTTCTGGTTTTTATTATGGTGTTTACTTGCTTCTACGAAATATATTCGATTATCTGACCGTGCCTTATCAGTCGTTGCACATGAAGTGCCTATAATTACCCAGATCGATTCGTAAGCTGCTGTAATTTTGGACCTGCGATAAACGTTCAATGGCTGCTGCAATGGTCGTCGATTACACCCAGGGGTTAAGACCGATCCAAGTGATTAATTAAGTGCCAAGAGACCGTAACTGAACGTTCTCTAGAGGCGGCTGGTAAACCAAACCAGTTTGTGCGGTCATAGATTCGAGTGCTCACCTTGAACGCCCGAGTTTTGAGTGCTGAGCTTTACTTTGTGGCTCAAAGTTCTGAGCGAGATTGCGATATAGTGGGATATGCGAGGGGATCTGGACTGGAACTGCATAACCAGTCGGCGGGGGTTCAGTTGCGAATTAACAGCCGCTGCGATCAGTTTAAAAAGTCCCGTATTTAGAATGTGAGTGGCCGGGGTAGCCCCGAAAATAACACAGCTGGGCTTGGGGCGTGGGCCTTGGCCGGTCATATAAAGTGCGTGATTCAGCGGAGCAGCTGGGGCAGTAATCATTGGGCTCTCCAACATCCAGCACGCTGTAAGATCGCGGACCTGTTAATAATAATCCGAACCACAACTGATGCAATAACTTCTCTGTTTTCGCTTTGTTACAGGTGGCGCGCTTGAAGATTACCAGACGAGTGTGGATCTGAGCAGCAGTGTACGCCGCCAGCATAGCCATTTCGTCGTTGTCGTGATCCATATATATCTAAAGTGACCTGCAGAAATATCTGTAACCCTATTAGGAACATCGGAGCGCTAGCTGCAACAATATAGCCTTTTGCCTTGTTGCACCTTTATCTCCATTGGCGGCCGAGTCCGGTGTTTAGTGATACTAGTTATTTAATTACACTTTTACACAAAACATTCATTTACCTCTATCCCATACGTATCGTCCGATCGATCCCATCTCCGCCTATATGGACGTCCTAACCATCCTGGGCTTGGTCTACTGGCTGATCTGCATGATTTTGTTCGGCCCGTTGATGTTCTTTGTCTGCGTTTACCTGCCCGAGGTTCCGGTGCGATATGTTAAAAGTCTGAGGCAGCAGACCTGAGTGCCTTCGATACAAACTTGACCACTAATTAGCCAAGTCCGTAGTACATAGATTAATCAAGCCATAGTTGACATGATATTGATGTACAATCGATCTATTTGTAATAAAACTTCTCAAAAATGCATTCAAATTAAAGACGGAGTGTGTAACTTATTTAATGGGAGTGGGAACTCTTCTGGAGAGGTAAGAATTCGAAATTAAATCATTTTCAGTTATTTACAAAACTTAAATGTTGCGGAAAAACTAAACTTATTATACTTGGCTAACATATTCTGTCCGGTTCACGATTTTATTGGTGCGGCTCCGAAATCTTCATTCAGTGCCCGCCTATGTTTTGTTTTGAATTAATTACAATCAAATGTATTTCTTAATTTTATTTATGTGAAACATTTCATTACAAAGCTAAAACTTCGGAATAATGAGTGCCACAATACCATATTGCGATGCTTTCTTTGAAAAGTATAAATTTGGTTGGAATATTGGATCTACAATTAGTTGACTGCCAACCAAACCGATGTTGAGAGAAACAAAATAATAAAACTGGCCAAATAATGCAATAAACAATATCAAAGTATTCCACTGTATTTTAACTGGTTTGTTTACGGTTGCGGATAAAGCGTGGACTGACTATATGCTTCTTTCGTTTATTCGTTAAATCACATTCCTAGTTGATGTACCGTTTGATAGATTGCCAAAGGAATTGTTGCCTTGTTGATTTCTCCTTCTCTCGCTTCGAACTAAAATTTTGGCTTAAATAACTTAGCGATTATTTAATTAAAACAAAAACGTTTGGGGTTTTAGGGGGGGGGGGGAATCTGCAGGACAGTGCGGAGATTTCGATAGCGCTTCGATTTAGTTGGACCAGGACAGCAACTGCTTCATGTCTGGATCATCTGTAATGGAATGAATATTATTATAGAAAACTACAAGCCGTTATTTAAATATAACTCACCATCATCAGCTACAGTCGTCGTGGCGGGCGCCGCCTTCTTCTTCTCCTTGGCCTTCTCTGGCAAATCTTCTGTGGGCGCTTCTGGCAATGTGGGCGTCGGCTCAGGAATACCAATGATTTCCTTATCAAAGTTCTCCTGCTCGAGTTCATCGAGTTCCCGCTCGAGGTCCTCGTCATCGAGGTCGGCCCCAAATGCCACCGGGTTGGAAATGGCATCGGATATCTCACGGGCGACGTCCTGCTGCTCGGCAATATCGTCCATCATGTCGTGCACCTTGTCCACATCCCTATAAATAAGCAAACAATTTGGATTAAATTCGGGGATCAGTTCTTGCCGGCTGCTGGGTGTCTCACATGTTCTGGTGGGCATGCTTGAGGGCTTCGGCGGCACTCTTCATGTTAGTCAAGACGGCAGTGTTCGTGTTGGCGCTCTCCAGGGCCTCGCGCTGCATCTCAATGGTGGACAGGGTGCCATCGATCTGCTGTAGCTGCTTCTCCAGGCGCTTCTTCTTTTGAGCGCTTGTAGGGCCACTGAAAAAGTGCCAAGTTGGCGGATTAGTGAGCTATCAACGACATAAGAGCTTGCTTTTCTATATGGTGATGCGAATTTTGCAATGCGTGGATTCGAATTACTCTACGGCAAGGCGAATGTTTGTTTTGATATCAAAAGGAATGTTTATATTACGTTCTTAGCGTTTGCGTACAAGTCCAGGCATCAAATGGTATGCGGGTGAGAAGGGCGAAGAAATACAATTGTTTTATTCAGTTTTCTATTATGGTGACGACGGGCAAAGGCTGATTAAGTGGGAAGGCCTCACCAGCCGCAACAAAAACAAAGCAACAATGAGTCATATTTTCCATAGACCATGCACCTCGGTCCAGGACTGGAGCTCCTGCGAACTCTGCAGGAAACACACACACACGTACATACCTCTTTTGTTTTTGGACGCATTCTTGCGAGCTATGTTCAGCTCGTCCTCGATCTTTGCCTCGAGGAACTCCTGCTTCTTGATCAGCATGTTCTCCGTCTCGCGCAGCTTCTGTATCGCCTCGCCGGTGGTGGGGGCCACCTCCTTCTTGCCGCCGAACATCTTCCCGAAGAAACTCATCCTGGCTGGTCTGCGTTTTCACTCCCTAATCAGATGGATGTGGCCAATAATATAAATTTTTCTTTTATTGCGTCTGCGAGCTGTTTTGTTCGTATGCGTCACCCGATACCGATAGCTGTGCTGTTATCGTGTTATCGCATTTGAATATTCAGTATTTTTTTGCACGCAGGGTTTGACAGCCGGTCAGCTGGTCACTCTGTCTCGTGGACGCCGAAAACAAGTAAATATTGCATTTATCTGAGAAGTTTTCGCATTTCTGTTCCAGGATAATCACTAAATCGCACATCCCTTACGGATGTAGCGGCTATCTTAACGTGCACACAAGAAACAAAAGAAAGTTAGTCCGAAATGGCCAATCGCACGGTGAAGGAGGCGAAAAACGTGCACGGCACAAATCCGCAGTACCTCATCGAGAAAATCATTCGCTCCCGCATCTACGACTCCAAGTACTGGAAGGAACAGTGCTTCGCTCTCACGGCCGAACTGCTGGTGGACAAGGCCATGGAACTGCGGTTTGTTGGCGGCGTCTACGGTGGCAACATCAAACCCACCCAGTTCCTTTGCCTCACGCTGAAGATGCTGCAAATCCAGCCGGAGAAGGACATTGTGGTGGAGTTTATCAAGAACGAAGAGTTTAAGTACGTGAGAGCGCTAGGAGCCTTCTATCTCCGCCTCACAGGAGCTGCTCTCGACTGTTACAAGTATCTGGAACCGCTTTACATCGACAATCGGAAGCTGCGACGCCAGAATCGAGCTGGCCAGTTTGAGATCGTATACATGGACGAGTACATTGACGAGCTGCTGCGCAACGATCGAGTCTGCGACATCATTCTGCCGCGCATCCAAAAGCGCTCGATTCTGGAGGAAAACAACGAGATCGAGCCTAAGGTGTCTGTGCTGGACGAAGATCTGGACGATGAGCTGCCCAGCGACGAGGAGAAGGCGGCGGATGACCGGGACTCAAATAGGCCGAAAGAGAACTCGTCCTCGGCTGTGCGACGTCCACGTAGAGCACGCTCCAATTCTAGGTCACGCAGCCGGGACCGTGACAGGAGAACTGGCCAAGGAAACAACCCCCGCTCCCGGGACTACTACGATGAACTCGAGGAGTACGATCGTCAGCGGAATCGCGTCCGCCATCGGGACACTCAGAACGATGACTACGACAGGCGGCAGACCACTAGTGGACGCCAGGATCGAGATCGGGACCGAGAGCGTCAGGATCGGGACAGGATGCGAGACCGTGACAGGTACAGCGAGAGGGATCGGCGGGAGCGCGATCGGGAACGGGAGCGGGAACGCGACCGCGGTGGCCGACACGACCAGCGGGATAGAGATTCGCGAGGAGATCGCGATCGGCGTCGGTACTGAGTAAATAATTGTAATTTAAAATGTAATAAAACTTAAAAAAAAAACATTAAAAACCGTTGGTATTTTCATTTCCACCAAGTTGGCAGCACCGCCCAACAATCAGTGGTAAACACGGGTCAGCTGTTGCTTCTGTTGCTATTGTTTTAGAAAGTTTATTATTAAAAACAATTTACTTTATCTCTCGTAAATTCACCCTGCTGTGTTCATTCGCATTTAGTTTGGCGTTCCAACAACTGAGTAGTTACGCCTACAACGATAAAACTCGGACATTGCCAACAAGCAGCAGCTGGTGGAGTCTCGCAGTATCTCAATCCACTTCGTCGCGCTTGGAAGTCAGTGGAAACTGCGCTGCATTCTGGCGAATGAATTGCTAATTCCATTATCTGCGGTAGTCGTCATTCCGACTGCCAATTTCTGAGAGATATTGCCAGCAGACTAAGAAACGAACGGGTGAAGGGTGGAAAATTATGCCTCGCAACGACACGGAAGCCCTGGTGGAGGAGGAAGCTGGCGAAGATGCGGCGCCACGCATTCTGGATGCCACCTCGTTGCCGGTGAGCAATGTGGACCTAACCCCGCCTCCTGCCCCGCATGACCTCAACAGCTATCGCTGGTTCATCCTGGAACCCGCAGTTTTCCTTATATTCTTCGCTAGATATTTAATTGGTAATGAGTGATTCGAAAATCGGTGGCTTCATCATGACCCAATTTGGATATTTTCAGGGGCGGTTTATCAGAATCAGATCCTCTACCAGACCTGCGTCACCATCATGAAATTCAATGCCACAGAATGCGAGCCGTTGCTGGGCATCGATCGCGGATCGGAGGCGGATAAAGTAAGTAAAGCCAACTAACTACGGTCAAATAAGTACTATATAGTATATACATATATAATATAGTTGTATGAATGATATTAAGCTTGAAAGGTTTTTATCTGTGTCGGAATTGTTTTTGTTACTTTGCGGGGCGTTTCGGTCTGGCAGAGTACTTTTGCAGTGGAATTAATACTTTTTTTTTATCACAATTATATTCTGTAGAATTTTATTCGTTTAATTTAAAGTGTTTTCTTCATACAAGTTTTTGGTATTCATATTTATATTTTATGTAAGTTAGTAAGGAGCATATTTCTAGTTAAGTTTTACTAGCATATATATCTACATACATATATGGCACACAGAGATTAATATAAGGACACATTATTCTCTTTAGAAGTGACCCACATAATCGTCGGAGACAAAGCAATCCATCAAGCAAATCAGATCAATGTATTATTGAACTACTTATTGTTTCATTGTTTCAAACTTAGCGATAAGCTTTTGCCAGGGCTTATCTGCTGAGCAAGCAAAACAGCAGTAGACAAAAACCTTTTATGACTAACTTGCGGGGTAATATCGAACTGCAGAAAAGGCGTTAAATTGTAATTATAGATATAACTTTATTTATATGGCTATGAATCATTCGAAACGTACAGCTTCTACTTAAGGCATTTCTAAACATTTTTACTTTTCAGAAAATCGAAATCGTAGTACAAACCTATTCGGCCAACATTATGATGACAACCTCCTTGTTGGAGAGCATAATACCAGCCTTTGCGAGTCTATTTCTGGGTCCCTGGTCAGACAAGTTTGGCAGGCGTCCCATCCTTTTAACGACGTTCACTGGTTCGTAAAAACTCTCTTTTATAATTACTTTTTATTATAATGCCTCCTATATGTTCTATACAGGTTACCTCACTGGTGCCATAATACTGATAGTCATTACAAGAATAACCATGTCCACAAATATCAGCCCGTGGTGGTTCCTTCTTTCCTCAGTGCCTTCAGTTCTAAGCGGCGGAACTTGTGCCTTAATCACGGGAATCTACTGCTACATTTCGGATGTGGCCAAGGAACGGAAAAGAGCTTTGAGGTGAGGGGTGAGTCAAGTAGGATCAAAACAAATTCTTATATGTATGCTTTAACTTCAGAATGGTACTCAATGAGGCTTCCCTCTGTACTGGCATGATGGTAGGCAATGTGGCCAGTGGTTATATTTATGCCGCCACGAATGCTTTGACTCTCTTTGCCATAGCGGGCTTCCTAATGACGCTAGCCTTGATGTTTGTCTTCTGCTTTGTGCCTGAGAGCTTGAATCCTGCAGATATACACACAGGAGTATGTTTTCTTGTTGGAAAACAAATCAATATTATTATCTATTATTTCTCTCTCATATTTTTTCATAGTCACGATTGCGAGAGTTCTTCCGTTTCGACTTGGTCAAGGATCTGGTTCGCACCTGTTTCCAAAGGAGGCCCAACTATGATCGTGCCATTATTTGGCTGACTATGGTTGCCCTGACCATAGCCATTTTCGATATGGGTAAGTTTCTGAGCTTCATAATTGTTAAAACAAGTTATACATAATTTAATTTTGGATTTCAGAGGGCGAGGGTACTGTAAATTATATGTTTATGCAGGAGAAGTTTAATTGGACCATTAAGGACTACAGCCTATTTAACGCCGCCCGCATTGTGATTCAAATCGTGGGCAGCATAGTCGGTATGGTGGTGCTGCGCCGTGTGCTGAAACTATCCATCGTTACCATGGCAATGCTATCCCTCGCCTGTTGTGTTCTGGAAAGCACGGTGCGAGCCACGGCCGTCTACTGGCAGGAGATGTACTTGGGCATGACGCTGGGCATGATGCGCGGTGTCATGGGACCCATGTGTCGTGCAATTCTCTCCCACGTGGCGCCCAGCACGGAAGTTGGTAAGTAATTAGCAAAGCGTGTGGGATTTGCACGATTAACTCAAAACACCATGTTGTGGGTTCATTTCTAGGCAAGATATTTGCTCTAACCACATCGATGGAATCAGTGTCGCCGCTGGGAGCGGCTCCCCTCTACACAACCGTCTACAAGGCCACCGTGGAGTCTTATCCCGGAGCTTTCAATTTCATCAGTGCCGGTCTCTACTTTGTTTGCTATATTCTGATTGCGTAGGTTTCTGCTTCAAGGGTTTGTAAGCTTATCTTTCATTAATTACAATTAATTATAATTGCAGCGTGATTTTCGGCATCCAGAAATCGATGGGCAGCAGCAGCACTTATCAGGCCATTGGCAGTTAACCTGAATGACTACCTTAGCTGAATGTATCTCATAGATTGAATTCCCTTCTGCACGTGCAGAACTATTTTTGTATATGAACCCCTCGTTTTTGTGCAAGTATTAATGTATAATGTATAATGTACAATGATTTTATCTGTGTTTTGCATGTGCAAGCATGGTAAAGTTAGAAAATATAAATCGTCTGTTTGCAGGAGTGTGACAATAAACTATAACGACGCCAAATACTTATCTTGTTATCAACATGTTTGGGGCGCAGATAGTGTGCCAAGGAGTGGGAGCGTTTTTGGGTAGCATTTGGAGATAGGGCGGGCGTAGCTATCGCTCAAATTGGCGATCGCTCGCTTGGTTTGTTTATGTCGTCGATTTCCAGCGTTAGTGTTTCGCTAGAGTTCGGCACGCGCGGAGGTTCAGTTTCCCACTGCTCTGCTCTCTCTCTTTCCGCTCCGATATATTGGCTTTGCTGAATGAATTGCTAATTCCTTTGTCTAAGCGATAATTGCAGCGATCACTGAGGAGCTTTGTTTAGGAAAAGTTGTACGATTAGACCGCTACCTTTACGTCCAAAAAATATGCCGAGGGATGATGAGGCGCCCATTATTGACAGCGACGATGAACCACTAGAAACTGGCGTAGTAGCTCCGCCCACGAACCGCTTGTTTCTCAAATGGCTAAGACGACCCCGTTCACTGCGGCTGGAGCCCGCCGTTTTTCTGGCTTTCTTTGGTCGATTTCTAACAGGTATGTGTGTATGTGCTTACGAGAGTCTCCCGATTAGTGGTAGGTCATAAATAAATCTGTTTTGTGCTTCCGCCAGATGCGGTCTATCAGAACCAGATACTATACCAAACTTGCGTCACGGTCTTGGAATACAATGCCACTCAGTGTGAGCCGTTTCTCGGCACGAATCGTGCCTCCGATGAGGTTAAGGCAAGTTGAAACATGAGCCCACTGGGCGTATACGTAATTTTATTCATAAAACTCACTCAATTAGACAGATTACATGAGAGTGTGTGTTGTGGGAATAATATTTACAAAGTGATTTAATTAAACGTAAAACCTATGACCTATTTAATAATATATTTGCTCGATTAATTAAGTAGCCACTTTGTGTCTGTCTATAATTTAAGACACCATTTTAATTTGCATACCTATGAAAAAGCGTTACCCTGAGCTTCTATCCACTACGCGATATTTACCCATATCATTTATTTCACCTGTGTTTTGTACCTTATCAGTTGAGCAAAACAAAAGAAAATGCCCAATGTTTATGACTAATAGGATTGACTTATCACAAAAGAGTTATCGACAACAGTATACAAATTGGTGATAGATATTTCAAGTGCATGTGCAGAAAGATAACTAGTTAAGCCATGAAAAATACCCCTGTTGCCTGGATAGTGAGTGAGTCATGGAAATGTGACGACGGCTCTGTGGGCTTATCAGAGATTTAGAGAATTCCCTGGTGATCAGTAATCATTAATCAGTGTCGTCTCTCTGTAGAAGATCGAAGGTCAAGTTCAGGAATATGCTTCCACCATCACAATGGTGAGTTCCATAATCGAGAGCACTATGCCAGCCATTGTGAGTCTTTTCCTGGGACCCTGGTCGGACAAGTTCGGACGGCGGCCCATCCTGCTGTCTACATTAACTGGTGAGTGTAGCTCTCCCGAATCTTTGCATGTTCCCATATTAACGTACTTTCTGCAGGCTATCTGGTTAGTGCTGTTGTTTTGATAGTTCTTACCCAAATAACGGCGGCCACCAACATCAGTCCCTGGTGGTTCCTGCTCTCCTCCGTTCCATCTGTGTTCAGTGGCGGCACTTGCGCCCTTGTCACCATCCTATACTGCTATGTTGGCGATGTGTCCAGCGAGGAGAAGCGACCAATGAGGTGGGTTTTTAATATCAACTCAATTTTCCAATTTTTTTTTACATTGATGGCTTCACCTCTTTCAGAATGGTGATCATGGAAGCTGCTTTAGGCCTGGGCATGATGGGTGGCGGTGTGGCTAGTGGTTATATCTATGCCGCCATTGGTGCGTCGCCACTATTTATCTTGGTGGGCATCCTAATATCCACAGCGCTGCTCTATGTCTTTTTCTTTGTGAAGGAGAGTCTCAAGTTCGAGAACTTACAGGAGGGATCTCGCATTAGAGAGTTCTTCCGTTTGGATCTGGTAAAGGTGCTCGTAAGGACCTGCTTTAAGAAGCGAGAGAATTACGATCGGGCCATAATATGGATGGTGATGATGTCGCTGACGCTTTGCGTTTTTGCCATGGGTGAGTACTCTTACCGGTAACTTCATCCAACTTATAACCTAATCATTCTTTTGATTCTTCAGAGGGTGAGAACACAGTAAACTATATGTTTATGCGAAAGCAGTTCGATTACACCGTCCAGGACTACAGTGTGTTCAATGCGGCTAGGGCCGTTATTCAATTAGTGGGCAGTACCTTGGCAATGGTTCTACTTCGTCAACTGCTTGGAGTCTCCACTATTATGATGACACTCCTGGCCTTCGCCTGTTGTGTCCTTGAGAGCACAGTGAGAGCCACGGCCGTGTATGGAAGTGAGATGTACCTAGCCCTGATTCTTGGCATGATGCGCGGTGTGATGTCGCCAATGTGCAAGGCTATCCTGTCGACTGTGACACCTAGATCCGAGTTAGGTGAGTTGAAAGAGATTTAAGGATCTTTCAGCTTAGGATAATCAAACTAATACACATTATATATATTCCTTACAGGTAAAATATTCTCGCTGACTACCTCACTGCAATCGATCTCACCCCTGGGAGCTGCTCCCCTTTACACGGCCGTGTACCAGGCCACTGTTCAGTTTTATCCCGGCATCTTTAACTTTATCAGCGTGGGACTCTACTTCTTATGCTATATCATGTCAGCGTGAGTATCTATTGAGTTCTTCTTATGTTTCTTCAAATAATACAATATTTCCCTTACAGTACTTTGGTCGGCATACAAAAATCAATGGGTAGTGACAGAGTCTACCAGGCTATCGGCAGTTGATCTTTAGAGGCGAAGGGAGAAAGTAACAAATATACAGTGTGAATTTGCCATTCATAAGCCATCGTACGAAGAAACTTTCTACTAGAGACTTATAGTATTGTTGTAAATATTTGTTAAGCCAATTAGTTTAAAACTAGTAAAAAGGTAGCTCTTCGGTAGGAGATTTTAAGCAAAAAATTTGACCAAAGACTAAGTCCTAATATATATGTGTATAAATATGTATATTCATTTAAACAGAATTGTATTATTAAATTGGTTACAATACACACGTTAACACATTTTCTATGCGCTTATTTAATTAATGTATCTCTTGAAAATAAAACTGGAAGAAAAAGTACAGGAATTTATGTTACAACACAAAATTAACTGTTTACACTGATGCTATCTCATGACAGCCTTACATATTAAATAAACTTTACAGAGATTATTAAATTTAAAGAAAAGCTAGAAAAGAAGTTTAATTCGAAAAGCTGTATAAATCAATCATAACTAAGTGAAATGGTGTGTGTTGGCTTTTATTGGGATACTATCAAATTTGGGTTTAATATTTAAGAAACTAAAAATTGTATGAAGTTTTGTTTCCCCTTAAAAAAATACAGTTAAATTTTGTGTTTATTTACCAAGATTTAAAACTGTCATAAGGGATAGGGTAGTGAATACTTTATTATTAAGTTAGTATGTTAACTCTGAGAACACGTTTGCAGATATTCTGATAACTTTAAATTAAAATAAGTAATGGGGTCCATGGCAGTAAGGAAATTAAATAGCTAGACCTAGCCTGATCCCTCCTATAGCATCTACATATATACATTGTTTAATTGTTATGGTTAAGACTTACCGCAGTAGAGGACACATGGTAATGTTTTTTTGGCATTGCTTTGCTCCTTCCTGGGCAGAGTTATATTCTTGGAGACTTCATAAGGCGTTTGGTATCATTGAAGTAAGCCTCTTCCTGGATATCCAAATGTATTGCATTGGTCAGTTGATATGTTAGAAGTCGAAGGGCAATCACTACCACTATCACTCTAGATGTAAACACTGGAGACGCCACGGACAGAATGAGGCCAGCTCGACGGCAGCGCCTGTATTTATAGTCTCCGAGTACAGAGAACAGAGAAACAGAGGCATAGGCAGAGAGAGAGAGAGAGAGAGAGAGACAGAGAAAAATAGATATTTCTAGAGAATCACAGAGAGAGTTAGAGATACCGGGAAAAATATAGAGATTAATAGAGAGAGAGAGAGAGAGAGAGAGAGAGAGAGCTAGGAAAATATACAGAGAGAGAGGAAGATACATCTATTCACTGCCATTGGAATATTATATTATTACACGAACGGGAGCTAAATTTAGCATTTGTATACCCTAATTTAACATTAACAATTAATACAACATAAATAATATAGATTGTTCGTCATTGGCTTGAATCAGGTCAGCGGTCACTCACATTATCTTTGAACAATTGTCACGTAACAGCAATAAATAAATAAATAATGTGTTGGTCCTTGGTCCAGAGACTTCCGTTCAATTTTATGGGATATTAGTGCTTAAAAAGATACTGATTATACATATTAAAATGCAATGAAGCAGATTACTTGTGAAATGAATACCTAAAGCTTACTTTTTCTTTGTTCTTAAACACAAAAAAGACCGACGAGTTATTAAAGCAAATAAATCAGAATTAGCCCATCTGGCAAACAGTTGTTCAAACAGCAAGGCAAAAATTACTTAAGCAAAAATAGCAATTCTAATAGTTAATGGGAAAAAGTTAAGTATTTGCAGTATTGTTTGGATTTTATTTTAGCTCAACCTGTAAGTTGAGATATTTGAGATACAAAAGAGTTTTAAATTATAACAATTTAATTGGGCTAATAGTAACTTAATCCTTATACGATACTCTAATAGGCTAACATAAACACCAAGTCAATGACGATACATTCGTTCAACTGATGACCGAGGCTGATCCCGAGCACAGTTAAATGCTCGTTTTCCGGATTATCATCATTAAATTCGCTTCACTTGTAAATGTTTATAGCTTGGTTTTGGGTGATCACATGTTAATTTGGCCACAGATCCGCAGTTGCCGTTGTCGTCGTCGGCGTCGCCTCACTTCAGAACCTTGGCGTAGTGTTGTTTGTGCCTGTATTTGATTCGCAAGACGCACCTGGAGGAGACGGGGTTTCGGAATGTGTGAGATCGTTCAATTAACATCTTCAGAGAGGGGGCTTTCCTCAGTTTCCAGCTTACCCGATGAACACGAAAGAGAGCATGTACAGGAACGCGCTGACGAAGTTGAACAGACCCGGGTACGTGGTCAGCGATCGCTTGTAGATCAGTGTGTAGAGGGGAGCGGCGACTGCAATTAGCGTTAAGGGAGTCAGTCAAATAATTAACAATCAAACGGAACTATCTAAAGATTTGCTTACCAAAGGGTGCGAACGACTGCAGCACATTCTTGATGGAGAAAATCTTACCTGGGGGGGGGAGAGGGTTTGATTACCAATTGTTTTGCGTCAAAAACAGCTGTGTCTCGAATATTAAGTATACGTAGAAAACGGCGATAACTCACCCAGATCCGATGGTGGCACAATATTGGAAACTATTGTGCGGCACATGGGCCCGGAAATGGATCGGAATACCCCAGGGCCACCGAGAGGTACATATGCCAGGGCATTGTGGCAAAGCCCTTGGCCATATTGTTCAATATCTCCGAAAGGAAGGCAAGCATGGCTAAGGTCACCACTGATAACCGGAAGACCTTTGAGGATATACATATATATACAATAAGGGGAAATTGGCAAAATCTTGAATATCAAGAAACTTACTTTCCGCAGGACTAGGAATCCAATGAGAGCCCCGATCATGGGCACTAGGTGGCTAACCGTCTCAAAGAACGTGTAATCCCTCACCGTCCAGTGGAACTTCTCGCGCACGAACAGATACATTACTGTCATCACGCCATCTGTGGTCAAGTCATTACATAAGCTCCGGATGGAATAGAGTGATAGAGACAGTGACAGAGACAAAGACTCACCAAAGACAAAGATGGACAGGAACATGGCCAGGGTGACGAGCCAGATGATGGCGCGCGCGTGATGTTCGCGAGGCTTGAAGCAGGTGCTAACCATGTCTCTGATGTGGACCACGCTGAACAGGCCCGCCTTCTTCACGCTCTCCTCCGTCATCTGTCGCTTGCGTTCCTCTGCCTTCTGGGGTAGCTTTTCAACGTACTTGGCCAGCAGATCTTCGTCGAAGCTCATGGCCGGAGTGGCCGGGGTGGGCAGCTCGCATGGCACCGGGCGTCCTTTCTCCAACTGGCTATTCTTCTTCTCCTGCTCTTCATCATTCATAAAGTTGGGCGGACAGTCGAGACCCAGACGGTCCACCTGGAGATCACAGGCGGTTATCGGCACATCCTTCTCCTTGCCATCCTTCTCTCCACCCGCTGCAATGGCGTTCTTGGCATCCTGAGCTTTCCTGTAGTGTAAGCTTTCCGGCAGAAAGAAAATAATGAAGAACGTGGCAAAGGTCACAATGCAGCCGGACAGGCCGATGGTTGCCGCTGATCCAACTGCCGCGTACACGAAGCTGGAGAGCAGCGAGCCGCTGGTCAAGCCAATAAAGAAGAGCGACTCCATGAAGATCATCCGATATGGTCGCGACTTGCAGTCTGTGATGTCCGAGATGAAGCAGAAGGCTGCCACCGAGAAGACGCAGTTGCCGCCGAGCACCGAATGCGGCACGGTCGCCAGGATATACCACCAGGGATTGATCGTATAATAGCTGGACAATTCGCAGATGGCAGCCATCATTAAGAATGATGCCGAAAATCCTGTTTAGGATTGCAACAAAGTTTGATTTTAAACTTAAATGTATTATTTTTTTCCCCATCTCTAGCTCTGAATGGTTTATTTGAATTATGAGGAGCACATTTAAAGCTTTTTATTGAGTTTTTAGGCGCTTAACAAATAAGGCATTAGTAATGTATTATTACCGTAAGGTTTAAAGAAAACCCCCTGAGGTTACGATTAGCTAACTTGTACAGGGTTTGGAAGACTCACCTATCATGGACACAATCAGGAGCGGCTTGCGCCCGTAGTGATCCGACCAGGAGCCGATGAAGAGGCCACAGAAGGCCGGAACTATGCTCTCCAAGAGAGTTCGGGTGAGGAACAGGTTGGCCACATATGGCTGCACCTCCGTCTCGATGGCCTGCAAAGCAGGGAGGACAGAGGAGTAGGGTCATAACCAAGGTCAGGAGTCAGGAGTCAGGACAAACTCACATTAATCTCCGCACTGGCATTCTTCGCGTCCAGCTGCTTGCAATCGGAGACATTGTACTGGAAGATGACCGTGCACGTCTGGTAGATGACCTGGTTGCGTTGGATGGTGCCTGCACAGGAGGTCTAAGCTAGTCACTAGATTCGGTGGTCTGTGGATGCTGGCTGGGTCACTCACCCGACAGTGTGTGCGAAAAGAGCAGCATAAAGACAACCGGTTCTATGTAGAACATATGAAACACCTTTTGCCATTGCAGATTGCGCAGCTTTTCCAGCGTAAACGCGTTCGAGGTCTTTTCCACCATGTTTTGGCTTTAGTCTGTGATATTCGGGTGTCCAATGGTTATGGCCAAATTCTTGAACCCGCTTCAAGGTATCCCCCAGTGGCGCCTAGTCTCAGTACAGCATTGCAACACTGGTCACGTAACTGCGATGGGAGAAAAAGCACTGGGAGCCGGCACTACCGATCGTTAACTAATGTATAATTCGATTATTATTATTCAAGCGCTTGATTGCCGCGATATCGGGGAACACGAACTTAAATCCAATCCGGCGGCGACAACTTACAATTAGAGTTTCGTTCTCGAAATGAGCGGCTGCCGTGAAATCCGTGCGTTTATATAGGAGGCCGGCTCTCGGAGCTGGCTCACAAACACACAGAGGCATAGGTGGCACAGGTGACAGTTGTTCATCTAGGGCCACTAAAAACAGTTCTAGCTTCGCTTGATTCACCTTCTTTTTCACTACCCAAGTGAATTCTCTGGATTTTGTTGGCTCTCTAAATTGGATTGAGATTTGGCTAAAATTAGGCTTAGGTTTTGACTACCAACTCGGCAATATCGGTGAGAAACTAGGTCCGAAGTCTGAATCGTTCGTTTGTTTGTTTATTTTCTTTTATTTTTTACTACGAATCAATTCATTGCGATTTTTATTATTTTTGGATTGTGCAAATGAGTAGCACGAGCCAGAGCCATGGGAAGTTTGCCAAAGCTGTTTAGTAATCCCTCAGATGAAAACTAGAAAAATCCGGAGAGATTTTAGGTAAAAATTTAAAAATAGTGCTGCACCTTTGAAAACGTTAATTGACGTGAAGGGAAGTAAGAGCTTTAACCAACTTTGACATCTATATACTTATAAGGGACCCAGCATTAAGTACAAATATATTTTCTGTATAAAAATAACTTTATTTCCCTACAAAAAGATGGTTCTATGCAAGAACCAAACAGAAACTCTCTTATAAAACCCAAGAGTCGTATGTTTTAATTGCAGAGACTAAAGTTATCTGGAAAATCTTTATAGTTACCCTACGTTACCTAATAACAAAGTACCAGGTTTATCATTAATTACTATATTATATAATATTTTAAGTATGATTAAATAAATCTCATGGCTTACCAGCTTTACAAGTTTTGGGAGCTCACGAATATTTAATAGTTTTATTATTTTATGATTTATTTTGATAACCGGACCGTGTTTATTATTTTATATTGATTTTAATTGGCCTCGATGACGGATGGATGACAATTCATGCGATATGGTCCAATACCAATGCAGTCCAGGTAGAATTCCAGGGATTTCGTTCTGCTCTGTTGGGGCATTAAATTGTGCGTAAATTGAGTTCCATTCGGTTTTTTGTTTATGGAGGCGCCTGCCTTTTGGCCCCACCAACCGATCTTGATCTGAGGTGTAAAAAAATCTGGCGACTAATTCAGAAAATCGAAAATTAGCAAGCGAAATTAGCGTTAGCTGAAATCTGAAGTTTATCAGGCTATACAAACGCTTGCACATTCTTATTATTGTATTCTCTTGTATAGATGTTTCTGGGCGCACACGCCGCTGGCCCCATCAGAAAAAATAACCCACATTTTTTGTTAATGAGAAAGTATTTTGATTTCAGTAATAAGAGAATATTTTCAACCCAAAGGGAATGAGAGAGATCGAGGCAGATACGAGATTATGTAAATAAGTATAAAATGATGTATAGATGATTGGTGTTCGAGGGAGTTCCCGGTGGCGCCAAGCCATCTGTATAATTGATATGCGAAAGTTGGCTTAACTCTCCGACAGTCTCTGAGCCATAATCATCTAAAAACCGGCTCATAGTACACCCGATTCTTTGTCTTTTCGAGCCAAACAATGCTGTAGAATTGAAAAAGTAAATCAAGTAAATGATTGCAAAGCTTAAGCCTTAAGTACTTACCCCAGAAGAATTAATCCCAGACTATAGAGAAAGGTGCTGAATAAATTAAAAATACCCGGATCACTGTCCAGGGTTCTCGTATAGATTGCATAATACAAGCTGGAAGACACCAAAGGCGAGAGATTTTGCACAACGCTGAGTAGAGCGAAGATTTTACCTGGAAATGGATGCCCCAGATATTTCTAAAAGGAACAAAAATCTCCAAGAAAGGGAGGAAGCTTACTTACCCCGCTCATCGGCCGGCAGTAGATTGGTGATCATGGTGCGACACATGGGATTCACCAGGGACTTGAACACGCCAAGACCAATAGCTACGTAGATCTGCCAGCTCACCATGGCAAAGGCCTTCATCAAGCTGCTGGAGGAGTGGCTCAGCAGAGAGACCAATGCCAGCCACAGCACTGCCGAGTTGGTACACTATTAAACAGAGAGAATAAGAATTTAGTAAGGTTTTTAGATGGATTGGGATCTTAATCAACCTTCCGGAGGGACCAAATGAAGAGTACTCCACCAGATCCTGCCACTGCTGGCACCAAAATGCTGACAGTCTCGTACTCTGTGAACTGTTTCACACTCCAATGGAACTTGGCCCTCATGAACAGGTAAAACACCGAGTTGCTGCCATCTGGATGAATGGGAAGTACCATTAGAATAAAGGGGAATTTTATTATACAGATTAAAAACTCACCTGCCACAAAGGCGGTTAACAGCAAAACCACCATAATGGTTAGTATAATCGAGCGATTATAATGTTCCCGGGGCTTGCTGCAGCTGTTCCACATGTCCTTCAGCAGAGATAGAGTATTCTTGTCGCTTGTTGGCGTCGTTGCAGACCTCTCCGCCTTTGGCAGACTCTCCGGAAGCAGGGCTGACAACAGGAAGAGAGCTACCAGAATAGAGCCCGCCGATATGCTTAAAACCACATAGGCATCAGTGGCCTCATAGACATAGCCAGAGCCAAAGCTTCCAAGGAGCAAACCCACATATATCGCCAGTTCGTAAGCAATCAGTCTAAGGTGAATCAGGAGTAAGGATCCTTCATGTATTAAGAGATGCTATATTACCTATAAGAACGCATTTTTCCCTCGGACACATCGCCAATGAAACAAACGGCGGCCACGGAATAGGTAACACTGCTGCCCAAGCATGAAATCGGCACAATGGAAAGTACGTACCACCAGGGACTGACCTGACCGTGAGTCTGAATGGCACAATAGGCAATTGCCGCTGAAATAAGATACTGCAGGCCATAGCCTGCATGACAGATTAGGATTAGAGGAGGGAGTGCTTTCAAGAACCCACCTAGAAAGGAGCACATAAGCAGTGGCTTGCGACCATAGCGATCCGCCCAGGCGCCAGCAAAGAGTCCGCAGAATGCCGGAATAAAGCACTCCACCATTCTCATGACCAGAGTTACCCGGGCAGCATATGGTTGTACTTCCTCCTCAATTCGCTGTAATTATTATATAATGTTTTATTATATTCCCCCAAAAAATATAATTCCCCCACCTTTGTCTCATTTGTTGCATTCTTGGTGCCCAACAGTCGGCAAACATTATCCGGATAACCAAAACCGGCTGTGCAGCTCTGATAGATGACTTCATTTTTCAAAACAGTGGCTGCAATCCAAGGGAAATCCCCCTAAAATAAAGATTAACTCAAGCCAACATCATTGAACTTACAGGAAAAGTTGTATGCGAAGAGAAGAATCAAAATGAAGGGTTCCAGCAGATAGATTCTCAGAGATTGCTGCATCGCTGGTGTAATCTCTGGCGGACATTCGGTACTGGCAATTGCTGGCACCACGGAAGCAACGCTTCCACTTAGACTCTCCTCACTACTGATGCTGCCCGTTTCGTGATCCTTGAGTCCTGATCGCCGGGCCTTGGCCACCAGCGTTTCGTGGGCATGCGGTTCATCGTTCATCTCCGGCGCTTGACTGAGTCTGAAATTGATTCAGTGCCTCCGACGAGCACGGATATGATTTCAGATAAAGACCGCATACACTTATGTGTGGGAGTTGCTCTCTTGGTTGGGATTTCCAAGCGGATGCCATGTACATAAAGTGAGCGCTCCTTCAATGAGCTTATCACAGGGGACGATAAAACGAAATGAATTTCTTTCTTTGTATATAATTTTTTGAAAATTTTTCATTCTTTGACCATACAGTGTTTATAAAAAGGGAAAAGCAAATGTTTGTTATAAATAATGATCGATCAAGATTAATTTTATTGGGCGAAGACTGTATTTTTAATGTGATCCCGTACGTGAGTCAGTTTGGAACTTGGCATTTTCTCTTGGGGGACTTTTCTTATTGACACTACGTGCCCTATCTAAATTAAGTTAAACTGTGTTTAACAAAGATATACACTTATTAATATGCATGTTGTAAGGCGTTAAGTTAATAAAATAAATCAATGATCAATTAATGTATAGAAAATTTAAACACTTTTAAATAAGTGAAATAAAATAGATACTTTATTAACTTAGATATTGTTCTACCGAAATTCTACCAAATGTTTGACTTATATACCATATTTAAAGCTTTATACCATATTTTAAGTAACAGTAGCAGTAATTTTTCGGCATACGGAACATGTACATATTTTGTATAATTAAGAATTTTATTAAAAAGAAAATGAACATCAAATTATATTTTTATTTAAAAAAAGTCATATGTATTTATAGAATATCTGAAATATTGAAAAAATATGTGTAATATAAACTCCATTTCTGTTTTCGTTGCCGAGCAAATTTAAATTTACGCGCCAATCTATCGATGTCTATCGTGATCGAGATGCTGAAAATCAGAATCGAATTCATAGACAAAATTAACACAGAAGGAAACAGAAAAAAGAAGTGCGCTATGGATCTTAGAAATATGATTTTGCAAACTTCTACGGGAAAAGAGCTGTCGGAATATCAGCTAAATTTGCTGGTTAAAAACAATATTGAAACACTGATTGATTTCATGAGGCAAACGAGAGAAAACTCCACGAATTGCTGGCCATTCGAGTGGAATCTGTGCTAGAACTGAAGAAGGAACTGGTGCGTCTTTGGCTAAGGGACTCCCAAGTGGAAAGCCCTCCTGAAGTGGACTACGGCACGGGCATGGAAGAGTGAGTCGTTGCAGCATTTTTCTATTCTAATAATGCACAGTCTTAAAACCCAATCAGATTGGACAAGTTGCTGGAGTCAGTGGACCAGCCATTCAAGAGCGGCCGTGTCTGGGAGCTGTGTGGGCATCCAGGAGTGGGAAAGACCCAATTCATGTACACCCTGGCGCTGAATTTTGTGTGGAAACATTCCCAGAAAGTACTCTTCATTGATACCAAGTGCGACTTCTCCTGCAAAAGGATACAAGACTTGCTCCTGGCAAGAAATTGGGATACAGTAACTTGTGAGAGAGCCATGCGGGGCATTTACGTGGTCCAAGCTACCTCAGATACGGTTTTAATTGACGTTCTAAAAACCCTCGATGAGCAACTGACCAACAAGGAAAAAGAGGCCTTGGAGACCAAGGTGGTTGTTATTGATTCCCTGGTGCCTTGCTACGTACACTATCGCGGCGATGAGATGCTCAAGTTCAGGCAATCTTTGCTGACGAAGCTGGCATGCAAAATCCGTAAGCTAGCTGTCCGTGGCGTGTCCTTTATCATCGGAAACGTGTCCTTCGCCGGCAAGGATGAAGGTAAACACCATAGTGTATGTTTTGAATCTATTTACTACTTTTGTCCTAACAGATAATTGTATTGATGACGGCGAGGATGATGGAAACAGTGATGCGAAGGCTGGGGGCAAAGGGACGGGCCCATGCTGGGTTCCTACTGGGCGTCAGTGTGTACGCTAAGAATGTCCCTGGAGCTGCCCGTCAGTTCAGAAGGAGCGGAGAGCTATGACCGTCTTGGAGAAGCCGCATCCAGCAATGACGACGGCCTGCGCCTGGTGAACATCCTTTCAAACACCTATGGCCCCACTGGCGACACTTGCCTGCTTCGCATCACAGAGGCTGGAGTGGTTTAACGACGGGCAAATGGATTGTTTGGATTATTTTGTTGCTTGTAGGACTTCATCACTCGCTTGCCAGGCTCCAGGGCATCGCCTAGGCCGGGTCGTTTGCGCTTTGTTGTAATTCCCGTCGCTACAGCCTCCCGGACAGATTCAGCGGCAACTGACGTATCTGGTCCATTTGCAGCTTCCGCCTCATCCACGGACAAGTCGGAGTCGTGGGCGTACTGGCAGCTGGTGCCAAAGCGACAACGTCCTCTCCGGAAGTTCCAGCAGATCTTGCGTCCGTTTTTCAGCTGCAGGTGCGTGTCGTTGCTGACCATTTTCACGTGCCGCTCGAGTGAGGCAGTCTTATGCAGCTCTGCCTCCAGGAAGGGATTGCTGAACACATCGCCCTTGCCCGCTCCTGGGGCAAGAACTTGGCTGGCACTGGGCAACTTTTGCGGCGGTTTCTCCGCGGGCGGGGATCTAAAAGAAAAGGCGAATATTATGTATCCTAACATTTAGTTCAGCATGAGAATAGCATACGGTTGGGCCTCCTCGCTAGCACAGGATTCAGAGCTGCTTTCTTCATCGGATTCGGAGGAATCGCTATCACTATAATCTGCAACCAACGACATTTTGTTTTGTTTACTTTTGCAGAAAAACAGCTGTACTTAAAATATGTATTAAAAATTCCCTAAAGCGTTTTTCCTGCAAAAAATACGGAAAATATACCATGTTACAAAATACCCTGAAAAAATGAAAGAGTATACTCGCACTTTCTATTTTAATTACATTCCATTATATATAATTAATAATAATAATAATAAGTATAATTATTAATAATAATTATTATTATAATTCTTTATCAGAATTAATAGCCGAGTCCAATCATTTAAAAGTTGCTTTCTATTATTCATTTTAAATAAATTACCAAAAACACTTATAATTCATTTTTAATGAATCGGCTTTATTCCATAATATGTATAATCACTTTATGCATGCTTTAGTTAGGTTGTTTATGTTGTGTGTATAAACTATTTGCTAATTATTTATACAGAATTCTTTTGTTGCTTTTATAAATATAAAAAAATTAAACTTTGATACAGTTTTAATAATAGGTTCCGGCCACGTCCGCCACTTTCACGCTACGTACAGTTGGCTGCGAGTGTAAAAAATATGCAAAAGTTTAATACAATAATTGGGTGAAACCCGTGCAAAGTCCGTGTGGCAATCGAAGGCTTCAGAGGCCAGCCGCAGCTTTAGCTTTGGTCCGGCAGGGAATAATTCGCTAGTCGAGGGTTGGCGGACGGGCCGAAGGATCGTCACGATCAATGGGCGGCGGTGAGGTAAGCACCTCAACGCTTTGCGCAGGTCCCGCCGTGAGGTAGCCAGCCGTGGGATTGACACCTTGAATAGGGACAGAGGTAAGGAAATTAAAAGCAAGGGTTGAGATAATTTCACCTACCCGTCAGATAGCCACGTATGTTGGTGTCGGCAATAAACAGATCGTGGCGCTGATCCTTGAACTCAGCCCACACAGGGTGCTTGAGGAGGATCTGCGTGACCCGGTCGCCGTAGTTGAGGTTGTGCGTCATGCCCTTGAGTGCTGCGACGATTTGCGCCTTAACCGCCGAAGGATTGTCCACGAACTCCAGACGGCTGTCCAGCAGTCCCAGCATAAACGGTATGAGACCCACCTCCAGCGATTGGCTAATCAGCGAATCCTATTTAAATGTCACAAAAAAGTTAGACTTCAAAGAATTCCAGCGAAACTGAAGGGACAACTCACGTGCTGGTGCTTAAAGAGTCGACTCAGAGTCTCACAGGCCTTCTCAATGCAGTCCCGATTGTGCTCCATGCACTTCTTCAACGGCGCCACACACTCCGTCTGCGAAATGGCACTCACACAGAACTGAAACGCAGATTAAGGAAGATATTGCAGATTCCATATCTGTATATATATATATAGAACAAACCTCAGATAGCGATAGCTGATGTAATACTGATAGCGTGTTCTTTGGCTGCACCGACAGCAGATTAAACAGCTTTGGTATGTGTCCCAGCACCGGGATATCGTCAGAGAGGTTGGGCTGCGATCGCAGCAGCTCTACCAGCGCTGTGGTGGATAGGTCCAGGACATCCTGCTCCGACGAGCTCTTGCTTATCTGGTCAACAACAAAGTCCAGGAGATCGGAAAGGAACTGCTTGGGCTTGCGCAGTGTCCAGGCGGGATTGCTGACAAAAGACGGAGGTAGACGCCGGCCACGACAATCTCGTTGGATACAATGTCTTTAAGTATTTCAGGATCTTTCCACACATGACGGGGATTTGCCTTCTGCAGCTGATAGAATCTGTGGGGAGAGAAGGAAGAGATGAAGAGCACACCCATTTAAAACCGTCCCTAGTGCATACCTTTCGCAGGATTCGGCCACAGCATCACAGACGGTTGCCCGTGTGTTGTCGTTCCATATTAGCTCCGGATGCTCGTGTATCGACTCAAAGAGCTGCACTGATGTGGCTGGTGATTCCACCATGGCATCGATGAAGAGGGCGGGCAGGAATTTCGATATAGTAATGCGCACTTTGGGCCCGCTCAGTCGGTCCGCCGTCATCTTGGCCAAAATCTCGGCACACATCTCGCGGATCTGTGGATTCCTCGAATTGCAGAACATGTCGAGCAGATAAATTGCGGCGCCCTTGGCCTGCGCTTCCTTTATCATCTCCTGTACGTTCATCAGGCCCGATAACGTCTCCAGCACTTTAACCTGGCTGGCTCGAAGTTCCGGGTCCTTGAGAGCCACTAGATAGTTGCCCAGGATCTCGCAGGCGGCCACCTCCGAAACGCATTCCTTGTTGCGTGAGACTAAGGCCACCACTTCTAAGGCAACGGCCTTAACCGTGGAGTTCTGGGGAAGATAGAAATCTCATTAAGTGATACATAGCTTAGTCTAAGCTGCACACCCTTACGTCAGGGAATATGTTGTTCGCCAAGAACCCAAATATCATGTCAAAGTTCCCTATGCACTGGATTTCCACCTCGGCATTCGACTTGATCACTGCGATCAGTGCCTTGAGCACCATGGTGATATGCAGTTCCAACTGCCCGTCGCTGGCAAAATCGTATTTACTTTGCTGTAGAGCCAAGTGCTGCTCCGCCTGGGCGTCCGTCTCTAGCTTCTTCCGGCTCTTGGAACGATTGTAGGCGTTGAGTACTTCGTCGAATGTGGTGCCAGGCTTGTTACCCGTCGCCGCCGCCTGAAGCTGTGGATGATTGGGCGCCAGAGTGGGAGTCAGAATACCATCGCTCCCCATTTTCGGTGCTACTGCAGCGGCAACTGCAGAGGGATTCCTCTTGTACTGCAGAAACTGATAGGCGTGCTTTAAGTACTCCAGCAGGTCCATGATAAAGAGCTTAGGCTGAGCTATCGCGTAGGTGGGCATATCGTTGTAGATACGTATGAAGATGCCGCCGATCTGCAACTCGTCTCTGCAACGTAAATAAAAGATTTAAAGAAAATAGTCCACGATGTTCCAAGGGCTTACACTTACTTATGGGCATCGAACTCGAAGCTGGAGACCAGCTCATAGACCTGAGCAATATCCTCGTGCGTCTCCTTTGCTGAGGCCGTGCGCTGCTGTTCGAGGAAATCCTTCAGTTGGGCACGGGTGCCATTGTCCCAGATGAGGTAGGGATTGCGCGTGTTGGCCGTGAGTAGCTTGAGTACATCGCTATCGCGTCCCGTGGCCAACTGGTTGGCTATATAGCGGGTGAGCAGGCGGTCGAGCACCTGCTTGATCAGCGTGTTTTTCGCCTCCCCCGTCACAATGTACTTCTGTTGGATGGCACTGGGACTATTTCGTGCTGGCTGCTGGTCGCTGTCGGTGGGCGTGGAACTGGAGGTGTCGCTGCTACCGGACGAGGTGTCCGGCTCCTTCTCCTTTCCACTGGTGATGGCCAGCTGCTTGCTTTGCAGCGGATTTTGAGCGTTCTGGGTGTACGCAGAGTTGGAGCCGGAAGGCACCACAGGCTTGGGTTTGATGGGAGGCGGTGGCTTGGCAGCCGGCGAGCTGGCCTCGCTTCCCGTGATTGGTTTCTGGCGAAGCTCCATGCTGTAGCCAGCTAGGGAGATGCACCCGAGAACAGCCATCTTGGCAAGGTTGTTAGCCAGCTGCTGCTGATTGGATTTGTCGCTGACTTCCACCCCGCTCTCATCCAGCGTGTAGTCGTACTCGAAGATGAAGAGCAGTAGCGACCATAGAACGCCATTCCGTGACAGATTGCACTGCAGATCGTAGTTGTTAGCCGCCAAGCTGGTCACCAGGCTCACCGAGAGCGTGTGCTTAAAGTACACCACCCGGCATACGTCCGACAGCAACTGCGGCAGCTGAATGATCTTCTGTTTGCACTTCTCAAAGTTGCAGGCAACCTCGAAGCAGCGCGTCACGTTCGATATAACCTGATAGTGCAGCGAGTCCGGCTTGGAGTCCACCCCGAGGATGGATACACAGCGAGTGTAGGCTTCCAGAAGCGCCTCGATACCCTCCTCGCGACGCAGTTCCTCTGCATTTAGGGCGGAGCAGTGTACCGTATGGTAGCACAGCTCGGAGGCAGCTGTCAGCAGTTGGGCCTCTTTGGAGAAGAGCTCGTCGTCGCGGGTCTCCAGGCGAATGGTCTTGATGAGCTGCGGGTAACCAGCGTACTTGTACGGTCGCAGGACTGTAAGGAAGGTAAGTAATGTGTATTATCTTTCAAGGCAAGCACTTACCATCCGGATATCGCTCAAAGAGAATGCTCTGGGTGCGAAGAATAAGCACAATATTGTTGGGATCCGGTCCGCCCGAGCTCCACACGTTCCGCGAGCAAAGGAACTCGTAGGCCTGGTTCACCTTCTCGAATATCTCACGGCCATTGGGGTTCTTATCGGGATGATACATCTGGGCCAGCTTGTAATAGCTCTTGCGTATCATGGACTCGTCTGGCTTGGGCGTCTTGGTGAGGTCAATCCCCAGATCCTGGTACGCCTGCTGGATGGTCATCTGCGGTGGCTTCTTTTCCACCTCTTTGCGCCAGGCGTCAAGGGTGTGCTTCAGCAGCTGCACCGGATCCGAGATGGGCCAATTGGGGAACTTGCGCGTATCGCACAAGTGCCGCAGGTAGTAGATGTGGCAAAACAGCTCGTTCTCCAACTGGGGATAGCTGATCACAGGAATGGCCAGATACGGATACCTAGCCATTGTATGACCTCGGAGTCGCGGCGTGAAGTCTGCAATGTGAGCTGCGATCTTCTCGATCAGTAGGCGTCGCATTTCCGAGCTCCAGATTACCTCCGGAGTGTCAAACTCCCCAAGGAAGATCTCTGCAAACTTCTCCGCGCTGTAGTTTTCCAGGAAGCAGACCATGGCCTCGGGGAGCAGCTGGCCTAAGATACTGCGGTGCATGATGCCGGACTGCGAGGTCTCCTCGCTGCGGAAGCCTTGCTTCATGTGCGTCATCTTCAGGAATCTGGTGATGGGCAGGATGTTGCTGCCCGTGTACATGAGCATAAAGTAAAAGACGCCAGTAAGATACACCTTAGACATCTCCGGATTGTCCTCCATAATTTGGTAGAGAAGCGTGGCCACACGCTCCAGCAAGCCCGGGTCATGTGTCAG